AAGGTGCATGCATTACGTGCAGAGCAGAAAGATCGTTCGATACATTGGGCAGAAAAAGAAGGTCAGAGGAAGGGAGCGTATCATCTGACATGGTACCACCATACCAGTCGGAATAAGCATATACATGATATATACATATCTATATCCGACGCACGCCGTAACCATGCCTATGTTGATGTACACCAATGCTGAATATACTCCATGGAAGTCTATTTTTGTGTTGTTGCTGTTGTTTTCTCTCTCTCTGTCTCTCTCTCTCATTTTTTTTGTACACCCAGTTGGAGTGGATTTACTTGTGGACAAATATTTCATCACTTTGAAGGATTCCTTAAACGTGGCAGGCAGGCAACAATAATATTTTCCGCATTGACAAAACAAGTGGCAAATATCATGCATGTTGGAAAAATAGCACTAGTCCAAAGCGATGTGGTCGACTGTAGCGACAATGAGATTGCGAGATCCAGAGATTTGAGGTTAGGAGAGCCTAGTTTTTTTATGCGATGCATGGATTGCCCAATGCTCAACAACCTGTTTAGTTTATAGGTAGAGTTGATAAAGAACGAAGAGAGACTAAGACTAATCGAATGTAGCCAAGTTTTTTTTTTTTTTTTTTTATTTTTATTTTTATTTTTTTTTTTTTTTGCAAGTGAATCCAGGGCCAATTTGTCCATTTTGGGCAAGCAACTCCAATGGTTTGATGGGTTTTTTTGTATGCATATTCTTTTTTTTTTTATGCCTTGATCGAGTTCCTTTGTTCTTTCATTCGTTTTGGTTTGCTTCGTTTCGCTTTTTTTTTTTTTTTTTTTTTTCTATCATAAACAAAGCTGCATAGTTGCTCGATCGCTTTCGTCATTTTTGTGTTGTTCAAATACTTCTTTCAAGCAAAAAAAAAAAAAAAATCCTGCAGGACCAACAATAACAACTCGAAACAACACGAAAGAGATCTTGACATGAGCCTTGAAAAACTGTCCTGTTTATCCTTCTCTTGGACCTACAATCCCACCAATGTACTCCCCCCCTCCCCCTGTCTTGTTTACTTACCCTGTGCTTACCCCTGCCCCTACGGTGCATGCCACTGTACTAGCATAACAACGAATCGAACCATACCAATCGCCTGGCATGCTGACACTCTTCTTTTGTTTGTCCATTAACAATTTAATGTCCTGCCAAAAAAATAAAAAAAATAAAAATTGCGATACGCTACTGGATATATTTTGGATAAACAAGTATTTGCAGGAACCCATGCATGATTTTCAAATCAAGTTGGACCTTGGATCTTGGGCCTCAAAAAAGGGTCAGTGTGTTACATCTGGTCCTTTGCAGTTCTGATTTTTTATTTTATTTTGCCCAATGAAGCTTTGACTGACACAAACATCGTAACGTTGATGTAAATTTCTTTTTTTTTTTTTTTACTAGGGGAAGAAGTATATGTAGAATCCTAGTCTAGCTTGGCCCAGCCTACGAGAATAAATAGTGGAGAAAAGAAGAGGGACCTGGAGCTGAAACTTTTGTTTTCTTAGACAAAAAAAAAAAAATGGTACGATTCTTCTCTTTATTACTTGAACCACATGAAACTCAAAACGCGTTTTTTTTATTTTTGTATACATCATACAAATAGTTCATATATAAATATATATATAAATAATTTATATATTTTTGTCAAAAAGTAAAAGTCTTTTTTAACTCTACGATAAGATTGGATAGCGAATGGCCTTTCTGCTCTCTTTGAGCTTGCTTGGCCGGTGAGCGAAAGAGTGGGGTTAGTACATGTAGCTCGTAACATATATACAGAGGATGATCCTTTCTTACATAACCACCTGGTCAGTGAGCCTCTTAGAACCGAGTTCTGAGAAAAGCAACACAATCAACAACAACAAAAGAGTTTTTTTTGCGATCACTACCGAACCACCACAACCACAATCACATTGATAAAATAAAAAAGAGAGCTCTGTTTCGACCAGAGCGGAGGAAATCATTTCAGTGGCTAGACTAACTTTCAAACGCAAAAAGATGGGTTACACACCTAAAAAGACGCTTTTTTTTTTTTTTTTTTTTTTTTTCAATTCCTTACAATAGCCAAAAAGACTTTAATAAATATTATATATCAATATTTGTATAAATAAATGAATAAAAAAATCAGTTCAACAGTGGAGAAAAAGGTTTTTGTTTTGCTTGTGCGGCGTTACACTAGAACTCGTGCCTGGAGGGTGTCCAAATATCTATAACAAGCAGAGACTATGTGCGTAAAAAAGAGAAACACAGAGACAAAGAGTAAAGATTGTGTATTGATGGACAAGACAAACAAAAGTACGTGCGAAATCATTACGATGTCATGGATGGACCAACATGGTTACAAAAAAAAAAAAAAAAAAAAAAAAAAGGTTTTCTTTCTTTGTTTCTAGACCACGTTAATACATGTCTTTTATTGTCTTTGATGCCACGTTGTTTACATTTGTATATATTGATATTCATCGATATAGCTCCTTCATCATCCTCATGATCCATAACAGAAAAGTTTTTTTTTTTTTTTTTTTTCTCCGCTATACTCTACTCTAACAAGGTTTATTCTAGCCATAGTACATGTATAATGCTTTTCTAGCTTTTTTTTAAGCTTAAACGTGAAGCGTGGTCAAGATTATAAACATGTATATTTTTATACAGTACATGTATAGTGCGTATACGCCTTTTAGGAAAATGGGATTTACAAAAGGAGTATTTATTCCGAATCGCGCTACTCCGGTTCAAGCGGAGTGATAAAAAAAAAGCCTTTGACAACATATACATATTTAGATACAAATGTATATGTACAGTATAAAAGGCATGTTCGCATTTGGGCAGATATAATATATTATACATGTATTATATATATATATATATTATAGCATTATTAGATAATATCGGACCAGGTGATCCATCAACGGACATAGGACAAAGCTGGATCCAAAAAAGAAAAAGAGTAACTCCGTAGCATACGGATTTTTTTTTCTTTTTGGAATAGTTGACTGACTGATACAGATGGGGAAAGGAAGTAAGGGAGAATGGGAGTACAGATTCAGATTCCAGGAACAGGTACAGCTTCACAGGTACAAGTTCAGGAACAATCACAAAGTATGACATCTTTGTCCAACGTTTGTCTGTTTATTTACCTTTTTTGGATCACTGTTCCGTCATTATGTCTTCATCATGATTTCCAATGTCCATCGCCCGATTTTCCCAGATTCAATAGGATGATCCGATGATACTAATTAGCAATACATATTCACAGTTCCTGAATCCCGAGTCTGGGCTCTTTTTCTTTTCTCTTTATTCTTTTTTCTTTTTTTTTTTGTGCGTGTGTATGTGAAGATTTTCAATAAACAAGACATCATCACTCTCTATCCTTCAAGCTCTTGTTTTTTTTTTTTTTTTTTTTTTTTTTGGAAGTAACAACAGTTAAAGTGTAGACTATGTATATATAAACATGTATGTATTTGTTGTTGTTGATATTTGCTGTGGTTTATTATTATTTATTTTTTTTTTTTTTCGACGCTCTTGGTGCTAGCGTTCTTGCATGGTCCTCGCGTTGTTGCAGATGCTATTAAGATGAATAGTCGATCTCATTGCCTAATTTGTGCAAAAAACAAACAAACAAATGCCGGTGCCCTTGAATGAATGAATGAATGTGAAGATCTAGAATGTCAAAAGGCGATGATGCTATGAGATATGTAGAGCCCTGTCCGCCTTCATTCTGGGTAACAACGTTAGGACCTCTTGTCTACTAAACACAACTATGCAACCTATTCAACGGATACCCTGGTCGTTTTTTTTTTTTTTTTTTTTTTTTTTTTTTCTTTTTCTTCGCCCTCACTGAACTTGGTGAACAGGACCAGAGCTGTCCTCAAGGTTACATTAGTCGCATCATCACTTTTTCTTTCTTTTTTACCTTTCGGTAAACATTTCTTTTTCAAAAAGTCAGTAGTACACATACGTTGTACATACAATACATTTATAGAAATGAACGCCCGTTGAATGCGATCCATGTCTTTTGTAGAAATCCTTGAAACCTTTGTACACTGGGGCTAGGTAAGAAAGAACGAGAACATGTATAAATCATAAACGGGTTTTTCCTTAAAGATAGTATGGATGGATAGTATTTGAAGTGAAATACACGTTTCAGAAAAAGAAAGGTACATGCATTGAATATACTTGGAGCAAAACAACGTGAATTGTCTAAAAAGATAAAATTGCATCATGAATGCACCTTGTTCGACTCTGGATATACCTGGGTCCTCTTTCTCTTTTTTTTTTTTTCGCGCTGTAAAGTTTTTTTTTTTTTTATGCGCGCAATCTGGGAGGTTAGTCAAGGTCATCAACAAGTGGAGAAGAGAGACAAGAAGAAACACTTTTGCTTACACATAACATTTTACACATTCACGCATACAAAAGAAAAAACAGATGGAGAGAAACGAGATATGCAAGTAAACTTTTTTAATACCTTCCAGAAAGAAGTTTGCTTTCTTTGGGGGCCCTTCGTTGTATACATGAAGGAGATATAAAACTTTCGTTTAGTCTAACTTTATTAGCAATGGTTAGTCTTTTTGTCCCTGTGCGTTCCTTCATTGAATTTTTTTTTTCTGAAGTCTTTTTTTTTTTTTTTTTTTTTTTTTTGTTGGTGATCCATGCGCGAATGACTTTGCGCATAGTTGTGTTTTCAAATGTTAATGGAAAAATATCAATCATCTCTTTTTTTTCAATCTCTCTTTCAGCCTTGTCAACCCTGTCTGCCTTTGTCAATCACAAATGGCAAAACTAGCTGCAAGGGTGCAGAATGTGGAAAGTAACATAAAGTAAAAAAATAAAAAAATAAAAAAAAAAAGAGAGAGGGTTAGATCATAATGATTCAATATCCGGGTCCGTTGTGGAACCATCTTCCTGTCGACACCGCGTTTGTTTGTGAATACAAAAATCCAAATCAATCCTCGCCCAATATTGCCTTTGTTGTTTTGTACACTAACAAGGCGTCTATAAAAAAAACTCTTTAACATCCTCTTTCTACTGTGCTTTCGCGATCTCCTTCCCCCTTCTCTTTACTTGTCATGCATAGCCTTGACTAAGAAGGTTCAATTGGATCAGCTGAGGTCTCTTTGAATATCAGACTGTGATCATGGGCTCTCATGCCATGCTAATGCTGTGCCACATCGCGACATGCAAAGTATCATAATCCCTCTGTCTCCTTGTATCTCTCTCTCTCTTTTCTCTCTCTCTCTCTCTCTCTCTCTCTCTCTTTCTCTCTCTCCTTGCTTTCTTATTCAATGAGTTAATGGACTGTAAATAACAGCATCATCGATCTGCACATGCTTTCACAAACTCTCACTCACATTCACACACCCAATACACGAAAAAAAAAAAAAAAAAAAAAAAAAAAAATACGGCGCATTATGTAAGAAGTAATGCCAACTCAACTCTCAACTACGCCCTTCGCGTGCTTTGGTAAAGAGTGCAAGGTCACGTTGATTCTCTCTTTCTTTCTCCTTTCCCTTTCTCTTTCCCCCCTCCCCCACCTTTTCTTTTTTTTTTTTTTTTCAACAATGAATAGATGTACAGTATATACTATTCATTCTATTGGACTCTAATAAAATGAGCAGAGCACATACATGCATCCTACGTAGTGACTTAAAGACAATGGGAAAATATATGCATTCCGGATCTTGTTGCCGATGTTAGATGACATCAAATAAAGTAGGAATAACTAAACAAATAATTAAGAAATAATTAATAAATTAAAATAAATAAAATAGAATAGCAGCATCCTGTGGTCGCATGTCCACTCTTTGATGCACAGCTAGTCAGTCAATTGACTTTGGTATTTTCATTCCACCTTCACTCTTACTCTTCTTATACTGCGCCATCAGGACAAAAAAAAAAAAAAAAAAAAAAAAAGATCGACTGATCAAAAAGACCAGAGACCTCCTCGGAACATTTGTCATCACAGTTTTTCCGCATCCTCTTTGCTCTCTTCTCTCCTTCCCCTGACTAAACTTCGTCATTAAGACTAATGTTGAACAATACGCGCAGTTATATCTTGGCTAGGGCTTAATAATCATCTCTACGCATACAAAAAAGTTGCCGCAGTCCAGATGCAAAGCCCATTTCCTTCTGTACCTGACTACGCCACACAATGAAAAAGAAAGAAAGAAAAATAATAAAAAAAAACGCAATACTTTTATTATTACAGCCAATATCAGGCAGCTATCTCTTCTTCTTTCCCATTCATGACCACAAATGTTCTTGTAACAATTCATTATTGTCCAATATTTCTTTTGTGATTTAGAATTCATCCGCTGAGCGTCTTGCAAGTCGCTGAACCTTCTTCTTGAACGATGGGTAATTTTCGCGCAACTCTTTCTACAATTTTTTTTTTTTTTTTTTTTTTTTTATCGCCACACATAAAGTAAAAACAAAAAACAAAAAACAAAAAATAAAAAAAAAATTATTGAATAAAAAATATCAAAGTTACATTAGCCAAATGATTTTTACATTGTCCATGCTGATACTGATGCTCAAGAATGGGTCACTTACTGCGGCCTCAATGTTTGCTGGACTTTCGTCATTTGGGCTCGAGAGCATCGAGATGACACTCACAAGAATCGTCTCAACAGTGTGGACCGGTGACCAGCGCTCACTCGCCTGTTCATATCCATATTTGTCCTCACCAGGGGGATGCTGAAAAAAAAAAAAAAAAAAAAAAGAAATTCAGCGGGAACAAATACGAGCCCAAGGTCACGTTTTAGTCAAGGTGTTCCTATTCCGCCACCTAAATATTTACCAGTGCTGCATGATGATATGACTTACCAAAATTGAGATGCAGACCTCTCCATTGGGATACACTGCAGAAAAAAAGAAAAAAAAAAAATGAAAGAAAGAAAAAACCACAGTGGAAAGCCCAAGATGCAAAAATGGTTAGATGATTCCATAAACATTCGCCTGATCATATTCCATGACATTCAGCCTATAATATTCTCAAAACCCCGACATATTCCCATTATTTGACCGTTCATCGATTCTTTACCATTTGGGTGATACATTTCTGTTGTGAATTTGAGCTTTGGTGGCATCAGAGGGTAATCGGGAGGGAAGGTCATGATAGCCCTAAAGAAGCCGCCCTCACTATAAAAATTCATGTAAATGTAGAAAAGAGGTCAGAATCCCAAAGGCCTAAAGAGCAAATCTATTCCAACAGATGGCTTTGATCGCCGGTATATTCTGCTTTTTCTTTTTCTTGATGCCATTATAAGTATATGGAATATATCATTGCGGCAGCAAGGTCTCCAATAGATTTGACGAATATAAAAATCTGTCTCCAAAAGTGTGTGTCGCTTCTGTCAATTCTTGCTGCTCTCTTTTTTTGTGTGTGCTTGCATGCGTGGAACACTGTTGTTTGTGCTCAGTAAAATCCTAGATGACATGATAGATCCCTGAAAATGATGGCGAGTCCTGGCTATTTTCAACTTTGCTCCTTCTTCCCAAAACGCCATTACAAATAAACAAAACAAACAAACAAAAAAAAAAACAAAAAAAAAAAAAAAAAAAAAAAAAAAAGCCAGGGATAGCAGACGAGATCTTACTAAAGTGTATCCTGTGGTCCCATAATGACAATCTCCCACTATATAACGTGAAGATTTAGAAAGAAGATTGTGTTAGTATCTAGCACAGAATTGTCAGAGATCGTATCGATCCTAATGTTTTTATCCTTTTCGTTTTTCCAAACTACTATAGTACCTCGAAGATGTTATCATCATCGACTAGGCCAGCCGAGAAGCCCTCGACAGGATTCTTGGAGAGCTCTAAATGCAATAAGAAAGAAAGAAAGAAAGAAAGAAAGAAAGGGAGTGATTAGGATTTCTTGATAAACAAAATGGCCTGTGCCTTTGTGTGGCATGTGGGATTTTCTTCTTGATTTCTATCCTCCCGCCCCTTTTTTCCTTCCAGCGTGGTTTAACCAATGAGTCACAAGTGAAGATGAAATGTCGCCATCATTCATCTTTGAAAGGAGGACAGACAGACAGATTGTAGTTTCAAGAAAGATGGATGACTTGTTTGTCTTTCCATTCCTTCATTACTATGGGCAACAGTCTGTATGTCTGTATGCTGTTCGTGTCAGGTACAATTTTTGATTAATTTTTAAAAGTATACTATTTTTTATTATTACTATTATTAAGCTTACCTTTGAGTTGGCGTTTGAGAAGGAGCGTTGACTGTTCGGACATCTTGGTCTTTTCTTTTTCTTTTTCTTCTTATAAAGTGAGGGTAAAGAGAGTAGGTTTGAACAGGTCGGAAGATAGAGAGAGCGGGGGAAAGGAAGATGTATAAAGAATGGAGGTGAATGAATGAGCGGGTATGGGTTGAAGAAGAAAAAAGGAAAAAAAAAAAAAAAAAAAAAAAAGAATGTTTGAGAGAGGAGTTTTTTTTTCTAATTTTATTTAGAAGGTATTTAAAGTACACAGGTCCTGTGTGAGTGGGCGGGTGTTGTGGAAAGTGAAGGAAAAGGTTCAATGCAAGGGGGACGAATCAAATATCCCTGCACCGTCAGTCAGAATGCTACACCACACTTACAACAAGCCACTCAACTACCACTTTGCCACCTTATTCTTTTTACATTCGATACATCGCCATCCTTAAAAGACAAGCAACCAGGGTAACACGGAGTAAATAAAAAGAAAAAGAAAGAAAGAAAGAAAGAAAGAAAGAATCCAATGTGACATGCTGCGCCAGTTTCTCATTCCCTATCGTATCACCGTCTCAGTAAACAAGTTTCTTTGTACCTGTACCATCACATTTGATTTCCTCGCTCCGTCTCCCCTGCGTCCTCTGTATAATCATAAAAAGAACGCAGAACAATATGTCGTGCAGAAAGTTGTGGTTACAAGTGCATCGACCATAACCACACGACCAAGAGAGGTGGAGAATATGGTTAATGGTGGGGACTGTGCTTGAGGGGTATGGAGTGATCGCAAATGTGTTGACACCATCATTGTGGATAAAGTTATTATATATAATATACTTCTTTTCTTTCGCAACTACCCGACATTTTCACAGTTATGCAACGCGCCACTACAGCACTCTTCTCAACAGCAAAACGTCTAACTGCTGTTCAGCTACACGTTACAAGCCGCGTCAGGACTCACACTACTCTCTCAACAATCACTCCATTGCATTTGAGAATCACTTCTCATGGATCCTTCCTTGGAAAGAACATGGTCATGGCCATGAATACTTCTGCTAGTCATCAACTCAGAGGCTATGCCAAAAAGAGTAGCAAAGGCGGTAAGGGCGGTAAAAAGGGATCTAGCGATGAAGAAGAAGAAGATGATAACGATTCTGGTTCCCGCAAAGGAGGAAAAAGCAACAAGTCTTCTGGATCAGGAGGAGGAGATATGACGTTTGATATAGTAGATCTGGAAAAGAAGATGGGCCAGTGCTTAGAACGGCTCAAAAAAGACTTTTCGACCATGAGAGCCGGAACTGCTAATCCAGGTAATACTAATAAGGAGCCTTGGATTCAGACCAGTATACTTTTTCTCAATCTACAGGGACAGTCGTTTAACCCTTATTCTGTTTTTTTTTCTTTTGTGTAAATAGCAATTCTAGATCCTATCAAAGTCAAGGCAGGTAATAGTCTTGTCTCTTTGCGCGATGTGGGACAGGTGTCTATCAAGGATGCAAAGACACTAATGGTCAACGTGAACGATCCTGAGGTAACGATCTCTTTGATCTAATCTGATCTGCTCATATTCATAGTTTTAAATTTGAACGTGATTCTTTTTTTTTTTTTTTTTTTTTTTTTTTGTTACATTTTAGCTTATCGTTGCTGTTGAGAAGGCCATTCGTGAGGCAGGATTAAACTTGAATCCCATTGCTGATAACAAGGCAGTCAAAGTTCCTGTGCCAAAGTAGGGAATCATTAAATGATAATGGTTGATACACACACTGTCTCAAAAGGAGAAACTAACTTTTTATTTATGCTCTTAACTCTTAATCCAGACCTACCAAAGAGTTCCGTGAGACCCTTTCCAAAAATGCGGCAGCAGCAGCAGAAAAATCAAAAACCATCATTCGCAAGTTACGACAGGATGGAATGAAGGATTTGAAGAAGGATCTTAAGGCTGGAATGAGTGAAGATGAGAACTTTACATTGGAAAAGAAGGTAATTTTAATGCTCTTTATCCGTAATATCCTCAAATGCCCATTATCTAATCATTTTTCTCCGTGCCTTTTCATGTTAGGCTCAAGCATTACACGACAAGGTTATCAAAGACATCGATGAAGCACTCAAGTCCAAGGCCAAGGAGATCATGTCCAATTAAAAGCCCTAGTGACTTTTTATTATTTCTTTTTCTGTATTCTGAGCCACTTTTTTGTTTTATTTCAATTTTGAAAGATAATAAACACAGAGAGATCCTTGGTTGCAAAACTTCTGTTGTTACTGCTGCTTCTGCTGTATGTTGTACATTCTCCTCGTTAAGCAATCCCGATTTATGCAATTGGTCCCTTGGGAAGAGCTTGGTATTCCTGTAAAAAGTTTGAACATTAGTTAATAAACATAAATCCTTATGTTAATAAAAGTTGTTTCCTGGATAGCAGATAGTAGAGATTTTCTTTTCTTCCACTTTTTTTTTTTTTTTTTTTTTTTTTTTGTTTATTTTTGTTTATTTTTACCCAGTGAAGTGCGCCAACGTCGTAATTGCCCTCAAACGACCAGCCTGACTCCTTGACATGGAAGATGTTGATAGACCCTCCAGAGTAGGCATCACGGTGAGTAGCATGGTAAATGGCCCTGCGTCCCAGCTCAATCGCATCGGGAACAGACAGATTATAGTCGTATCCAGTATCAAGAACACCATATGCAAAAGTCGATCCTGAGCCAACAGAAAACTTTTCACCTCTCAATCGAGAGCCATCAGAGTCAACGTAGAACAGTTGAGGGCCCTAGAAGCAGCAAAACAAAATACAAATTTACTAAGCTTTACAGCATAGGATATATCTCCAACATTTAAAACGTTGAACCTGTTTGGTATTCTGATCGCAAATTTCCTTTACCGTCTTGTCCCATCCAGTGATCATTGTACCCATAGACAATCCCATGCCCTTGTAATCGTAGACCATGTTACTAAGGATCTTGGATGCTGCTGCTACGGAGATACGCTCCTTATTACGGAGTTCATACAATCTGCATCTCCTTCCAAGTTCACGCTCCCAGTACTGACAATCAGCAGCACCTCCAGCCATGGTTCCCAAAAGGTAAGGATTAATCTCGATTACCTTCTTGACCGTTTGCGAAGCTAAAGTGCGGGGAGCAATTATAGCAATTAAAGAACATGAGTAAGGAAATAAAAACATGATGACGAGATAAAAAAAGAAAAAAAAAAAGCTAAACTTGCAAATCTCAAGAAGTGCACGCATTACCGATATAAGATCCTCCTGAGGCACGCGAATCAACAGCAACAACAATACCACCTTGGAATTTGAAAGCTAATGTTGTAGTTCCGTGCTGGATGCGGATGCGGTTCTCTGCCGAGGGGTCAGTATGGGCGCGTAAGAAATCTACGGGCTATTCAACAGGAAAACATGGCTAGTTAGTATTTTAAAAAAAAAAGCTCTTCATCGTTTTTTTTTCTCCCTTCGAGAATAAAGTGACTTTACATTGGCTACCAGGGGGATGTCGAATGAAGGCAGTGCGAATTGGCTAGCAGCATCCCATCCTCCACTGTTGTTATTGAGGCTGTCTTCAGTATCGAATGAGGTAGAAGCCGAGTTGGAGTATTTGGCGACAAGTGAGTCCATGTTTTAAGGTTGCTATTCTGTATAATATATGTTTATATGTTCCTTAATCGCTAAAAAAGGCGTGTATGTTTGTTCAAGAACAGAAAGAAGAAAAAGAAGAGGAACAAAAAACAAAGGATGAATGCCGCACTTTAATTGTAAGTAAGAATGGTAATGTGCTTCATGTTTGCCTGCTTGTAAAAACACGAACGCGTCGGCTACCAGGCAAGGGGACACGTCACCGTGACTGCGGATGATCAATAGAGGCCTCGTAACCCACGCAACACGAAAGACTTTTGAAAGACAACTTCCACAGACACAGAACACACAGTCCATTAGACATTCAATTCCTTTTTTTCTGCTAAACCTCCCATTTTAACATTAAATTCATCAACCTCTTTTTACGGAAACTCACCGACCTTATAAAGGAACAAATATGTTTTCCACTTATCCTGGACAGGCTGTCATCGACCACCCCGTCAGCGCGCCCATCGAGCACCGCTTTGACCCTTATGTCGACAATGGCGGGTGAGTATTTAAAAAACAAAAACCTTCGGAAAAGCAGCACAGAAATAAGCAAAGGAGGCCAACGTAGGCAGCTTAAAGAAGATGTAAAAAAAAAAAAAAAAAAAAGTCCTCGTTCATCATATCATAATAACACTGGGTGTAAAAATCTTTCTCCTGGTACACCAAAATTCCTGAGAGATACATGCGAAGGAAGGAAACGCGTCAATCCTTCAATCCCTCCTCTCTTCCAAGGACCAACAGTACAAGTACTAAGCATGTTTTTATCTCCCTATTCTTCATAGTACTTTGTTGTCCATTGCTGGCAATGACTTTTGTGTGGTAGCAGCAGATACGCGACAGAGCGAAGGCTACTCCATCAACTCGCGCTATGTTCCAAAATCGGTCAAACTGTAAGGAAAAGGACCTATATTAACAAGATATGCCAGTCATTAATGTTTACTTTTAGCAAGCAGTGTCGACTGAGGAAAGAACAAAAATAAATATACTGATCCACGCATTGTTTCCTTTTTTTTTTTTTTTTTTTTTTTTTGTAGATCTGATAAGACTGTGATTTCCATGGGAGGATGTTATGCTGATTGCCTGACCCTTACTAAGAGGATCCAGCAGAGCATGGAGGTACGAGAGGATATAGGTCTGGAGATATCTATTGTTTTATGTGGAGATGATGTCCCATTATCATGATGAAAAAAAGTTATTTGCAGGAAATCTAACTGTGATTTTCTTGTTCATTGGGGGGAAAAAAAGTGGTACCATCACGCTCATGGAAAGGTTATGTCGACAGCTGCAGTTGCACAGATGCTTTCCATCATGCTCTATCAGAAGCGCTTCTTTCCTTTCTATAGCTGGTGCATTTTGGGCGGTCTGGACGAGGAAGGCAAGGGAGCTGTTTATACCTATGATCCAGTAGGATCATACGAACGCGAAACCTGTAGATGCGCTGGCTCTGCTTCATCGCTTATCCAGCCATTCTTGGACAACCAGGTAAACAACATACAAAAAAGAAGCCTTTGACTGACTTCATTTACTGTGTGGACTTTTTTGTTAATCAGCTTTTTCCTATGTCTAAATCAACGACAGATTAACTTCAAGAATCAGGAGTCGAGGCAGCGCACATTGACAAAGGACGAAGTCTTGCGTATTACAAAGGATTCATTCACATCCGCAACGGAGCGTGATATCTACACGGGTGATTACCTTGAAATCTTTGTGATCACAAATACTGGTGTCGAAGTCCAAAAGATTGATTTGAAGAAGGACTAAATAAAAAAGCTTTAAGGAATGTAGCAGAAAGAGAGGGAAGGAGGAGCCTTCTTGGACGATGAAAATGAAATAAACATGATAATCATTATCTAGGTCTTTTTATGCGTTATAAAAATCACTAAAGCTTGACTTTATTCCTTTAAGCAATGAGCATGACTTGAATAGCTTTTACTCTCAGGTCATCTGTGAAGTATCAATGTTTATTGATCTCTGTTCCTCAAGGAGTTAGTCGTCAATCTCTACATTTTCTATACTCTAGAAAAGAAAAGAGGATCATCTTTTTAGCTTTCTTGATCCTCGTTATTGAGTTCCTCAATCACCTCCTTCCAAACATGCGCCAGATGCACAAAATCAGAAAACTCCAAATAAATCTGGGCAGAAACCCTTGTCCAGAAATAGCCTCCGTGTTTATAGCTTGGCGAAAACAGGTTGTACTTATCCAATAAATGGCGGACCAGATAATCGGGTGTCTCGATCTTGGGGTGGTTGATATTCTTGATCGGCAAACGAATATTCACCATACTGCCGACTTGATGATCATAAGGTGTCATCACCTGGGTTCCCAAGATTTCAACCATGATTTCCCCACCTCTCACAGCCAAAGTATGCATATAATGCATGATGGCTTCTTCACCATACTGTTCGCGGAACTCGAGCGCGCCTTCGATCGACAGCATGGAGGAATAATCCATGGTCCCGTTCCAGGAAAATTCGGCTTCGAATCCATTCTTGTAGTCGCCCTGGATCGCCGTTGGATGGATTAGACCTTGTAATCGTTTTGGAACGTAAAGCGCAGCGGAGCCTCGTACGCTGTAGAGCCACTGAATTAAAAAAAAAAAAAAAAAAAAAAAAAAGTGTATGCTGTTAGGTCCTACAAAATTATAAATGAATAGTTCAAAAGGAAAAAAAAAAAAAAAAAAAAAAAAAAAAAAACGGGATTACCTTGTGGCAGTTGGTAATGAAGAAGTCTGCATTTAAGAATTTTAAATCGACAGGAACTTGTCCGATGGCATGAGCACCATCCACAAGAACCAAAATGCCATACGATTTAAGCATATCAACGAGTGGTTTGACAGGATGTACGATCGCAGGAACTGAAGAAATCCAGTCAATGACCGCAAGGCGGATCCTTGACTGATCTTTTTTAGCCAAATGATGCTGGACGGTTTTCTCGACCTGATAGACAATTTCATGATCGGTCATGGGCATCGTAATGGGGACTTCAATAATGTTCACATCTTTGTGAATATCACATATATAATGAACGGTCCTGTCCACATTAATATAACCTGTCGAGAGTTGCAGAATCTTGTCACCAGGAGCGAAGGCAAGACTACGGAGGACAGCATTGATGCCCGTAGTGGTGTTCTGGACTAAGGCCAGTTCATCCGTGTCACAGTTCATGAACGCTGCAAGCTTTGAGCGAATCTTTCGAAGTGCTGGCTTCAACTCGAGACGAACCCAACGATCTTGGGTAACGTTGATAAAAAGTAATGCATGAATGGATGGATAGATTTATGTTAGTTGCTCGTGTGCACAAGGGACTGTGGGAGTTGTAGACGATATTTTGACATGTCTTATTCAACTACTTTTTTTTTTTACCTGGATTTTGCTCGGCATAGTCGTGCCACTTGAGCATGTTTTCTCGTACAGACCGAGGAAAGGTGCCTGCCAATGGGCAATGAGAAGGTCAGTTGCTCTACAACGTGTTTAAGTCTAATATAAAAAGGAGAAAAAATCGTGACGATAGATATTTATACCATAGGATCCATGGTTGAACTCTGTCTTGCCCTCAGGAAAGAAAAAGTTCTTGCGCTGTTTGTGACCAAAAGGGCCAGGATGGGTAGGAGTGGGTAATGAAAATGACATTGTAATGAGATGAAGGCGAATGAAAGCGAATGAGGGATAGACAAGAGGAACGTGCACAAATAGAAAAAAAGAAAAGGAATGTTCTGTCTTCAGGAACATGTTCCCACAGACAATCTTGATCACCCCTGGAGTCCCATTTTAGGATAGAGTTAACATTTTATTTCACTTCAACAACCAATTATATCTATAACTTCTCGTCAACGTCCACGCCAAACTCGCGCACTTCGCGTTGGATTACAACCTTTTGGACGCCAGTGTGACCAATAGTTTCGCGTCCTGAACTAAAATACGCCCTCTCTATTGGAATATCGTATTCTTTGATGAATGTCACACTTGGACCCGCTGTAGGCTTTGACTTCTCATTGACCAAAACATTGTAAGGCTTTTCCTCTCTGGGCGAAGATCCCTCAGTGGCAGGAGCATCTGATGCAACTACAACAGTCATGGGCTCTGCCTCCATTGCTTCTGCAGTTGACGATGGCCCATTATCTTCTGCTGTAGTCGTCTTGTTATTGCGCCGAGTACAACATGGGAAGCACCAATGCGACCATGACAGTGGTAGTGATGATGATCCCGCTTTCGCTTCTCCTGCCATTGTGGTTGTCTTTGTGCTCGGTGATACAAGGGTAGTGTCACTTCCAGTTGTCTTCTCCTCAGTTTCTTTCGCAGCCTTTGCAGCCTTTGCAGCCTTTGCCGACAATGCCATTGTGATACCACAACACTTTCTATGGGGTCTTTCACCCGGTAAAGGAGGAAGAGGTCTAGCCCCGTGCCCAAACCACCAACTTCCCACAGGTGCTTCATGATGTTTCCACTCCCATGCAGTTCCAATAGCTGCAATGACAGGGACAAATGCAATCATGACCCATGTGCCTGCAACAGGATGAAACCTATCAGTCGATTGCGACAACATCACATGGAACGTGGACCTGAATTCAGATTGCACAAACATATCGATTCCAAACATGACACAGTAGGCGCCGCCGAGTGATGTGGCTATGATCACTGCATATCGCTCATAACGTTTGGTCAAGTAGCCCCCTATGACCACACAGATCGCTAGGAATACGTACCGAAAGACGTAATTGGTGACATTGGCTGCTGTGAAGATTACTGCAACAATTACAAATCTATTTTCCAATAGATTGGCAGTAGCAGGCATTAGGGATGTCGTTGCACCTCTTAATAAAAAAGGAAAAAGGAAAAGAAAATAAGGCACTTACACGCCATAGGCTCCCGTTAAGATGATGCCGACATGCCACAGATAAAATGAGATGATAGATCCAATAATCCCGATAAGAAGCCAAACTATGAAATAAACTGTTGTAGACTGATATACACCCGAGTTGATGTTGGTAATAAGCATGACCATTACGGCCGTGCTTGCTAAAGAAAACAAAAACATTAAAACCAGGTTTATAAACATGAGTGTATGAGCATATTTGGACGAGTAGCATCCTTGGACTTTTTTTTTTTTTTTTTTTTTTTTTTTTTTTTTCCGTCTTACACCAGACAAAAAATCCTGCCACAAGCATAGTGATGCGGATATACTTGTATCCATGAAACACTTCGACGCCACCGAAAAATATAAACAGGATGCCATAAATGCATTGTTCCCAGGTGAACTCGGATGGTGCTACATTAGAGGCATGAAGGGATAGGGATAACAACATAGTGACTTAGTTACTACGGACTTTTGCCACGTTAATCTAGATATTAATGTATATTAATGTCTCTTGCTATCATGCCATTTTTATTTTTTTACTAACCTAGGTAATCTGGCGTTGAAAAGGGATCGACCAATGTGTTGTTGGTAGTATTTGTAGAAGGAGACGCTGATACAGATACTACTTCTCCTGACTGTGGTAACGGGGCAGCATTGGCCAATTGTGCGATCCAAAGTAAACAGATTACCCAGTTGACGGCAGTGAACAGGTAGCGAAGGGATGATTTGGAGGACTTCATGTTTTCATTCATTAAAAATATAATAATAAATACTTGATTATATACAATATGTACAAAGTGGTGAGCTGTTTATGAGAAATAGAAATTCGGAAAATGAGGGTATGTATTTGGAAATGGTATAGTAATTGATAAGAGGAGAAAAGGTCGTCAGGTCGTGATCATTAAAAATAATAGTTGCGAGTTGGAAAGAGTCGTTTGCGAACTATTGAAAGGGAGAAAAGTCATACCATTCTTTGACTTTGGATGTGAAGGAAGTCAAAGAAGGAGAAAAAAAAAAAGTGGAGAGAGGAGTGCAAAGAGGTTCAAGAGTTAAAGAAAAAACGAAAAAAAAAAAAAAAAAGAACCTTTGTAGCAATGCTATGACAGAATGCCTTTATGGTTCGATCGACTCGACTCTGGCACAAAAACATGCCAGATCGTCATGGGGTCTTGAACAGGGGTCATGCCTTGACCATCCATCCCCTATATTTTGTCAACAATTACAAAAAAATAAAAAGCTGCTGTCATTTCACTCTTTACTAACCCCTTTTTTTTTCCAGACCCTCAAGCGCCACAAACAGGCAAGCAGCTAAGGACTAGGACGCCCATGGATCAAATATCTAGCGTTGCACATGTTGACTCGTTAATGAAAGCAAATAAAAGCATGGAAGAAAAGGGTGAATGATGTTCCCTTGGATGAACGCGTTCTTCATGATAGACGCCGCCAAAAAGCGTAATTGAAACAAAAGATTGGCGCCACGTTTCCCCAGGGCGTCAATGCGTCCAAATGAAGAAATTCTATTGACTATTTCTTTCGACAGTCTTCTTTCTTGCTCTACTTCTTTACTTGCTTATTTTTCTTTCAAACGGACCGACAAACAAAAACTTGCTGTTAGATTTGCTCTTCTTCGCTCTTTCATTCTTTCCTTTTTTTTTTTTTTTTTTTTTTTTAGCCCTTCACCACACGAATAAGTATAAAGAAAAAGAATTTTGATCAGCATGCAATCTGTCTGGTTGGCAGTCATTTACATTGGTGGATGGATTCTTGCCATGAGAATCTTTGGGTTTTTTTGGAGAAGAAGAAAGATAGGTAATAGGAAATAATAATTACAACCATGGTTGACCATTCCAATTATTTACTCCCAACGCTCTTCGGGTTGGATTTCTACAATTATTGACCTGTTTATTCTTATGTAAATGTAGCTATTAGCACTGCTGAACCATGGTTCCCGGAAAACGAAGCTCGAGCACACTATATGGCACTCTTGCAACAGACAGAGCCCCAGGAGGCCACGGACGCACAACTGAAAGCAGCACTGTTACGACGAGCTATGGAGGCTGTGAATCGAGTTTTGTCCATGCGTGAGGACAAGCCAGTGTTGACCAGTTTGTCCAAACAGGGTATATTAGGAGATGATATTTGGAATGAATTCTCGCTTGCGGAAAAAGAGCTCGAGCAGGAGATAATGGCTATTATTGAGGAAGCTGAAACATTTAAGGAAGGATGGGGGGAGACTATCCTTCAAACAGCTAGCGAGATGGTAATGAAGGAAAGCCTTTACAATTGTTTTTATTTAAAACGCATGCGAAAAAGCCCGGTTCCTAAAACTTTTTTTATTTTTTTTTTATTTTTTATTGTTTTTTCTTCCCCTTGTTAAATAGGTGAGGCATGAGATGTCAAAGAAAATGGAAAAGGAGATGAAGGCGAGGCAGGAAGAAGAAACAAAGGATCAGGCGCTACAAGAGCAACGCAAAGAACAATCAAAGATACAGAACGAAAAGAATAAGGAGGCTCGTCTGGAGCGTGAGCGTGCTAAAGCATTACAGGAACTTTTGGCAGAGGAAGAGGCAGAAAAAACTAAACAACAACAACAAAAATCTCAGAAAAAGAAAAAACCCACACCATCATCACCCAACTCGAAGAAGAAATGAAACGTCTTTATTACCTTGACTGCATTTAGAATATAACCATTCTAGGACGCCAAATAAAGGAAGAACAGCCTCGAATAAAGAAACACGAAGAATTTGTGGGAGTAAAAGGCTTGGAAAAGAATGTCCAAATTTGATTATTCTTGAGACTTGATCATCCCTACGTTCTTTTTTCTGACACAAGTATTTGGGATGCGTGACTATGGTAGCCCATATCGTAATGTCGAAAAGGGTCTTCTGCTCCTGTGTGCACTGATTACAGGAGATTCATTGTCTACAATGTCAAGGTTCATACCAAAGACGTCCTTTTACGACTTGCACAAGGAATTTTATCTTCGGGACCCTGTGAAACTACATGATGACATAACCTCAATAATGAGAGATATGTGCTCGAGCTTGAAGCTACGCTTGCTACTTGCCAAGAACAACCCAGACCCTTTCAAGCATATGCCTTTGAATCTAGACGGGCATGACACAAGAGTCAGCCATATTGGCGCTGATAAACCAAGTCTCTACTCTTATAAACTCAAGAAGTCTGGCTTTCGTATTAAAGGGTGTTCAGACATGAACAATATCATACTGTTTGCAACCAAGCCAGCTCCTTGTCGGGATTTCAATGATGGAGTGATGCTTGTGAAGATGAACATTGCATCGCACATACACAAGCTGGACGCTATTGCTATTGACGGCAGTTACAGTGGATTCGTTAGACAAATTGTCGAGTCATCAGATCCACTGTCCTACGAGAACTTCTCTTATCCTGTGCACAATACCAGAGGGATGGCCATGGCAGACCAAGAGCTACATTACAATAAAGTGTTTGGTGGATTTCGGTCAAGCATCGAAGGGTGCTTTGGAGACATGCAATCCACCTTCTCCAAGTTCACACACGACGCTCCCATCCATCCATAATATCGCTACTCAGACGCACCACACATTCTGGATGCAAGATGTGTTTGACTTTCCAGACAGCAATGAGTATCAGGTTGCTTATGAGAAGCTCCCAGCATCAAAGTCAAACTAAATCATGGTCGGAGTCTTCTGGAGCTACAAGAGGCATTTTAATCCGTTGCTATTTCACAGCACAACATATTAGACACTGCCGATGAGACTATGGCAGAGACAGCGCAGGAGGGATACGAGGCTGCTAGGGTTTTAGACCATCGCGGAGGAAATGATGGCATGGAGTTTCTGATTCAATGGGAAGGCTTCGATATCTCTGAGGCAACATGGGTGGCCCTACAGCATTCCAACTACAAACAGTGCATCCAAGACTATTGGAAGACCAAAATCAGCTTCTAGGGCTGGCATTATATGTTTTAAAAAACACCACGTTGCGCATGGATCAGGCTTGGCGGTGCTTTTTTATTAGAGTAGTTCGTGACACGGAGTTTAAAATCACCAATCATCTGCTCAAGTCAACCGGAACTATTAGAGAAAGGTAAGGTGTTGCCAACAAGGTGGTTATTGGAGTAGGACTAGGTCAATTCTCCTTAAGCATGAAGCTGTCTTCCCTCCATGAGACATAGCTTTTGTATGTCATGCAGAAGACAAACATTGTGTTTGACTTTTTTAATACATCTAGATTTATATTAATTACACCAAACTGACATTTTTTATAAAATGATACTCTAAAGACTCGAAGTCTAGATTACATAATCGTTGGTGTCAGCGAATATTGTACTTCCAAGCAAGGTCCGGTTTGCGAGGATTTCGTCGGCCAAGTGGAGATCCGCAGATTATATTGCAGGACTTGCAAAACATACATGCATTGCAACGTCATGACGGGACACAACGTAGCCTGTGGCCACCTTCTCAACCAACAACAACCTCAATACCCCCAGCCAGTTGGCATATACAGATGATATTTTTGAATGGGATCGACCATGCCAGCATGCAAGCGAGCTGCCACTATGACCGGACCTGTTTATAATAAACATTTACGTGTTGCACTTCTTGCTGATGAAATTCAGCCAGGATTGTGCTGTACTCAATCGATTGGAGTTGGATTTGCACCTATCCACAACTGACCTCCTTCTGATAGGGTAATACCACCTACTCTGCATGCAGAAGTAATTTTTTTCTCCACTATGTTTACTTGATGTGTAGAAATATTGTAAAAGAAGTGGACTTCTTACCTTAATATTGGTTTCTTAACTTCGCTTAACGTACTGAAAGGCTTGAACTGGAGGAAGAGACGATTTTTTTTTGTTGATTACAAGAGTCCTCAGTTATGCTTGAAGGTGAAAAAGGATCACAAATAGTTTAAAATTCCTAAAAGTCTTTAGCTTATTAGCCTGCTTAAGAAACAAATTAACGTAGCTTGTATACTTTAAGTTTAATTCATATAACTTAATTATTTAAACTAAATGATTAACATCACCCTTTAATTTAAGGAAATGCTAGATTCAGAGTTGTTTATTGCTTTCTTTTTTTTTTTTTTTTTTTTTTTTTTTTTTTTTTGTTTTAAACTTTGCGGCTCTTGATCCAGTTATTGGCATCCTGGAATTCTTGCTGTAGCTCCCTGCTAATTGCATTAGTAGCACTGAGTGACTTGACCGCACTAACAACCACCTCCCAAAATGCAAAACCTCGCTGGATCTCTTCTTTAATACTATTGGCCAAACTCGACGTCGAGGTTGCTCCAATGTGTTCTTCCACATGCTGTAATGCCTGATCCTTGTTATTGATGTCGCCGCTTAGCGTCAATGTTTCGAGGTATTCTTTGACTAAAATTCCCAATACTGTCGAGGGCTCGTACGCAAATGGCAAGTGTGTTGCAAGCTCTGAAAAGTCCAATGTATCCTTTTGACATTCGTTCGCAAGCAGCATCTCAACAATTAAGGCTTCGCCCAAGTGACGCAGGTTGCGCGTTAACACCTTATTAACGCTGTTAAAAGCTAGTAATTCACGATTTAAAGGTCCGGACCAAATTTTGGTACCCTATATATATGTAAAAAAAAACTTTAACTGAGCTTTAGTTCATTCGTGCTTTTTTTTTTTTTTTTTTTTTTTTTTTTTTTTTCCTAAGATAGATGAATCATAATATTTTGTGATTTTACCTTGAAGCGCGCCCAGATCAATGAAACGGTTCTTGAGATAAGTCGAACAGCCTTTGTGCCGGTCTCATCATCTAAAACTGCCTTCTTGACATAGCTGTGGCTATATGGCCGGGCAGTTAAAAGTTCGGCTCTAATTAGTTCCAATGCAATAAAGAGAGCATCCTGGAACTCGACAGGTGCTGAAGGATGAGCCTTGAAAGCATCAATAATAGCTTTGCCATATGGCAGAGGTGTATGAGAAGAGTCAATGAATGATCTAAGCTGCAGAAGTTTTGATAGATGACGAGTTTGGACCTCCTGAAGTGTCATAAGAGGTGCAGATTTCCCATTAGCATCCTTGGGCTGCACTGTAGCAGCAGCATCATTGGGATTGGTGAGTAGCCCCAAAGCAAATGAAAAATTTGGCGTTGTAATCTATTCAAATACACGAAACAAGCGAGGACAGTTCTCATGTCAGTAATAGCGGAAGAATAATCGGAGGCAAGCCCTTTATATATAGAAAGGCTTACATTCGCCTTCTTGAGCTCTTTCTCGACAGATTGTTGGCTTGACTTCCAGTTGGAGATGGCTTCAACGGGAACGGGTGCAGCCTCCGACTTGACTACATGTTCTGTTCCTGTCACATTATTGTTCTCATACCAGTGAATGATTGCGATCCTGCGATCATGGAAGAATGAATGTAGCTGCGACTTGACTAACGCCATTGTCTGGGCTTTCATTTTAATGATATCTCCTGCTAGGAAAGCACGATATTCCTTGGCTTCTCCATTGCAGAGCGGTGAAAATTCTACGCCATATCCGCAAAGTAGAGTGTTGAGTGTAGTGTCTGCAATAAGACCACGTGAAATGTAATAGTACACCTCATCTGGAAGGCGGAAACCAATGAATTCGTGAATGTCATTAGGTGCTTGAATCACGTTCATGGGTTCCACATGCCCTTCATCTGTCAGAATAGGGTGGTGGCGCATCGCACAACGCATCCTGCAAAACAAATCCACATAGTTGCTCTTTACAACCTATCCATTGTAGGAAGAGTCAACGCGATTAAGCCTTAACAGCTGGTCTTCATATATATATGTCCTTTTTTTTGCTATTGTTGTTCCTTACTTGAGGAGAATCAGCATAGGCTTTAACAGCATTAAATCCAGTCCTGTGTTGTAGCAGCTCATGGATACTCTTATATGCAAAGCCACCTTCGACTGAAAAAGGAGGAAATGTTGGGCAATGGTCAACTCCTGCAAGGATGCAAAGGTCTAAGAACTGCTCATCCGTCAACACCATATCCTGAAGAACAGATTTTTTAGAGATGGCCTGGTAAGTCTGCTTTCCAAAGTCGATCTGGGTGATAACGCGTTCTACGTCAAACATAAGTAAGTCAGGTCCTGCATAGATCGCATGAATGATTTGCTTGGGATTGCGCTCTAGATACACAAGCTATGATAATAAACAGCAAAAAAAGAAAGAAAGAAGGCATTTAATGAACGTGATGTAGTGGATTTTAAGATAACATCAAATCCATGCTCTTCTTCCTTCGTTCTGTAGTAGGTCGTTAATGTTGCTAATGTACCTGTGCTCCAGCGCCATAAGGTGCTCTGAGATAATCGATGTTATGTTCCTTTAAGATTCTGATGACTAAATGGTACAGATCTGGCTGGTGGACCACATACGATCCGCTCCAAGAAGAGAGTGCCAGCTCCATCTTCCCCGCGTTGGCTGCTTCCCACGCTGTATTTCTCTTTGGGATCTTGAGGTCATCATTGACGTGGGGTTTGTCTTTACGGATTAAAGACAGTCCCGGAAAAACAAATAATGGGTGGATAGAAGCAGCTCTAATGGTTGTGTTTTGTAGGTCAGATAATCAGTTCGTATCATTTCTTTTTGCAATCCTTGTTCTGCCTGCGCGAAACATTAAAAAAACTAAAAGAGCAACAAATTTCCCGAAGCAGTCCACACTCACTTGAATCCTTCTAGCTCTTTCTCAATAGTCTTTCGAAGGCACGAAGGTATGCCACCAATGCCAGGCAAATACTGCTCCGACGCCGCCCCAATGACTTTCTTGAGCCATACGCTGCCATCAATGCCCAATCGGATATCCTTAAGCGTCGTCAATGGGTGTGTTGACGCCAGGTTCTTTTGGGTCAAGTAGACTATTTAATTGAGGCAACAGGCCGATGTAAGGTTGTTCGCAGGTTAGCTCTTTTTTTTCACTACACTTGTTGAGGCGATGTGGAGCAACTTAAAAAAGGAAAAGGAAAAGAGCAGTGTCCTGACAGCCATCACTTACAATCGAGATGTCGCACTGGCATGATGTGTTTTGTTGCTTAATAGGTTGAATGTTAAGAATTTGAATTTGAAAAAAAAAAAAAAAAAAAAAAGAAAGAGAGAGAAACTAGATGAGTCGATCGAAAAGAAGCTTTTACTACCATCGCCCATTTCTCAGGCTCGCAGGAGTATCAAGTCAGTTCTTGCCCAATTGATTGTGGCTTACTGTAAATGATCAGGGCATTCGCTTAGGGGCAAATCAACTACTGTGTTTCAAGACGCGTACCTGAACCTGATCCATTCAAGAGGTATTAGAAACACCAATACCTAACTATTGTTACCGCGAGTATCCGTAGTAACTACATAGCACCTAAAAGTAGCACTATGGGCTGCCCGAGCGTGTAAAGTAATAGAGAGAAAACCATAAAATAATATAAAGCCTCTAGCTTGCATAGTATGACCCGTGCGTGATAGTATGCAATGATTGTAAGAGTTTCAACGAGGAAGCGGCTTATTGCAAAAAGAAATCTAAGAACTAAACCACTACAAAAACTGCTTCTATCCGGGATATCCTCTTGGCTGTAGAGCAGGCAAGGCCAGATCTAGTTCTCTCTGCTTCCTACTAACAGAAAATAACCGGCTATTGCCTTCTTGCCACCATTATGAGGTCTCATTTATGGTGCGTAAAAGCAATACTGATGCGATCCGCTTGCCAAAGGTGCAAAAATCAAGCAGCAAACCCATTAAAGGCCAAAACCCAAGGTTTTTTTCTTTTCCCTTTTCTTACGTCTGATAGTTTTCTTAAAGAGTGATGCGGCTTTATCTTTAACCACCAATCAATCACCAGCGAACCGCAAGTCAATCTCATTATAAAATCACTATCGACTATGACGACTGTTCGGACTCCATATGATTGTATAAACACCTGAACACTACCACATGTCATTGACTACTCTGCGTTCCCTTAAACAATATTCTTAGCATACATCTGAACTTTTGCAAGGGATGTGTCAATGCTTCGATAAACATATAACATTTGATGACTACATCACAGCCCTTGGATTGTGGAAGCACTGAAAGTATGCGGAAAACGGGAACCATTTGTGTTTTTACTAGCAACAAGCGTGGTTTCAAAAAAGTGTGCCTCCAAGGAACAAATCCTATATCCTTCATTGCTCAAAAGAGACAATCTTGCCTTTTCTGCACCCTAAAAGCGCCCCATAGTCCCATTGAGGCGTTCAGAGGCATTATTTGCCTTATGGCTTGAGGATTAGCAGACTTTCAGACAAGTTTTATTGGTTTGAACATCCTGTCCATTCGAAGTTGTCTCTCTGGATGGCAGCTATTCAGAGGATGCTAATCAATTCCGCTAAATTGCGGTGAAATCAGAGCAGATTTGGATAACCAACAAGCACCGAACAGTTCGCCTTAACAAGTGAGCGAGGATCTCTACGGCGCGCACGGACCATGGGGGCGACTTTTCAAATTCTTTTTATAAAGAAATCCAAAGTCGCCCCCGCCTAAACATTCTACCGAGAAGTGTGGCCCTTCATCTTGAAGAACAATAAAATAAAGGCGAAACAAGGTAATGACTGGGGACTTGAGTGGATCAACAGTGGCAATAAGGTTGTTGATGGTCTCTTTGTGAATACAATTTCTATTGAGTGGAGTCTCAACCTACTGCATAGTGCAGCACAGAGTAATATGAGAGATTCCTCCCAGTACTCGAACATTGCTTCCTCAAGTATGTACATGAACCTGGGCAGAGAAATAATTATCGCAAATGTAATATGCGGTCGGGCTCTCCAAGGTATGAGTGCTGAAGGCCTTTGGCTATTTGCAATCATCCTAAGGATCAGGTAACTCCATAAATATATACAAAATATGCCTGCAATATGACATCTTTTTAAAAAGGATTTGTCTAAAAAATTTTATTGGAATTAAAGTAAATCACCGAACAAGCTCTTTTTAACTTCGTCCCAACAAACATGTCTTATCTGGGGAAACTCCTGGACTTTACCGATGTCATTGGGCGGTCTATGTACTTCGTTGCCTTTGTCATCAAGGTCATTTTTCCCGCGAATATACAAAATCTTAAAGTCCGGACACAGCACACCATCTCTCGTTACTTTGAAGTCCCTTTTATACCTGGTTTCTGATTTTTCTTCGCCAGCATTCTTACCTTGGGTCTTTTTGGTCAGCTTTGTTGTTTCCATTACTGCTCTGTGAGTTCCGCCGTATGTGTAGTCTAGGAAATACTCGATTTGATTTCTGCCTTCAGAATATCTCCGATCTGTAAATGCCAAATCAATGTTTGCAGAGCCCTCGTTGTGTTTTTGAAAATCACTGATCGAAACCTGAATAAAAGTGTAGCCAAGTATAAAATCGAATCGAGGTAGTTCGCCTCCATTTATCAAGATATTCTTGCCCTCGTCCTCAAATCTTTTGGGTGGATCTTGAAGATGTTCAAAGCCATCGACTCTCAGCTCTAAAACGTGTCCCTCCTTCCCAGCGAGATTTGTCGTGTTGAACTTTATGTTTTTTTCCTTGATAAGCTTCTGGAAGATAGCATCGGAAAATTGGTCAGGACTCAAGGTACCCTTCCTTATGTCATTTATGTAGTCGTTGGGGAGTGGGCATAGCCTGTATAGGTCCAAAAGTGCCGCCTCTGATGCTGGTGTAATTGGCTGCCGCAAAATCAAATACCTTTCCGCGTGCTTATACAGATATATTATTCCAATATCGTAGAATTTCCAATCAAGTGGCGCTCCTGCATGATCCTTGTTTTGCAGAAACACATCGGCTAGAGCTCGACGGACATCTGTTTTGAATATCGGTTCAACTTTGCCGTAATAGCTCTTCAAGGTCTCGAAGAATTGATCTTTGCGATCCTTCTCATAACCCTTTAGTCGTTGCTTGATCCCATTAGCTGTGAGCTCAATATCTCCACGGTCTTTGTCAAAAAAATTATTAAGCTCCCGTGGCACACATCCGGTGGCTCTTTGAATCTCACATCGTAGCTCATTCAAATGTTGGCGGGCTGTTGGGTGGACCTTATTTATGATCACATCCAGTAGCTTATTGAAAATATCAGGCGACATTGGACCAACATACTCAACATATTCCGGTGCGTCTGTGAGAATACACCTCTCAAAATTCGCCGTGCTGGCGAACACTGCTCTCGCGTTATTTGAATTGTTCCAACAGTTGAAAGTCTTTAGAGGCCATAAAACTGGGAACCTTGCGGGCGCAGACTTACCTTCTTCTGGAAATAGCGCACCATGCTCATCCACGACAAATAATGTTTTTTGACTTTTTAACTGGAGTAGGGTACTCAAGATACAGCTGGCGCTATTCCCATAAGGATACTCCGATGTTTCATCTGCGACCATTTCCTTGAGCTCTGAGGCTGTCAAAATATCTTTGTTGATGGATAAGAAGAGTTGACAGATTAGCTTTGCTGCGGCAGTTTTAGTGTCACAGTTGTTAAGTTTACTAGCATCGGCAATATAAAGCACTGGCCAACCATGTGCGTATGCCTTGGCCGCAAGGAACCATGAAATGTATGATTTGCCGACGCCCATTGGACCCGATAAACATTTCTTGACAGACGCCACACTGTCATTTTCGAATCTATTCCATAGGTCCATCATCTGTTCGGTCACAAAAAACTCGCGACCTTGATAGCCTCTCGCAAAGAATTTTGGGCTCTGACCAAGATCCATTGAAGTAATTCGATCTCCAGCCTTCACCGTCAAAAGCGATTGGAACTCGGCGCGGGGTTCTGGTGCGTACTTGTTATTTTCGATCAAATCCAGTATATGGAGGGGTAAAACTACGGGTTTGCCATCGGCTGCAATATATCGCTTCAAGGAACGACAGCGCTTTGCAAGGTGCTCTTTGAGCATATAGGAATAGCGAGACTGACGTGAGTATGAAATAAACAAACTTTCTCAAGAATCATCAAAACTATGAGTGGGATGAACTCACCTTCTAAACCTCCGTCTTCTGTGTCTTCTAGGTTCCTTTTTGGACTTCTTGGGGCTGTTTAAAATCCACGCAAAAAACAACAAGAGGATAGTTAGATAGGAGGCCTTGATAAAAGTACTTGTATGCGATAGGGCGGTGGGGAGCCGAAATAAGCTCAAGTAAAAAGACTCGCGAGAGGACAGTGAGAGTCAGAGTATACGCACGAACCATGGGGCGACTTTTCAAATTCTTTTTATAAAGAAATCCAAAGCCGCCCCTGGTTAGATAGTTTAGCCATGATACATCTCAAACATAAAGAGCTGTTTTGAACTACATCAAGTCAAATCAATGACGTCATGAATGACAATAAGCTTCGTCGATTAAAAATATCAACAGCCATCAGTCCATCAAGAGCTAAATACATACCTGGCGGCGGCGGCTTGACAATAACATATGTCCTTCGGCTGGTCAGCTCGTCCAGCTCAGAAAGAAGTGCCATCTCGTCATCGAGCTCTGTCTTGTCAACGGTGCCATCAAAATCTACTTTATCGTCCCTGTCTCTCTTGGGGTTGACTGCTCTCCAAAGCGTGAGCTTGTCTGCGGCAACATGATCGAGTTCTGGCTTCTTCGCTGCCTTGATGGCTTGCTTGAGTTCACCAACTGAACAATCGGGGAAAATCCTGACAGGAAAAGATGTTGCTTCTCCCTCAACAATGCAATAAATCCTCAGTTTGGTTGGCATTTTCTCATTCTTTCTTTCTCTTTCAATCGAACCACGTCTAGATGGACCATTTGGTGTTGTTGTTCCGCTTCCCATTGCGATTTCAAAACTGTTTAAAAACAAGGGCGTAAATGGACGGAGGACAGAAAACAGGAAAAGTTTGATAAAAATGTTAAGTATGTTAAGTCAGTAGCAGGATGATTCAAAATTGTGACAATGTAAGCTGTGGAGATGAAGATGAGGGAGGAAAAGAAAAAAAAAAAAAAAAAAAAAAAAAAGGAAAAAAAAATGGCAATGAATGAAGGCTTGGACAAAATGAAAAAGGAAGGAGAGCAAACTTGACGGGAGCAAAACCGGAGGGAAATAAGAAAAAAGTGAAAGGATAAAGGAAGAGGAAGTGAAGCAAGTTAAAGAAAGAGCGACAATTGATAAATTTGTTCAAAGTTGGGCTGTGCTGTGTGTGAGAAAATATTTTTTCTTGATGTGACGAATTATAAACATCAAACACTCTTGTTTTCACCACACAATCGAAAGTATGCACACCCATTCTTCACCTTACATTCATCCCACTATGAACATGTCTAATACTCCCTCATTTCAAGAACAAGAAGCTGTTACTGATATTGTAAGTGTTCAAACGCGAATAATAATTTTTTGTATCAGTGCTTTCTTGGTGAAATATGCCAGGATCATAATAAGTAACGAGAACGAAAGAAAGATGTGTTTATTATGATCCTGGGTAAAAATCTTAGCTATAGTAAAAACCCATATAAATGACTGCTAATCGCAACATAACTCCCCCAGACGAGCGTCCAGGTAAGAGCGAGTGCTTATAAAGCTTGGAAGGAAAATATATAAAACCTTCCTATTAGGATATATAATTAGTATCGAAGGAAAAGTCTAAAAACCTTCTTGTTTGATTAAATTCTTTGAAGGAAAATAAATAAAACCTTCAGCGTCTGATGCGACCATAAAAAAGGATAGTGAGGAGCATGAGATGCTGTTACGATTGTTGCGCGGCTTTTTTTTTTTTGAGGCCAGTGAATTGGGTGTGTGCGTGTTACAAACACCTAACAGTCACATAGATAACACAATATTGTGGCCTGTAGTTATCAATTTGATAGAGGGCTTTCTTTTTTTTTTTGCAACCCAGGGTCTGATAGGATATATTAAGACGTTAGCTCGATAGGTTGCCCCCTATTACTAGGATCGTAAATAAAGTGGTATCTAATGATCGGCATACTACTACAGTACAACACCCTGTCCATAAACCACGTCGGCATTGGGTAGACTTCCTTGATCAGGTTTTTTTTTTATTTTTTTGATAACGAAACCTACGAGGTCATGTAAGATTTATTTAGACGTTAGCTCTATAAATGGGTTGCCCATTACTGGGGGCGCAAATAAAGCGGTATCCAATAATCGACCGAAGCCGCATCGTCATACCACCACAGTACAACATCCTGTTCATAAACCACGTCAGCATTGAGTAGACTTCCTTGGCCTATTTTTTTTTTTTTTTTTTTTTTTTTTTTTTGATAACAAGGACCCTCAGGGAGGGTGGCGAGAAGCCTTCTGCTGTGATAAATCCTCAGGTATACCCCTGGTTCTGCCTGCCATGAGATCACTTTAGGATGCGTTATAAAAATATATACTAATTTGGGACAGTGTCGTGGTGCATCTACTAGTGATCTCTGGAAACTAGTAGGTAAATGATGGGAATGAAGAATTGGGCAAGAGCCTCGTAGTTTTGGGATACGATAATGATCCTAAGTAATACTTTGAATGATTTTGGAGACGCTGCAAAAGGGCATCGATAATAAGAAGAGAGATGCCGTTTTTGCAGTGAAGGAAAAAGCTATTTAAATACTACAGATTGATAAAGGAATTAATGATAAAGAGGCCCTTTCTTGCAAGAGCTTGCTACGAGATGTGTCAACATCGACTACATCCAGTTCCCTGAGGATCTCTTGGACCTGTCTCTCTGCTATCTCTTGTGTTGACTCTTGACGGCAGCTCGACGCCTTCGTCATATCTTAAGTCTCGGTTGCCACTGAAGTGACAGCAACCTGCGGTGCACTCTGCGAGGCTGCTGCTGACGCTTCAAGTCGTTGCCAGTCTTGTTCCTTGACAAGCATCAGGTTACGACGCTTCAGCTGCTTGAACAATGATGGTTCATGTGCCCAGAATATCTCAAAATTGCTACGCTTCATGGGTTTTCTGGACAAATCGAGCTGTCGTCCTCCCTCTAAGAAGAGGTATTTGCGAGGTCGTACCTCGTCCCCATCCTGATAGAGTGCACTTTCTGTCCGTTCCATGAAATTGCAAAATTCGCTCTCCAGAAAAAGCTTCTTGATTCTGTCTCCTTTTCTGGTGGGGCGCTCCCATGGGACATAGGTGAACACTGGATCATCAGGTGGACCATCTGGGGAAGGCGAGGTCTCGCGACGTGCGCTCTCACCCAGCTCCTCACGAGCGCGTTTTTTACCAGCAGCCTTGTTGGTGGAAGAGGAAACAGTGTTGTTGGAGGAAGACATAATGCAGCAATGTAACAAGCGAGAAAATGATATTTGAATGCAAACGAAGTTGAGGAATGGAGAAATGAGAAGCAAAATGGACCTCAATTTATATTGTTCTCTGAAATATGCCAGGATCATAATAAGTAACGAGGACGAAAAAAAGATATGATCCATTAATTAAAAAAGGGGTAAAAATCTTGGCAATAGTAAAAACCCATTTAAATGACTGCTAATCGCAACATTCTCATTGCTTTTCTCATTGCAGGCAATCTTCATCCTGATTCGTTCCTGACATTACTAATCCCATTGCGTGGTACCTTAGGCGTCATCGTCTCCCGCCAATCAACTAGAGTCCTCGCCAAAAAGTCGTCGACTAATATATTTTATTTGAATTAAATCTGAAAAAACAGAAATTTATGTGTAGGCTTCATTTTCTGTCTAAAAAACGGAGGGTATTTTATTCAATTTAAAAATGTGAGAATTTTTTTTTTGTCTCTAGACTGCCCCTTATTTATCTATTTTAGAGGGGCTGGAAAAATTTGTGTTGGTAAGTGTGTGTGTTGATGTGTGTGTTGATGTGTTGATGTGTGTGTGTGTGTGTTGATATGTGTGTTGGTGTGTGTGCACGTGAAAAAATGTTGTATTATACATGTACCTTTGAAGGAAAGAGGCATATCTGCCACATGACAGGGGTATTTGCTTAAGATGCAATAGAAATCGTCTAAAACTGGAAGTATTCTCAATATAAATATACAGCTTACCCTCTATTCATTTTATTCGACGAAATTTTTTGTATAAGAGTCCAGCCATTTTTTCTCTTTCTTTTTCAGCTTCACTCTCTCTTTTCTCAGCTCTACTCTTCTCTTTTTTCAGCTCCACTCTTCTCTTTTCTCAGCTTCTACATCCTTCTCTTTTCTCAGCTTCTACGCTCTTCTCCATATTTAAAGCGTCAGAAATGCATGGAGGAATATATAGAATGTATAGTTCTCCGTATGAAACCACAGAGGAAACGTCTGACGGAGAAGAACCGCAAATTGTCACAGTGGATGAAAACAAACAAAAATGGTCTCAAATGTCCTTTAAACTAGCGGTGAATAGTTCGGCGTACACTTTTATTATGTCAGTTAAAACACGATGTATAGGAGATAGCAAAGTACTGGTTCATTGCGTCTGTCAGACGTCTTTCAATAGGGTGTTCTCGTTGTGGAGGCACGCCAGGTCTGCCTGCCCTCTTATTCAGGCTACTTTTGCTAAAATACTTGATACAAGTGAGGACTACGTTAGCGAAGCATGCAAGATATCATTTGTTGGCTCCGAAAAACTGGCAACAGTCACCATTCCCGCCAAGATAACTACAGTCACCACTCCCACCACGCTAGCTACAGTCACCACACCCGCCACACTAACTACATCCACCACTCCTCCCGTCACGCTATCTGCGCCAGTCAATCGCGCCGCTCGCGCCAATTTAGCTAGTCTCGCCGCTGAAGAGGGAACTTTTATTTCCAGTAAAAAGTTGGACACACTTATCGAATACATGGAGAAGCAGAATAAATACATGGAGAATCAGAATAAATATATGGAGGAGCAGAAGAAGAGCACTTCCGAAATTAAAAATCTACTGAAGGCCATAGTAGACTTGCAGAAAGGCAGTGATGGTAACATTGTGTACATCAATTTATTTTTTTTTCTTCTTTTTTCTTTTTTATTAATGATAACATTGATAAAAACCGACTATATAGATATTAAAAAACGTGTAAATGTCGGTTCAGTGGAGCGAGCCGCTATCAGGGCTGAACGGACAAATATATACTCTTACTTGGACAAAGGGCAAACGGCCCAAAAAGGTAACTGTGAATTGCGACCTACTTTTTTCTTATTTATTTATTATTTTATTAATGATAGCAAAATATCAAATAGTAATTGGCAAATTGAGTGATGAGATAAGTTTCTCTACCCGAGATCGCTTCCAATTGAGAGATAAAATCGAAAAATTTTCTGACCAAAGGACAGGAGAGAACCAAGGTAACCTTGAATTGTGTATGTTAATCTATCTGTGTTTATTGTCATTATTATTATTTATTAATGATATTGAAAAATCTCAAGGCTTACAGCGACAATTGATCAGACTTAAAGAGGACATGGATTATCTGTACGAGCATTTAAAGATTGACCAACCGAGCAACAAGCGTATACGAACAAAGTATGAGCCAGAAACACCCGATATTTCATTTGAAAATGACCAGGAATAAAAGAGAATGGATCTCACAAATAAATTTATACATTTTTATACATCGAATTTACCTGCTTGTTGATTGTCTCCATTTGTACATTTATACAATAATGTGCATATAAATAAATGTACTTTTTTTTTTTTTTTTTTTTCACTATAACTGTACTATTATAGGCCTATAGATTGATCTCTCTGTTGAGACACCTTGGAAAAAAGGTAGTTGCATGACGAATCCAGCCTTGACAATCCTTTCGGGATATCGACCTGAATGCCTCTTGGAACCTAGTGCGCATGGTTTCGTTCGCCTCAAGACGGCTTCTCTTAAAACTGTTCTTGACCTTCGACCAGCATTCCTCGATTGGATTCAGGAATGGTGAGTAAGGAGGAAGATATTCACAAAAATGGCCTGCTTCTTCTATGAGCTCTCTAACCAGTGGAGACTTGTGAATACGCGCATTATCCATTAGAAAAGTATATCCATGCATCCCTTTAGCCTCCAATATCTCAAGAACCTCACAAATGAAGTCCCTAAAATAGGCCCCGGTTGTTGAACAACCAATTATACCGTCCTCGGATACCTGCGGAGGACGTGCTGCATTTCTACCACGACCACGGCCGCTGTTGTTCGCGACCCCATCTTGATCATCCTCCGCCACTAGCTCTTCATCCGCATCAAGGTCCACTGTAGTCACTGACATACAGATGATCCCAGTCGATGAAATTGCACCTACAACGCTAACATTTCTACCACGTACGGTAGGACGCACAACGTTTACGGGCCTTCCTTTACGGGACCATCCATACTCTCGGATCAGATGCAGGTTAAACCCCGCCTCATCAATGAAAATGGTCTTTTTCTCAAACTTCTCGTGGTTTGTTGGGTTTTGCATCTCTTCAGCAAATCTCTCTCTCGCTGTAAGTACAGCGGGATCATTTCGCTTGTCAGAGACCTTCCTGATCCGCTTGAGTGTGTACTCACACATATTTATGACATAATTGAAAACCGTGGCAAGAGACACTTGGACTTCAGGAAATTCGTCGTGGAGAGCCTTGTGTACTTCCATGAGCGTCGAAAGAGGTTCTTCGTCTAAGAAATCCTCTAAGTACTGGCAGTGTCTTGCTGCCAATTTCGAATCCACTCGACGCTTCTTGGAAGGGAGCTTGCCTGTTTCCCTGTAATGATTAATATATCTATAACAAACTCCCAGGTAAACATAATTGGCAACAATATCCCGAGATATCGTTTAGCACAAGTGGTCTTTAAACTTAATTATTACCTCCAGGCGGTCCTTGGATGCATGTGAACGGCCCTAGCCGCTTCAGCTACTGTACACATGTGTACTGTCCAGTACTCAATCAATCTTTGAGAAGCCTCTTCTGTAATCTTAGAATATGTGGCAGGGGAGTTGCGTTTCCTTTTACGACACATTTCTCTCAGGCTTGGCTCCTCATACCCGTGGCCAAAGTCATTTTCGTCTTGATCAAAAAGGGCCGCAGGTGCCGGATTGCGCTCTCTTTCTAGCTCATCCTCGTCGAATTGAAGCTGCGAATAGATGCAGGTCATTTTAGGCCCTTTTCCTTTGTTATTGTTACTGTCAACAGGCTCACTAATGATAGGCGAGTCAATGACAGGGATTTCAGCAGCAGGCGCATCCAGGGCAGGTGTATCGAAATCAAGCTCGTGGCCAGTATATATGGGGGGCGTCCAAGGGTTGTATGGGTCTGCCTCCTCATCGCTCTCTTCCTCTACAATCATCCGACGAGGGCGAGGCCGCGACGAGGAGGCTATATGGACGAACGAAATGCCGGCATCATAATCATGACGATATAGATTTTGGAGATGGGGTTTGGAAGAGTCACTTTTATTCCCGGAGTCTTGTGCGCGGTGCTGAGGGATGACACTGTCACCGCCTCCCCCCTCGGTTTTGATCTCAATAGCCTATGGATATTGCAAAATAGAGGAATCAATGTTTATAACCAAGAAGATGGAACAAGTTACAAAAGAACCACCAAGACCACATACATTAGAACTGTCATCCCACTTCAAGGCGGCTTTCTGAGCCTCGAGATCTTTGTAGAGCTCGTCGTCATCGGTGTCAACCAAGTTGATAATTTCAGGTTGATTCTTGGTAAGTGCCATAGTGAATTTGAATAAGGTGATTAGGAGTGTTGAAGCGATCTCAGTTGAAGGATACAAGCGGTGGTAACTTTGTCTTTTTATTTTTCTTCGAACCCCAATTCCTTTTATACATGGGCCCATCATTGCATGCTAGCGTGGTACCAATGTGCCAACACGCCAACGCGCCATGATCTTCGCGACGCGTCTTGACATCAAAAAAAAAAAAAAAAAAAAAATGGCGACTTTTTTTTTTTTTTTTTTTTTTTGAATCCGAAGAAAAAAACCCAACGCGGTTGATAATTTCCAGGACGCGCCGATAATATCACAAGGTCCCATGGCTATTTCCGCATGACCATCTGGATAAAATGAACTGCATGGTTGGACAAAATTTGTAAACATTCGGATAAATTTCTCCGCCCTTTTCGGTTAACTTTTTAACTTAACTTTGGACAATTTTTTTTAGTGATTGGAACAATTCAAAATAAAATCGGATAAAGTTTATTTTAAAGTGGATAAAACAATTAGAAACGCTGTATTTTATTTTCAAGTTATTTTGTATCTACCAATCGGGACATCCTGTCGAACCACAGCTAAAAGAATCTTTGCAAAAAAGAAAATTTAGTGACGCATTAGAAGTGCACGTGCACGTATGTACAGAGACGAACACTTCTTGCTACGAATCGCTTTTTTCACAATTAATCCTTCCATGTTAATTACCATATATAAAGGCAAGTGACATAACCCCATTCGTCCGCATAGAACCAAGTAGACCTGATACAACCGCGGCTCTATGAGCTGTACACAGATTTAGCTACTGGCGGTCTGTCAGCCAGGCTGGTTGTGTCTATTTGGAAATTTGACAGGTTGAACATGGCCTTTGTCCTATGACACGCCTTGTGGCCTTTTCATTGATCTATTGTGGACTTGGCAAAACCAGGTAGACTTAATGCAACCACGGCTCTATGAGCTGTACACAGATTTAGCTATTGGCGGTCTGTCAGCCAGGCTGGTTGTGTCTATTTGGAAATTTGATAGGTTGAACATGGCCTTTGTCCTGTGACACGCCCTGTAACCTTTTCATTATGCCATCGCTCGTATAATATCTTATTTTATTTATTACTATCATTTACTGACCAAAATCTTCTCTTATAAGCTGCCTAGTTGTCCCTAACCTCGCAAACTATCATGGAAAAAATAAGACGATCAAAGCAAGATCAAGTTTCTTGGGCGCTTCTCAAAGACCAAGGCGTTGAGCATGTAACTTTCCCGAACTTTGTTCACAAATTTGGCTTTACAAACAGTCGATCTGCCGTATCAGCCTACTCGGCACTTCTTCGAGAGACTCAGATAAACGAAGAACGGAGAAAGAGGCTCAACGAAGAGTTCAAAGATTTTCAAACAAATTCTGCAGAGCTGTTTTGGAGTGAATTGGACTCCAAAGTTGACACTATTCTCAGTTCCAGAAAGGCTGGGATTATGACTAGAGCAGTGGGACTTAAACAAGCCTCATATGATTTCAATCGTCGTTTTGAGGATATGGAGAATACAGAGCAGAGCGCCCCAACTTACCATAACGTCGAAAAGCCTACAGGTCTCAATGATGATGAAGAAAGCGAACAAGGTTTTTTTGACAAGACAGAAGAGATGTCGTTTTCGTCGATATCTAAGCATTTAGAGGATGGTAAAGGACCTCATTTCGCCTTGCTTCTTTTTTTTTTTTATTTTATTTTATCTTATTTCCCTCGGATAATGACGATAACAGCAGCAGTGATGGTAATCAAAATGATGACTATTATTATTAGCATGACTATCTCTTACTAAATAATTGTATACTGATGTCCAAATAGCAAGTAGTTCCATACCTAACCGACAGACAACACCAGCGATTCTTGTTCACCAGTCCCCTCTCCGAGAAAATCAACGTCAATCGCCCCAGTCATCCAAAGCCCAAAGTGTACCCATACTTGCACAAAAAAGGAAAGGTAAAAGGATCCAAGTTCACAATCGGACCCATTTTATGCATTGATTCTTATTGAATCAAAGCGGTATCTAATGTCATGTGGTTGTAATTGAATAGAACACACACAATCCGAAAAGGCAGGCACAAAAACCCATTCTAAGAATAAAAAAAGGGGGGAATCGACCCAGCCCACAGTCACTGATAGCGCGAAAAAAAGAAGAATGGAGGTATATATTCGTTAATTTTATTTGTGAGAATTGCTCGTATAAGAGTTGAGAACTACATTAACAATCGTGTTAATTATTTTGTCATGGTATTATTGTTAGCGTCTCGAACGTTTAGATCAAACAAGATTTTGGAAGCTTACTTCTGGAAGATGTGTTGAAAGAGTCTTATTTGAGGCTAGTATGACAATAAACACAACCGTAAAGTATGGATATAACCTGCTATTTCTTTAAGCTACTGAATTGATTGATAGTATCAGGTATTAACAACTTTCTCATCTAGGATTAGTAGCTATACAATTGACTTCGATTGTCCAGTCACCAAGGACTTATTTACAAGGCAGGAATGGACCGAAATTTCAAGTCGAAATCGATTTAACTTGCCTGAGCTACCTCCCAGTACACTCGAATATCTGCTGAGATTAAGTCAAGCAGCGATCGCTAAACAACCTGTGATCCAAATTCCCATGCCAACTGAGGACCGCGGTTCATGCGAGTTAATCCTGGATACCTTTCGTACATGGTAAATTACGTTAATTTTTACAAATCGGTGGTGATGGCAGTAGTAAATGTCACTGATAACTAAAGTACTTCACCATCAAAGGTGTCGGTTATATAACAAAGCCCCCTCCCCATTTCTCATACAAGATCTGTCAGAAGCCTTCTGGGGCCGGAAAGCATGGCCCCTACTTATGGAGTTATTGGACGACCAAGACAACTTATTCGTAATTGATGGCGAGAAATCTGGACTGGAGTCTGCAATACGCAAAAATCAAGGAAGACATTTGCATTTAGACACCTCAGCATCAAGAAAGCCTACTGGCCGAAAGATGGATCTGGTAATCCGAGATGTTTTGGACAAGAGAGACTGGATGATAGTGGAGAGGATGAAGACTTGGGATATTCACTCTAGTAAATTCCTTAAAGAATCAGGATGGGACCTGTTCCGTGAAACGTATACTATTATGAAACACAGGCTACAGGATACCAGGAATCGAGACTTTGAGGAACATGCTCGCTTTTTTGGAATATATACTGGAGGTCAGTGAGCTTAGGGTGCATGATTATTTTTATTATCACCAGGTTTTGATATGTGAAAACCATTCTATAGACCGAGGATTTAAATCATTCGAGCTGAGACCTTCAGGTGCGCATTCATATGTGTCACTTTTCAAGGAATATCCAGTCTATGACCTTCCAACCTCACTAACCAACATGAGGCCTAATATTCAAGGTGTTGTCCACCTTCTTCAGCTGAGGGTAAGTATATCATTGATGTACATTATAAATTTATAGCAATTTGATCACAACTACTACATTACTATATATAATTGTTTCTTTTGGCTTTTACAACATTATAGAAATGCATGATTGAAACAATCAATTCATACCAAAGCCTTGTCAATAGCAGCTGTCTTGAAAATGAGAATTCTGATATGAGCTGGGTGTACTGTAGTAGTCACCCCCATCTAGATGCTAGAACCACGCTGGCATCATCACCAATCTCGTCACCATATATTTCACCAGAGCACCACCCACTAATTATTGATGGAGAAAGTGTTGACGAATTTAGTTTTAGTGAGTGTGTTGATACTGAAGCTGATGTCGGTGGGCATGAAGTCTAAGTGCCCTATCCCATTACAATTTTCCTCTGATTACCATGACTTCTTACATTTCTCAGAATGAGGGCTTACTTCAGTACTTCGTGTCTAGCAAAATAAAGCAAGATCATTGAAGCAATAGTGTAAGCTATCACTTCGTTGGTCACAAAATCTGAACACCGGTGTCCCAGTTTTTTTGGGCACTAAATACATGTCAGATAAATGCTCTTTAAAGAGGTTAGAATAAAACTGGCCTCAGGAAACCGAGGCTGGTGGGCATTTGACAGTTTTGAGTAATAGAGGGAAAACAAAATCACTATGTAGAAGCTCCAATTTGAAGCTTATACAAAGAAATCCAAACACGAAATCTATTGAGGGTTGTTGCCTGGCGTGGATTGAGTGAGACAGAAGTTGTTTTTATGACTTTCTATGAGGGCGACGTTGGATTTCTTCTTATAAAAAGAATTTGGAAAGTCGCCCATGGTGCGTGCGCGTCTCTAGAAGCTGATTTTGGTTCTCCAATAGTCTTGGATGCACTGTTTGTAGTTGGGATGCTGGAGTCGCCCATGTTGCTTCGGTGACATCGAAACCCTTCCATTGAGCTAGAAGCTCTATGTCATCATCCTCTCCACGACAGTCTAAAGTCTTGGCAATCTTGTATCCTTCTTGCGCTATCTCTGCCGTAGTCTCATCGACAGTGTCTAATATGTTGTGCTGTGAAATAGCAACGGATTAAAATGCCTCTTGTAGCTCCAGAAGACTCCGACCATGATTTAGTTTGACTTTGATGCTGGGAGCTTCTCATAAGCAACCTGATACTCATTGCTGTCTGGAAAGTCAAACACATCTTGCATCCAGAATGTGTGGTGGGTCTGAGTAGCAATATTATGGATCTACACGACTTCCTTGATGTTCATAAGCAGATAACAAAGCTTGAATTGGAGATCAAACGTCTTTGCGTCTGAGAAACGGATGGGAGCGTCGTGTGTGAACTTGGAGAAGGTGGATTGCATGTCTCCAAAGCACCCTTCGATGCTTGACCGAAATCCACCAAACACTTTATTGTAATGTAGCTCTTGGTCTGCCATGGCCATCCCTCTGGTCTTGTGCACAGGATAAGAGAAGTTCTCGTAGGACAGTGGATCTGATGGCTCGACAATTTGTCTAACGAATCCACTGTAACCACCGTCAAGAGCATAGTACATCAAGGCTTCAAGCAAAAGTATATGCGTCAACAGCAGGATTTGAACCTGCGCGGGAGATCCCATGAGATTTCGAGTCTCACGCCTTAACCGCTCGGCCATGTTGACAGCTTGAGGGTGACGTGGAAAGATTCGTCAATGATCCCAAAGATTGACAGAAAATGAACAAAATGATAATAAAAAATTGGACGAAGTGCCAAAAGATAAATTCATAAATGGACAAAGTGCCAAAGGAGGATAATCTGACAAATAGATCACTAAAGGATCATAAATCAACAATGATAGTCCTGGAGAATGCTGCAAAATAGCATCAAAAGTGAAAAGAGGGATCTTTAATAAATACTGATAAGAACGAGCTTGACTTAGTAAAACTACAAATAATAATAAAAGCCGCTCACCTGCAAAATAGCATCAAAAGTGAAAAGAGGGATGCTGTTTTGCAAAGAAGCCAAAGTGATTTAAATACTAGGATTGATAAAGGAAATAATGATAAAAGTACTGAATGATGATGGAAATAATGAAGAAGAGGATACGTAAATAGCAGATTTACGACAAGGGTCATCCGGAATAAATGTAAATATCGTCAGGGCACCCTCCTGTCTAGCCCAGGGGCCGGGTTCGAGTCCTGGTTAAGGCACATAAAGTGAAGCAAAACATGTGCCAGGTCAGGGATTTGCTTGAGTTTTTATACTTTCTCTCCGAGACAGCCTAGTGTTCTCCGCTAAGGCTAAGATCGTGGGTACACTACCCTAAGTCGCCTGGCTGGCCACATGTCTTAGGTATATATTCCACCCCCCAGCCGAACCAGCGGTACATCTGGCAGCACATCCCCCATCCACCCACTTGACTAGGACAGCGATGATCACAAAGTTTGACGGAGTCCAAAGTAGAAATTTCAGACCAATTCCGCAAGATTTGGGTCCACATGCCAGTGGATTTGATCGAATAGAAAAAATTAAAAGTCGTCCTTAGCTAGAGTCGGCACGCCAGCCTCCGCGGCTTTTCACGGGCGCAACAGGCCACATCGGAAGGATGGACTTCGAGTACCGATCACGGTGTACATTGGTAGAGAAAAACATGGATACGAATTGGCTCTTCACAGCCATCCCGTGCGAACTTTGAGAGTTTCGCTTGTTTCATAGTTGAGGGCGATATCATTACTTTAGAGCGAGATTATGAAATAAAATTCCTCACCTCTGTGGGTTCTTGTTAACAGGAAAAAAAAAAAAAATCCGGAATAAATAAATTCATGGCAGTCACGTGATCAATTAAATTTGCGTCTCCCATTTGCAAATAAAGAGGTTTCCTTCAAAAACTAGCTAGGAGACACCTAGAAAGCACCACAGTCAGGCCGGAGCAACCCATTTATAGAGCTAGTATCTTAATAGGTCCTACATGACCTCGTGAGTCCTCGTTATCAAAAAAAAAACCCGTTAAATGAAGATTAGCCAACCCAAATGGCAAGACGGCGTATGTCTGGATCATGTATGTTTTAAATGTTCTGTATTCTGCATAGTCTATCTACATGTTTACAGATATTATTTATTTAATTTTGTATTGGAAGAGAATAACAAAAACCCAATTCACCTTACTTCTGTCTTTGTAGTTTCAGTTCATAGTTTTTTTTTTTTTTTTTTTTTTTTCTAAAGCTTAGCTACTCCGTACTGGGTCAAAATTGGAACAATGTATTCTTTGTATCCGTCAACGACCTCTGTCTGATTAATCTTCTGCTTCTGAGCAGTATCCCAAAGGCGTTGGTAAGCATCTCCATCATAACTTCCCAAGGCGCTGTTCAGAAGCTGATCTGGGAAATCAAACGCATCCACCAAGCCAACTACGTCATCTGCTAATGCAGTTAATAGGCTCTTGATCTGCTGACGAAGTAATTGGCATTGATTTGGTGAAATATAATAATCTTCCAGATAATCACTCAAGGACGTATGGATTGTATGCAGTGCAAAGAGATCAGAGAGACGTTTCAACACATGCATTGTTCCAGAAGACATATCCTCATCCTTGGCCAGAGACAAACTCTCTATTGCACAGCTTGCTATCACATACTCCGATTGGGCATGGTTTAACCGCCAGCATTCAATGTTGAGGTCACTCCAGATGACATTTTCCTGCGAAGCAGCCAAAGCAAGGGTTGATACCAGCCGTCCGGCACGGTGCTCAAAAGCAGCCAATTGGACCTCAGGCTTGAGCCAGTCCGAGGCATCCTGGACTGAGCATCGCTCACTTTGGAGTGCGTCTTGATCGAGCGCCCTGAGCAAGTACTTTGAGAAAGAGGTCAGCTTTTCAGGCTCTGTAGTCGCGGTCTTGAGTTGCTTCATTAAGTACCTTGCAGACTGCTGCGTCAACAGAAAATTATCTCCCTAATCCAGAAGAAAAAAAAAAAAGAAAAAAAGAAAAAAAAAAAGTCAGTCTTACTGCCCTGCTTGATTTAAAAGACGGCAGATCAAATCAACAGAAAATGGATCAAATACCTCATAAGTATTGGAGGGCACATAAGAAGACCAAATATGCGGGATTCCACTGAAATACGAGAACCCATGTCCACCCATCAATTTTCTGCAGTCTTCTATTCCAGTAGCCGCTATTGTAGAACAGGTACTCTTTAATCCTGAACTAATAGAATGCACTTCGGCGAGAGATGAGATATCGCCAACCATAAGCTCTGAAAGCATGCTTTTGTACATGACTTGCATTTTCTTTCCAGCAGCCAGGATAGCGTAGGCTTGAGCAATCATGGGGAATAAGCGAGCCTGTACCATGGGGTAATTGATCACCTGAGTTTCCAGCTTAGGATTGTCGATATCCTTTCGACTGGTTGGTACATGGAACTGACGGCGGACTGTAGAGTAGCGGGTCGCGATAGTTGTCGCACGTCCTAGCACCATGGATGCCTCGCGGACCATTCCAGACCGGAGTAAAATCATTGATCCATAAGAGAGCTATTGGGAAACAGTTGATGTTTGGGCAAGTGGTCGATGTCATGGGCGTTAATCTATATACTTTGATGTATTTTTGTAATTTTATAAAGAAACAAGCATGGCTTACCTTGCTGTGAGGAGGCCTGGTATACTGACCATCTCTGCTGACCTTGGCAAATCGCATGAGCATATTCTCTCTTGGAATAGGATGATGATCAAAGAGGACATCTACATCATATCGTCGGATATAAAAAGATATCAATCGTCAGAACATCTTTTGCTTGAATCTCAGTAATCCATAGATCTACAATTTGCTGGCATTGACACTTTTTTTTTTTTTTCTTCTTACAGCCGTTATCGATTTTTGAAAAGCCGCCATATGCTTTGGGACCAATGTCCCCAGCTTTCACACCGGGGAAGGGACGATGATCTTTGAGCGAGCGAATAGGAACAATAAATCCATGAGGTCCATAATCCTTGCCGTCAATGATGAGACGCGCCTGGATAAATGCATGGGTTGCAATGACGCCTAGACCACCAATCCACCACTTGGATGCAGTAAACGTAGTACTATGAATAATCCATTCGTCCGTATCTTTGTTGAAAGTGGCTGTTGTCTCGAGCCCAGAGAGATTACCTGACGACAAATGTCATGAAATGAAGTAGCAGTAAGAAAAAGAAATATCAAGCCGTCATTTTTCTTTCCAAAAAAAAAAAAAAAAAAAAAAAAAAAACCTACTGCCATGGCCTAGTTCAGTCTGTGCATAGCAGCCGATGATCTGATGCTTCTCTGCCAGAGGTCCCCAATATTTTGCTTGCTCGTCCGTTCCTTGAGCGTAGATAGCGGGAATGAAGGCTGTTTCATGAAGACCTACCTGTTGTGGTCTCATAATTTAATGAGCAACCTATTTAAACAAAACGAACTAACAAACTAAAAAAATTACTAATTTTTTTTCCTTACCGGAAGGTAGTCATCTATGAAATCGAGGCCTTTTTTTTTTTTTTTTTTTTTATGAAGGGAGGAGATAAAGTAACTGCATGTGAGAACTGTGATCTGAGGAAATGAAGGCCAAGCTAATAGCCCTAATAACAAGTAAGCATAGGTTTGTATTTACACATTCGGAATTCCTCGTGAGTAAACTTGTGCTCTTCTCTCAATTGATACAGACGAAGACTCATGGCTAGACCCGTCTTCACATCCTCGACTCGGCTCAGGCCAACTCTGCAAGTTCAAGAACAATAATAATGGTCATAATTATGATCATAATAGTGGTAGCAATAGTAATAACAGTAGTAGATATATTAGTCAATCATTAGGTAATTTGAATAAAATAATAATAACAATAGTAAAAGAAGAAGAGAGTAAGAAATAGAAAGACATGCCTGCGATCAAAGCTAAAGACGGGATCATTAAGCACTATATTAGCAATTTTTCGGCGCCGAGCAATTTCCTCATCCGATCCATAGATATAACGAGTGAGCTCGATGATAGGGAAGGAAGTCTTTGCGCGTGCGGCCGCAAGGTCCTTGCAAGCTTGTGATTCTACCATGATACAACCGAAGAAAAAAAAAGGAAGAAGAAAGGAATACGACAAAAAAAAAGAAATTTAAAATATGACAAAACAAATAAAAAGAAAAGGCGAAATGAGAACTGTGTTGGCGCTGTCGGAAATGTGATGATAACAATAACAATCGTGTTAGACAAGGTGAAAATGTGTAAAGGAAAGGAAAGAAGAGAACAACAGCACAGCGTTTGGCCGGTTCGGATCAATTGTTCAAAAATAAATGTGCCCCTGAACTTATTAATTTATTATAAATTTAAGCCACAAATGATCGGGACGTGTGGGGTAGACATGTCAGGAAATTGCTTTGTGTTCCAAATTTGTGCGCACGTCCATTTGTAGACGATATTTCTGATGGCATATAATGAATACACAAGACATCGTAGAACATTGGTCCCAGTAGACTAGAAGCCATTTCACTCTGTCGTCCCTTCTGTGCCAAAATGGAAGGCGCGGAGTCTGACAATATGTGGAAAATTGGGATCAAACTGTTTTTTTTTTTTTTTTTGACTATTTTGTCTCATGTTATATAATGCAGTAAGCATATTACAAATATTCTATATAAGATTATCGACTTAAAAAATGTTTCAAAAAAGAGTGGTTTGATCAAATCAGAATCATCAACGGCAAATGACTTCGGTCACTGGTGAATTGAGCCACTCATCCATTTCCACACTGGCTGTCAAAGGCCGATCGTCATTTGATGCTGCCGTATCTGCATCAGTATTCACCCTTGATCTGGATCGAGATAACGACGTTGTGCGGATACTGAGAATCGGGACTTCTAATCGTAGTTGGCGAGAGAGTGCTTGGTCATGACTAATGGGCGGCACATTCGCCCAGAGCATCACATCCCCTGTAGAACCGTCTACATTATATATATAATATATATTCAATAGAAGCGAAAAGGGATGAAAGAATAAAAAAAGGCTCAAAGACGAATAGCAAAGCTATATTGATATATATATATATTTACCAATTCGATTTCGTTTGTAATGATAGACTGCTGAAGAATAAAACATCCAAAAATGGCCATTATTCTGATCGTTCAGGCATCCAGAACAAGGTTGTGTAACATGATATCCCACCACTTGGCCACTTGATACATGTGTGTACACAAAGAAAAAAAAAAAAAAAAAAAAAAAAAAAAAAAAGATGATTTAGTCTTGTGTATCTCCAGACAACCACGCAATGTAACCGATATAGCTAAAAAAGCCTACCAGCCAAGGCAGGCACTATCTCGGATTCGACAGGCACAATGGCGTACTTGGCGATCCTCATTCACAAGTTGCAGGCCAGCTGGTGGCATATCGGTTGAATAAAGTTCCTTGGAGTGATCACTGAGCATCACCGCTTTCATAGCTCGCACACACAGTGGTCGGATGCATGCTGCACAAGCAAGTTGATATACTGGCTGGCTAAGGAACGCTGGCCGTGATGAAGGTGTATAATGTTCTTGCGAGGTATTCACGGCCCCTTCCGGATCACCGTATCGCATCTGTTGGGGATGCTGCTGTTGCTGTGAGCGTCGAGCTGACTGCGCAGAGGAGACCCTGTTGTGGTCGGTGTACTGAGGCTGTTGTTGATATTGCTGCTGATGATGCTCTTGCGGGCTTCTTTGGTAAGGTTGTGCTGATTGAGACAGCGACAATGGTCTGGTTGCCTGATGGATGGAGAATGAAGAGAGGGAAGGGGCTGTGGTTAAAAGATTAGATAGTTCATAATGCTGCCTTTGTTGTTGATTATGAGCTGGGTGCTGTTGTGGCAGTATAAAGCTGTTTTGTTGTTGAGATGACCCGGAGGTTACGACTGTAGGGCCGTAACTTTGAGATCGATTATGGTGTGAATAGCGGATAGACTCTGGGTATGGGATACCTTCCAAAGATCTTTCTTGCATTTCTTCATCGTCTTCCAAATCACTCTCTTCTTGGCGTTCATTTCTCTCCATATTTGATGTGTTATCCCTATGTATGTCCTCATAATTACTTATACCACCGTTGGAAAGCGAAATCTGCGCTCCATATCCCATAAATGAATAGGTGTGATGTGAGCCTTCATCCTGTGGTGCTGTGGTTGACTGGATCATGGGACTCTCCCGTAATGTCACCATTCTCTCGAAATCAATCGTTTCAGAGGCCTCGTTAGAGCGATAGCCCTCTGTCGAAATACTTGTGTTCTGCTGCTTCATTTTTTATTTATGGTGGTTATGAAGAGTTACAGTCAAACAGAATTTGTAGTGGTTTTCTCAATCAAGAAAAAATAAAAAAAAGTCTGACCATCCACTTACATTAAGTCGAGACCGCGCAGTGGTTACAGAGTTGATATTTTCAGAAGGACTTGTTGGCAATTCGACCAGCCGACTCAAATTTTGAGGCACATTCAACGTCCTACGCAGACTATGTGAGCCATCGGAGAACAGCTGTCCACCTGCGCGAAAGAGTGCTGATGCTCTCACAGAAAAGCTGGTAGTGTCTGATACGACTGATCGACGAGACTGGGTCTGGTATGGTTGCTGGTGGGTCATTCGAAGGACGAGCTGCAACTATTGCGTCCAACACAGATGGAGAGGAGGATTTGACCCAGTAATTAGACAAATAATAAGGTTAATCTGCCACGCGCGTTGGAGTCAGGTGAGATTGAGGATGGATGCGAGTTCTTTTGGACTTGAAAGTAGGATTGAGGGGGCGTAATCAAACGATTGAGATAGGGCGTCCGATGCAGGGAAGAATATAGGAATATAGGGAGAGGAAGAAAGATACAATAAAGGAGACAAAGAGAAAGAGAGGAAGACAGGTTTTTCCTCAATTACACACTCAGCTCTGCCAAATGACATGCACTGTGTACGAGCACATCACCAAACTGACGGATGGATGATATGTGTTTTGGTTTTATTACAAACAAACACATTTTGAGGTGCTCAAGTTATTCCACCTTGCTCTGAACCACACTGCCACTGCGTCAAAAAAGAGTAACACTCGGTCAGAAACAGTAAGAAAAGGAGACAGTAAGGGACATCCGACTGATTCATATCGGCTTGGGTCTCATATTATGTCAAGTCAAGAGGAAAAATTGGTCACATCGATCTTTTTTATGATGTGGCCACATGTTTTGCAGTCTGCGTTCTGTTTTTTAATTAATTTAATGATACTCTAAAGGGTGTTCGATGGTGGCGTGTTAAAATAAGGAAGATGGGCAGTACAAAGTGCTGTATACATTAAATAAATTATACATTAAAAATGACAGTCGTGAGATTTCATGGACGTCAACCCTCGGCCATGGTGTCATTACACCAATGTCGAGCCAATGTATCACATCCTATCACAATCGAGCTTCCAGGCCTGGCAATGTGTTGGCATTGCATTACCAATTACATTACTACTGGTTGTCGTGCTGAAATGCCTTGTATTCCACCAATGATGGATGGATCTGTTTGAGACGATAGAGTCGTTGATGCTACTGGTGACGTAGAGAGATGTTCCGTTGGGTGAGGTTTTACACCCCATGCGCAATAGCAATTGACATAACATTGGTAGTCCTCATACTCTACAAAAATTCTTTTGATCATGCTGTCATACTGGGCATCTGTCATTCCTGTCAGCTCCTTGAGCCAGCCCTTCAGGCTTGACCAAAGTCCAGCCATGTTTTCACGCATTAGTTGGCCAACTTTTTTACCCCAGGCACCAATTTCGATAGAGGTATGGCTAGTTTTGACGTCTTTGATGCCTGCCTCCTGTAGCAAAATATCAAGCTTCCTTGCCACTTTGGGATCTAGCCCTTTGGAAATGCACCCTCTTTCAAGGACATCCAGTATTTTAGTAAGCTCTGGACCGTTGGAGCTTGTTGCAACTGGCATCTCTGTCAGCTCAATAATGCCACCTGGTTTGGTGACGCGCACCAATTCCTGAACAATGAATGGCCAATCTTTGGCAGGATAGGCCAAGATCATAAATCTCTGATAAACAAAATCAAAGGTATTATCCTCGAATGGCAGGCCTTGAATAGCATTAACAACCTGGAAGCGACAATTGCGAGGTCTGATTTCTGTTGGCCAAACAGCGGATATGTCGATACCTGTGAAATTGGTTTCGGTATGTTCCGTTGACATTTCTATGAACAGATGGATAAATGGTGTTAAATGATTGGGTTTAAAGGACTGATAATCATTTGGACTGGAAATGAAACCAATGTTGTGTGTTGAAAGTACTTACCTAAAATCCATGTTCCTGGACCACAACCAACATCGAGAACATCTTTGTGAATCTTGCCATCAAACTTGGCGCGCGTGTTTCCATTAAACGCGTGTCGAATAACATAATGCTGAAGGTGAAGTCTGAGAGAGTATCATAGAGATGCAAAGAGAAAGAACAGAAAGAAATATAACACAATGGCTTAGTAAACTTACAACGATAATTAAAACAATAAACTATTAGCTCGAGTATGAAGCATTAACCTAAAATGTTTGGGGCCATGCATCTCACCTATCCATTTCATCAATATCATTTGGAAGTACATAGACGGCATCCTCGTTGTTGTGATGGCGCCTTCCATCAATCCAGCGGAAGTTTTGCTGTGCAGATTTAGCGCCGTTAGTAGAGTGAATGGTGTTGGCACGTTGTTGATAAAAGCTCTCGTTGTTGGCGGTTGAAGCAATGACGGAAGGGGTGTAACCATTCATAGCAGGGATTTGGCTAAACTCCTGAGCGCCACGCGCAAACGAAGTGTTACTCTCTAGGGCCAAGCGAGCAGACAAATGGTCTGCCATTTGCTGCTCACTCAATTTACGCTGATATTCACGTTGGAGTTCTTGCTGCGTCGGCCTGGGCTTCTTGTGCAGACGCGCCTGCAAGGAGGACTGGCTGCTGCCCATTGTTGAGAAATTTTTCGGTGTTGGTGAAGAGCTTTGTCGTTTGAAGAAAGGGGCAGACGAAAGCAGATGAAAAGAAGGATATGCTCGAATAAACTGCGTTTGAAGATGTGATGGATAGCTTATTAAACGTAGATGGATAGATTGGGTCTATTTTTTTTTTTTTTTTTTTTTTTTCCCTTGCCTCCTGATGTCGTAAATGTATTATTGTATTAGTAGTTCAATGATTGAATGATGCAATGATGCTGATGAATGAGTGAGTACACGATATCAGAAAAGTTTTAAGCTTAGTTGACAGAAGGTTAAGGAACTGGTTTGTGGGGAGGATAGATTAGAGGATAGGCAGAGTACGACTATAAATTATATGAATGAATGACAGAATGAATGAATCTAGGGATGATGAGGAATAATGATAAGGATGGCGTGTTGAAAATGCAACAAGGCGTTAAAAGAAGGAAAGGAGACGAGAGAGTAAGTTAATGCAAAAGTCAAGAATCAGGCGTCAAGGTGTGTATGGACACATGTGAGTGGGTCATAGAGAGGTGTAGGTGAAGAAAAGAGACAAGGCAAGAGATAGAGGTGAGAGAGGAAGAAAATGACAAAGAGAAAGTGAGCATAGAGTTTCAAGAGAGAGAAAATAAAAAAAAATTATCGAGAGCATCGAGAGCTGGAGAAAAAATCTGAAGAGCACACATAAAAAAACAAAGAGAGAGAGAATCTCAGCATCATCTTTGCAAAAGGGCTGTTTTGTCGCTCAATTAAACTAGTCAGCCTTAAATATCAGGACACCATGATGCATGCTCATGGTGCAATATGCAAAGTATGTAACAACAAATAACAAATTGAATTTATCATGCATGAGGGAGAAGGATGGTCAGAATCTGGAGTATTTGGGCGGGAAATAGCAACAACATGCTGTTTGTGTTCATGTCTTATTGATTTTCATACAATTGTTCTAACAATTGGGGCATGGTCCTGTACAACATTTCTTTGCAATTGTTTGGACATAACATGCAATACACCCCCAGAAAGAGATATTGATCGAGCATCAGTATATACACAGCCTGTAAAAGAAGATTGACAGCGACTGCAGATGGTGTCCGTTAGAGACTTATAATTGTTGTCCCCGATGGTTCGTTATTGCTCTCACTCTCTTATAATAAAAAAAAGGAGACACATTAGATCACAAATGGGCGAGGAAAAGGCGTCCGTAATGTGTCACACTCCGATGAGCTTACTCTACTTGAATGTACATGCAGTACTGACCTACCAAGTATAGCCACTAAGAAATGAAATGAGAGCAACGGACAATTACACTTGTTGAATGTGCTTTATGTTGTCACCTTGGGTAGAATCCTCGTAGCATCGGTGCGCCCGACGCCAAGAGCTTTAGAGCAATATGGAGGTGGGAGGAGGGACCAACAGGAGGTGGGGACTGGATTGTCCATGAAGAGAACGAAAAGAAGAGGGGACCTGCGCTCAATGACCGGGCGAGCAAAGCAGGATCAAAGTGATCGATTACACTATCGACATTTACAAGCTAATGTAAGGCACCAGTCTACTCTGTAAATAAAGATCTCCCTCCCTGTCCAGCTGATATCGATTGTATGCATGTATGTACCGAACCGTTTGAAATAGGCTGAAGCATCGCACCTATCAATGGTGGTCTAGTCGAGATGGAAAGATAGCACTCTGGTTTCTCAGCAGATCAATGTGTTGGGGACTCGTTCTCTAGAGTATAAAATCAAACTGAAGCCCTAAGATTTTATTCAAGTACCGCAGCACATTCTTATATATGATTCAATCTGTCTTTCAATGGTACTCATAGCCAGTAGGACAGTTTAGCTCATAGTCCAACCACCATAGCCTGTCTTCTCGAATACCGATTGCAGAGATATCCAGATATTTCACCTTTTCATTGTATGGGGTATCAGTATACTTGATCATTGCTCTTAATGCTGTTGTGGCGACTGTTAAAGAAAGTTGACCTTTGTGTGACTCCAATGTTTGTTTTCTCCGATTGTACGTCCATATCTAATGTTGACGCTTCAGGTACTTCCTTCAAAGCAAAAGATCACATCACTTTGTCCATGGAAAGATTGAGAGAGTGAGACATGCATACAATCGATATCAGCTGGACAGGGAGGGAGATCTTTATTTACAGAGTAGACTGGTGCCTTACATTAGCTTGTAAATGTCGATAGTGTAATCGATCACTTTGATCCTGCTTTGCTCGCCCGGTCATTGAGCGCAGGTCCCCTCTTCTTTTCGTTCTCTTCATAGACAATCCAGTCCCCACCTCCTGTTGGTCCCTCCTCCCACCTCCATATTGCTCTAAAGCTCTTGGCGTCGGGCGCACCGATGCTACGAGGATTCTACCCAAGGTGACAACATAAAGCACATTCAACAAGTGTAATTGTCCGTTGCTCTCATTTCATTTCTTATTAGGAAGCGTCAAAACCCACAGCCACTAGCAAACTAATTTTATACACTCTAATAGATCCTTCTGCATATTGTTGTACCATAGACATGCACCTTCGCTATGACCATTGCTCAGTTATGGACCATACTCCATAGTATTTTTTTGTTTTTTGTTTTTTGTTTTTTTTTTTTTTTCATTTTCACTTTTTCTTTGGGTGATCGATACTGGCATACACTCACGCTGTGCGGATCTCTTTCATCCTTGCATATTACAAGAAGACCCTCTGTTCGTTTTCGCACAGCAGTAATCAATCGGGAGTCGAGAGCACCCTTCCGGTTGTCGTTGTTATCACCGTTATTCTGTGTACAAGGGACCGAAAAATAACAATAGTGATAGTAATAGCAAAATGCAGAGCATTTAGGTAGCAGGCGGCCAATTATTATCGCTGGTGTATGCATACATAGTATACATGCTCGTGTTTCTGGCGTAGCGTTCGACGTAATAAGCTACAACAGTCGATCGAATGGCCACTACAGTGCCTGGACGCATCACTACCCTCTTGCCCAGTTCCGGAATACAAAGATCGCCTCCCACAAAATCTCCACATGCAACGATCCAACAAAACCCGTGCTTTGTATGCGCCTTGTCGTGGTGTAACCGCGGTGACACATCCATTGCCAACGCAACCGTCGCCACTGCATCAAACAGTCGGGGTGTCCCAAATTGAAGACCATGGTATTTTTCATAAAGTGTTGGAAACAAGTATCTCAGATGTCGAGCAATGATCACTTTCTCCACCATCTGAATGGCCCGAACCAGGCGAAGAAGTCGACCTTGTGTTGTAGACTCTAAATGAAGATCATGTGGAGCTACCTGGTGGCCATTCTGTTGTGTCGTCTCATCTGTATGGCTATTAGTATCATGGCGGTGTGTATTAGCTTGACTCTCTGGTATAACACTTTGCACCATCTTGTGCTCCTTTTTTGGGAATATCGTAGGATCATGGGCCTCACACAATTGATGTTGATGCTGATGCCCTGGATAGTGGTGGTGATGGTGATGCTGTTGATGTGGTCGAGCGCCATTCTTATACTGCGGTGAATTTAAATTAGAAGCTGTGTAATTGGAGGTAATTCCATGCACATTTGTACTAGGCCCCAACACAGAGCCTCCACCAGCGGCAAGCGTTAGAGGCGTCTGGAATGGCGGCTATACCGACATTCAAATCCACAGGAAAAAAAAAAAAAAAAAAAAAAAAGTATGAGCAAATGGTCGTTAAGGTAGGTTGGTGGATGGTATACACCAGTCATGAAAGATTAACGAAAGAGAGATCTTTACATATAACCGTGTACTGCCTCCTGGACTTGGCGGGGCTCTCACTCGCCAATGTCCGAAACGCAAAACTCCTGTTTGATGGGGTTGCTTCCAGGAAGGTCGCCATCCATTTAAGAACCCATCTCCGCTGTGCCCTCGAACAATATCGTTCTCTTGAAAGTCCCGACAACAAGCTTCTAGTTTCTGTAACAGAGGCGTGTCGAGATTTGAAGGTGGCCAAACGTGCAGAAGAACTTGCCGGGAATTGCCTTCAGCTGACTGAAATTCATGAAATTCTCCGACAGGCTCCAAGAACTCACTCGATTTTCTCCTGAATGTGTATGGTGAATCTGGTGGAAGCGGGTAAATCATTGCAGGCGATGGCGGAGTTGTGCCCCGGTACATGTGTCGTATAGGTGGAGGCTGATACCCTGAAGAATGGTCCCAAGACTTCTGGGCGCTGTCATAAAATATAGTCAAGCACATGTAGGGAACAGTGGTTACTAAAGGCTTAGGCATGCAGTAGACAAGACACATTCTGACGAAGCCAGTAACAACCATACCTATTGGATTGGAGAGATCTGCCACCAAAGGATGGGAAAGCAAAAGCAGTTCTTTTGCCTAGCTCTGACGTCTTTTGTGGTTTTGGTAAAAATTCATCATATCGGTGAGGCCGATGGGTATTAGATTTCTCTAGTTGTTGCGAAGTGACCGTGGCAATTACTGCTGCAGCTGTAGCTAATGCCTCAATGATCATTGGCCTCCATATCCAGCCATATTTCCCCAAGCAAAGGCTCGACCGAGGCTCTTTGCAAAGGTTACACTTGTGAGTAATCCTCTCCTGAAATTCTGCTGAATGTCGATAATCGGTCTGCGCATTATTAAATCGAAGGTCTCGCAAACGACTATCATTACTTGTTGGATCTAAAGATTCGGTGTGTAGATTTCCATTGCGAACCATCTGCTCGTGATCAGCGCCATCGTTAGAGGATAGGGGGAGAAGCGACCCCTGTCGCTGCAGCTGTTGTTGGAGCTGACGAACATTTTCTTCAAACTCAACCTGCTCACGTCGCAGCTCCATAAGAATGGCCTCCTGCGATGATAAAAAGTCATCGTGATCATATACATCCAGATCATCATCAAAATCCTCGCAGTCACCATCTCTACCTTGATCTTCATAGCTATCAAGGTCTTCATAGTCGATATCATCCGATTCCGAAGATGAATGAGGTGGCAGATCTTCCAAATCTGGGTTATGAACATAAGTGGGATCCTGAAGTTGGTTGAGACTGACACTATGATTCTTCTGAGACTCCCCTGTTAGATCCGAATACAGAGCCTCAATGTACTCAGTCTCCATGGATGTCATGGGGATCCTCCGTTCGTTTCTATCGTAGCTCAAAGTGTCGTTTATGACCATCCCATTAGAAATAGCCTGAGGTACTGTATGCTGCATGGATTTTGATTCAGAAGTGTTCTGTCCTTCTGAGCCCAGTATTGCTGCTGTATGGTTGTGGACTGTGGTGGAAAGCGAGGTGTGTTCTGACATTGTTGCAGGCCGATCGCTTGTCTCTGAATTCAACTGTTCATGTGGTGGGAAGTCTAGACTAGGTTTGGGTGAGTTGGTCATGTCTGTCTCCTTTGCCTTTTTAGACATGCCATTCGGAGTCCCTTGTGTTCCTCTGTTCTTGGCCTTTGATTTCATGAGGTCTAGATTCAAAATGATCTTATTTGAGTTAACAAGTCTATTCAAACGCGCGCTGTCGCGCCTTATATTCCGTATTGTTGGTTTAATGAATTCAGCAAAGATTTGATTGCATCGGCTTACATGATGTGTATGCATGCACTAAAAAGAATAAGGCAAAGCTCTGGACTTGAGGTTTAGGAGCAAAGGCGATGGTCGTGATAGGAAGTGTATGCCTGTAGGATAAAGAAAGTAATTGGCTTTAAAGCTTGATCGAAGCTGAATGATCAGAATGGAGAGAGAATGTATCCTCCAAATGCAACAGATTAAAAGAAAAAAAAGCCACTACTTTAATTGTGATCCATGAACAGACATGGCTTTTAGGAGTGCTCTGTGATGGTGGGATGCCCATGAATTATCGTCACCAACCATTGGAATTCACTCCAGGAGGGTCCATGCACACAAAACAAACACCATCTAAACTGGTAACATGCGCCGCAAAAAGAAGTCGACACAGGTGACAGCGTCTCTTCTCACGCAACAGGAAACAAAGGAGGTTCATGAAGTGATGGCATTCCATTCTTCTTAGCATTCACTCTCTTTCTCTTTCTCTTTCTCTTTCTCTCTTTCTCTTTCTCTCTTTTCTCTCTTTTTCTTTATATATTTTTTTTTCTATCATTTTATTTTATTTTTATTTTTTTTTCCTCTATTTTCTCACTTGGACGCTATTGTTACCACCTACATCCTCCAAATTCCCCCAAAACGCCATTGATATGGTCCTCCAATTTCATTCATGGGCCTCGGCCGTTGAGGCTCCCTTTTGGCAAGTTTTGACTCAACGCAAGATGGACGTCTTCAAGCTCGATGACTCGCTCAAGTCTATTTTTGGATACTATGCTACAGGGCATCAGGTCCGTGTTCCCGGCAAAGACGCCACTGTTGCTCTGCCTGCACGTCTCTGTCTTGGGACAGGGGCATTCCCAGACGTTTTAGAGTCTGAACATGCGTCAACATCCAGGTAATAAACAAAACATGGGGATTTTGATCGGTTCAAAGCTTGTTTCGCGCGCTAGCTGATTTTATTTTATTTTTATTTTTTTTTACTTCAGGGCACCAGCCTTCACATACCCTGCTCCTGGCCTCGTTAAAAATACAAATACCATTGAAGACTTCAAATCAATAGATAGGACTGCATTGTTCAAGATGACCGTTGATCAGGTATGCTTGAGAGAGACTGGATCTAAATATTGGCATTTTCACTTTCCCGCAATTAGTGTGTATTCTCCCGCGAGGAATATGCCTTACTAACCAAGCGGCCCAACATGGATAATATGTATCATTTCACTCCCATTTGTTTCTAGATCTGGGAAGACATCACATCTGGAAAGGCGGTGCTTGATCCATCACTTCTCAATAAATTCCTACTTCTTACATTTGCGGACCTCAAGAAGTTCAAATTCTTTTACTGGTTCGCGTTCCCGGCCTTGGTGGCCGACCCTGCATGGACTGCTGGCGCATTTCAGGACATTGGTTCTGCTTGGTCACAGACATACATTCAAAACCTACATGTTCAACTAAATCGATACCGCGAAACCTATCCTCTTTCTCAGCATGGCTTCTTTCTCATCAAAGAGAGTTCCGACAACTCCTCAATGTCCACAACCTTGGTCGCACGTCTTCAAGATTGGGATACATTTTATGCTGGATGCAATCCTGAGCAGGTAACAGCACTTGAGAAATGATCATACTCCACAAGTCAGTTGTGTTGTAGCGCATATGCTTACCGGACTTGATACTGTTGTCTGTAGATCGTTGTTGGATTTGCAGATCCATCATCGCTAGATAGCAATCCTGGGTGGCCTTTGCGAAATTTCTTGACTCTTCTCTATTACCAATGGAGGGTTTCCAAAGTCCGAGTACTGTGTTTCCGTGAAGTCCCTGGCAAGCAGGACATTAGTGCTAGCAAGATATTTACAGTGGAGGTTCCATCCTATGTCCCTCTTTCCAGTATGTCGGCTTTTCAATCTATGGAAAACAAATGGGTCAAAATCCTTTAAACCGATTAAGAGGGTACCTATCTGAGCTGATATACAAAAACACTTTTTTGATTTAGCTTGTCCAAAGGCCGTGGGATGGGAAAAGAATGCTCAAGGAAAACTTGGCCCACGTCTTGCGGACCTAGCTCCTCTGATGGACCCAACCCGACTTGCAGACACTGCTGTAGATCTGAATTTGAAACTGATGCGATGGAGGTTGTTACCGGATTTGCAATTGGAAAAGGTGCAGGAAACACGGTGTCTACTCCTAGGAGCTGGAACTCTGGGATGCTATGTCGCCCGCTCATTGTTAGGATGGGGTATCCGTAACATTACATTAGTTGACAACGCCAAAGTGTCGTTCTCGAACCCAGTCCGACAACCTCTCTTTGAGTTTGAGGATTGTTTGGAGGGCGGAAAGGATAAGGCGATCACCGCCGCGGCTAGTCTCCGGAAGGTGTATCCAGGTGTTGTAAGTAGATCCTGTGCATAACTTAAATATGTTCAGGGCCATCATGGATACTAACTTTATTTAATGCGTAATATATGATACCCTCAGAATGCAGTGGGCCATACCTTGTCAATTCCAATGCCAGGACATCCTATCAGTCCTCAGCTGTACGAGAGTGTTCAGAGAGACGTTGAGAAATTGGAGGACCTCTTTCAGCAGCATGATGTCATATTTTTGCTTATGGACAGTCGCGAAAGCCGTTGGCTCCCAACACTTTTAGGAGCCAGGATGAAGAAGGTGGGATACAAAAAAGAATCGCTTTTTGTTCAACTCATTGATTCAATCAAGAAAAAAAAAAAAAAAAAAAAAAAAAAAGTTATTGCTCGAATGACCTTTACCAACCTGTCCACCATTTGTCCTTCGATTCACTATTAGATTGTTATTAATGCAGCACTTGGGTTTGATACTTTTCTGGTGATGCGTCATGGCATTGGCCAAGATCATGAATACCATGCTTCTTTCGGCTCCTCACCATTGGGATGTTACTTTTGCAACGACGTTGTTGCGCCTACAGATGTAGGTGGTCTTTTTATTTTCTACTTTATGATCCTGGAAATATACATGTGCTATCTGTGATATTGAAAAATGTTTTTAGTCGCTCTCGGATAGGACTCTTGACCAACAGTGCACAGTGACCCGCCCAGGACTCTCAGCCATAGCAAGTGCCGTAGCAGTTGAGATGCTAGTCTCACTCTTGCATCATCCCGATGGGTATGTCAGGCCCAAGGTCTGGTAGAGTATATGAATTAAGAAATGGTACTTATGATTGTTATATTACATATTACTGATTTATATAGAATGCGCGCGCCTGCTGATAAGGCTGATGATGAAGGCGATCAGGAAGGAAGGACGCAGAATAATCAGGTCTCTACACTAGGTTTATTACCACACCAAATCCGTGGGTTCCTGTCGCGGTTCAAGAATCTCTTGATTTCAGGACAAGCCTATGATCGGTGCACAGCGTGTTCTGATGCTATTCTGGAAGCATATGAAAAAGAAGGGTTTGGGTTCTTGGCCAAGGTCTTTCAGGATGCAAAGCATCTGGAGGACGTGACTGGATTGACTCAGATGAAGGAACAAAGTGAGGAGCTGAACATGGAATGGGATGAGGACTCTGACGAGGATATATAACAAGATAAATACTTTTTTTTTTATTTTTTTTTTTATTATTATTAAAAAGTTAATAAAGCACGCGAGTGAGCACAGCCACCCTCTGTGGCTGTGTTGTCATTTGCTGATTGTAGCACAATTTCGTTCCTTTTTGTACTTACATCTTGACATCCATCGCATCGCTCTCAATCTTATAAAAAATATATAGATTGTGACATGGACTCCATTTCGCCGGCAGCCCAGCGAAAGGTGACGCGAGAACTGTATGCCTTAGAGCAAGACCCTCCAGAAGGCATCCGTCTCATTCTGAATGAGGACTCCATCACAGACATTCAAGCCTGGATTCAAGGTCCAGGTAAATTTTGAATTCCAAACAATCCTGAGCAACAATGCATTCAGAAATTTCAGGCAATTATTCATCGGAATACCTTCTTTTTTAACAATTTAATATCGTCTTGTCAACTAAATATATTATCATGCGTTATCATTATTACCATTATTTTAGGAGGAACACCATATGAAGGCGGTGTTTTCAGGATACGGATCCAATTGAGTGCAGACTTTCCAAACTCGCCCCCAAAATGTAAGAAGAAGAAGAAAAAGACGAAGACGATTGTTATTTATCCAATTCTAGTAATTTTTTGTATTTCAAAGAAGAAAAAAAAAGCTCTCTGAAGTTCGTTGTTGCCTTTTTTTTTTTTTTTTTTTTTTTTTTTTTTCTAGGCTTCTTCGTCACCAAAATATTTCATCCAAATGTTTCAAAACAAGGCGACATCTGTGTGAGCACACTCAAAAAGGATTGGAAAAAGGATTTGGGTCTTCGACATATCTTGCTGGTGATCAAATGCCTGTTGATTGTTCCTAATCCAGAGTCTGCATTGAATGAAGAAGCTGGACGTCAGTTATTGGAGCGTTATGATGATTATGCAAAGCACGCTAGATTAATGACGAGTATCCATGCCAGAGGAAGAAACGATATTTTTAAACCTCTGTCGGCATCTACATCAACAGCCTCTATTTCTTCTCCTTCTCCTTCATCAACTTCAACTCTGTCATCAGCCTCATCAACAAAATCAGTCTCTGGGGAATCAAATAATACAACCTCAAACATGTCCACAACCATCATCACCAGTAACAGTATCAGCAATGATAGCAACACAGATCTCGGTATGTCTCATGACCATCATAGTAATAATGAAAACCTTCCACAGTATGAAAGAACTGTAGGGGCAACAGTAAAGACCAAGCAGGAAGAACAGTGGAAATGCCTTTCCCAGGAAAGTCATGATATGAATACATCATCGGATCAGACCCGTGCCACTAAATCTCAGACTCAGGCTCAGTCATCACAACCCGTTCAAGGATCTGGTTGTAATGGAACACCCTCTATACCTATCAAACGTAAACTGCCCCAAGAGGATTGGTTATTTGACCCTATAGCCCCACAAAAACATCAACAGATGTTGGTCAGTCATTCTAATCCCAGCCTCAGTCCCGGCATCATCCCTAACCCTAATTCCAGTCTATCCGCTCGTCAGACGCTGCAAGGATTATCAGCAAGTCATAACCAGTCTTCATCTTCATGGGCGAGCCCTATGCTAAGGCACATGCCAGGATCTATTAAACCTGATACAATGAGGGAACGAGCACTCGGTGGTATTACCTCCGTCCGAACATTGCATGGTGTGACTTCCCTTGTGGACCCTAAAGGAGCTATAGATAGCCGGAAGCGAAGCTTACGACGGCTTTAAAATCCAAAGCGAAAATTGACTATTACAGAATACCAACAGTAAACATTAATGATAGTATATAATAAAAAAAATTCTTTGCTTCTAGAAGAGGCTTTATTGTAAATGAATGAGTGACTCGATTGCGGCAACTTCTTGGAGTTCTATGATAAAAAGAAATAATAAAAAAGGAGTAAAAAGACAGGCTACGTGATGTAATGACACTCGTAGGAAAAAAAAAAAAAAAAAAAACTAAACACAGGAGAGGGAATGTAAGATAAGACTTGAGAGTTTTTAGGCTTCAATCCACTGGTAGACCGTGCTGCCAGTTGTGTAGACCATGGTAATAACTCCGAAGACAATCAAGAGAATATCAAAAATACGCGACTTCCGATATGGGTGGGTTTTATAGTGGAACATGGCGGGGAAGATGTAAGCCAATGGAATACCTAGTAAATATTAAATTGTAATAATTATGGTGGTTTCAGGATCAGTCCTACTATTTAAGAGATGACGGAAAAAAATAAAATCAATAAAAACTTACAAGCAATAGAGCCAACGATAGAGACAAACTTGTCGAGCTCATCTCCAGCCCAGATCGAGATCGCTGCACATATGAACAAGGACAGGATGCGGAAAAAGTTCTTTTGCCATTTGACCATTGTGTTATATTTGCCAGAGCGAGTGAAAAGACCGTTCTCCATAATACGGATAGCAGGGAATAATTGCAGAGGGATTGAAAGCATGATGGCGATCGAATATAGGGCTTGAACAGACTGCACCCAATGACTCTTTTGGGGCAAGTTGAGTAAAACCACGGTTTCGGTCTTGGATCCAAAGGCAGCATACGAAAGTGCTCCTACAGATGTGAACAGAACTGTAATGCCAATCATTACGCCTGTCAATACCTTTGGAAACTTTTCGGGCTCCTTCATTGCTTCTGTAATTGGAATAATAAGCCCAATGCCTTCAAATGTGAACACTGAAGTATTAATAAAATACAAGGGTAGAGCGATAGACATGTTAATAGTGCGCTTCCCATATTCATCGTAACAAAAAAACAAGGACAAAAATCAAAATAAAATAAAAACTTGTAGAGACGATGTAGTTACCAGCAGTTCCAATGAACAAAGAAAAGTCCCTGGGGTTGAACATAACAACATCGCTCAATCCCTTAGTGGCCAAAGTGAAGATCTAAGTTGACAATAACAGGGAAAGCAAGGTCAGGACAAAATACTTGACGAGTGGAACATGATCCGCTTACACAAATGGAATAGGAGATAGACTTACGTCGAAATAATACATGTATATCAATCCGAAGCAGATAAATACGTCAGCTACAACAGCAGTGAAGGACAGACGGGCGATGTTGCGGATCTAGGAAACAAGAGAGATATAGCTTCAGTCAAAAGTAATCTGACAGCTCTATAACTACGCAAAAAACATCAGAACACAAGACCGTACTAAAGCTAATGGGATAAAGACAACAAGCTGGATGAGGACGAAGATATAGGAAGGGAATGACTCTGAGAAATTCAGCACGTTCTTGCCAAGGGCTTCCAAATTAGTGGCGACGAAGCTCATGTAAGCGCAGACAAAACCAATCTGAGAAATAGCAATGGCCCATAGGACTGCCTGACGCATGTATGGACCATAGAGATGGCCTCCGATATCACCAAAAGAGGCGGGAACCACTTGACGGGACTCGACCAACAGCAGGAAGGAAAAGAGTGAAATGGCAGCAATGAGGACCAAGACTACAGACGAGAATAAGATACCACCATTGTTGAACCTTAATGTGATAAAATCATCAGGCAAAAAAAAAAAAAAAAAAAAAAAAAACGAAAAAAGAAAAAAGCATGTTTTTGATTAATATCCATCCATGTTTGCATTGACATATCCTGATCACTCGTTGTATTCTCTCGAGCCTAACCATGTGCCTGCCCACATGAGCCTTTATCTTTTTTTTTTTTTTTTTTTTTTTCGGCCACGCAAGTGTAATCAAATGCGATCTGTTTCCATGGGTCACTTATCAGTATCAGCCGTATAATCCACTTACGCTTTAGGCAAGAACATGATTCCAGTTCCAACAAATGACTTTAGTAGCAAAAACACAGCTTTGGCGGGTGTAGCATCTCCTTGGGGAGGTTGCTGTAATTTTGGTATCAGGGGTGTGGATTCCATACCAGAACCTGGAGTTCTCGAGCCTTCTCCTTCTCCACCTTCTTCATCATAATCACCGCTTTCATCGTCTTCATCCAAGTCCTCTCCTGCAAAGTGACCATACATGGCCAAGAAATCGATGAAGCTCTTGGTGAAGACGTTGGCTTGACGTCCGCTTGCATTTGCCTTCATGATCATGTGGTATCTCCGCATGCCACCGGGTTGCTTTAAAGTTGTGACTGATGGCTCAACAGGGCGTGGCAGATAGAAAGACCTCGAGCGAGCTAATTGAGCATGGGAACAAACATTTGTATTTAGATTTGATCAAGTCTAAGATGTAAACTATTTTGCAACGGCAGAGTACAAAAAAAAAAAATAAAAAAAAATATGATCCTGCTCATCTTTATCAAGTTTGTTTAAATAGTTTAAATATGAATTGGCAAAAAAAAAAAAATTACCTCGCCGGTTCTGTTCGTTCTCCTGATCAGCCTGCCACTTGTAGACGTCGCGGGTAATGGCTCCTCCTGGTAACTTGAAAGCTGTTGTATAATCAACAATTTCCGAAGTTCCTGCACCATCATTAGTTGCACCATAAGAAGAGGGTCCCGCATTATTAGCACCATTACGGTCAGAGTCAAGGCTGTCACGCGAGGGCGAATTAAGAACAAGATGCTTTTTGACGACCTTCGAGGCCTCATCAGCCGGAATATCGACAACAGGATTGATTGAATCAGTAAAACCTGGAGTACCGCTCACGTAACTACCATGAATACTATTGCTACTACTGTCAAGACCAGAACGGGGCAAGACTGGGATGTTCTGAGCGTTTGAAGGACCCTCGTTGTTTTGACGGTAGTTTTGAAGAGTGGATGGAGATCGGAATGAAGAGGATGGAGTAGGGTTGTTGTCGCCATTGACACTGCTACCACGCGATGCAGGTCTGTTAAAGTAAGGTTGGGCATAGGGAGAAGAGGAGAGCAATCGAGTAGCAGCTTCACGATTTGGGGAGGAAGAGAGTATGTCTGCAGAATTATGTCGACTAGGGACTAGACGAGCGTTGGAGGAGGGCGAAGAAGCCATGGGAGGTCAAAGCCAAAAAAGGGCGGGGTCGATGAACGTAGAGGCGATGGAGGGAGTTTAAACAGACAGGGACAGGAGAGCAGTAGGCGAAGAAAGCAGAGGAGAGGAGATACGAAGGAGAGAGGGGCAGTGACGGGTAGAAACAGTAAAAGAGGAGTAAAATGGTAATAAGAAATAAGAAATAAGAAATAAGTAAAAGGGAAAGAGAGACAGAAAAAAAAGAAAAGAGAAACAAAAAGACATTCAACTAATCACTAGTCACGGGCATTGTATTTAAATGCAAAGCACAATGCATCTCTCTGTGCACCAATGGCGATTTTCATTCAAGATCTGTTGTATCCGTGTCTGTACTAGTCTGTCCAAGCCAAGGGAAAAAACCTTTGCTTCCAACTCTCTCTCTTTCGGTCTGTCAATGTGGAGTGGGAAAGAGGCATCTATCCATGCAGAGATGAAAAAAAAGAGAGCAAAGGGCACTGCATTTTATGTACCGCTCATCAAGATCCGACCCACAAAAGGAAAGATACCTCAAGAATCCCACCCTCTCTGTCCACATTCGGTGGAATCCAATTATTTATTATTATTATTATTCTTGTAATTTTTTACTTCCCACACAACTTACACCTAATTTATCCACACACAGAATAAAAAAAAAAAATTACGCGTAATTTCTGTAATTCCTATATATATATACATCTATACATATATACATATATATTTATATTTAATATTTATACCTTGTATTTCTTTCTTTATTAGCCACCTATGACAATGGTCTTTTGTCATGTTCAAATCGCCTCCATAGGTATCTAGTCAAGGCGAGAAGATCTATGCAGCACTCCTTTCTTGTTACGCACTTCCCATTCTGTATCTCTGAGCAAGAACCGGTACCAGATCGGTATTAACGGAATAGTCGCTGCATGCCACAACGAATGGGCGTCCAAAATACCCCACAATGGTGCAAAATCAAGAACCTCCAGGGACATTGCCAATGTCAGCAATATGCCTGTCACTGTTGGCTCCCATGCATAAGGACGCTCACGCCAATTGGCGATGCTCCAGCCGATCCAGCACAAATTATGTACGGCTCCTACTGTTGCTGTTGCTGCCATGTTGTATCCATAGTCAAACCGGACAAAGGTCAAGTACGAGATGTGCAACACCAAAGGGATCAAACACATCAGCCCCCACATCAGCTGCGATTTGACTTGTACCATACGTGTGATTCTAATGATTGTGTAAAAGAGTCCATACATGATAGCTGCTCCTGCTGAAAAGTAGTCAAGTTTCTCAGTGCTGGGCCAGTCGCGTGAATGATAGATCGCTGACCACACCCATGTGTTAATACCCATAATTGCATAGCCCAAATAGTACGGACGCATATAGTAGTCCTCGGGAATGACACGCTTAAGCTTGGACCATGCGAGCACATGCATGTACCCATTCAATAAACTGAACAACACCGATGCGGGTTCCTGCATGCCTAAGAAGCGGTAAAAGGGCCATTTGCCGTGGTATTGGTGTACAGTTTGCTTTTCTTGAAGTGCCATCTCGGTGATCGATTGCATGCATCGATAACGGCAATTGTCAAAGCATGTCCAGTGAAGCAGTCGCAGTGGCAGGGTCAGATCGTGTTCCTGAAGTTGTTCCGACGTAAGTCCAGTTAGATCGGATCGCTGACAAATTTCTTTGTTGCATTTATCGACACAGTTAATGTACTGGGGCTGCCGATCACCAGAGGATGCCCATGCGAGCGATGCACAGAAGAGTAATGTCAATCCAATCATAATGGCAACGTTCCTGCGTTTACTGAAGACGCGTTGTTCACGCGCATGATGTAGCAGCATTGCAGAATCCACTGATTATGGGAAATAAAAAAAGGAAAGTAGGCAGGACGCAAGTGAATGAATTAATGAATAAAGGATTAAAGCTGAAATGAGAAGGTGTATCAAGATATTGGAGTCGGAATCATGTTCAACAGCCGGCAAAACCAAATGGTGTACATGAACTCTGGAAAAAAAAAAAAAAAAAATTGATAGCCAATCCAGTTATTATCGGACCAGAGCACGACTGCGCAATATCGTCCCGTCGTCGATTGCCACGAGCATACTGCTGCCAGGAAAGCAGGCTTTGTCGTTGCTCATCCTGACTTGATCAATACGTCCAATATCATAGTTGAGCTGCGATCTTGAGTCCATCATCCAGGTACCTAGTGTTTAAAACAAGTTTGATATTGAACATATTCATGCGCCAATGACCAAAAGTTCATCCATCTGTCACTTGATTTGATGATTTTTTTCAAGGTGCCAATGTACAACCAGAATCTGGTTTATTGTGGCCATTCAAGAACATTATGCGATGTCTCAAAAGGGTCGTTGTTCGATTTGCATGGCCAGTAAAATACAGTGCAGAAGAAACAATGACAATGAATCGATACGCTGACAAATCCCAGGCGCCAGTTCTGGTGTTTTGACAAATTTTTTTTTTTCCACGGCCGCTTATCTTTAAATGTTACTAGATTGCGGGAGCAATTATGATGAGACGATTATGACAATGTGCTTCCTCATAACATAGTATTGTATGTACATAGTTATTATCTATTTAAAGGTCTTAAAAAATCGCCTTGTCTTCATAAAACACAATCTCATCCAACATAATGTCGACCCCCTCGCCCATCAATGTCGGTGTCATTGGCTTTGGCATGAGTGCCCAAGGTAATAAACAAAATATTAAACGTCGGGCGGTTTGGCACAAAGAATTCTAATATTCATTCTTCATTTTATATTCGTATACCTTACATGCTAGTCTTCCATGCTCCTCTGATCTCCACTACTCCTGGCCTAAACCTTGCGGCCTTTGTTAATCGTAGAGGACAAAATCATATTCTCTCCTCCAAATATCCCAACGCATCTGTCTACCAATCGCACCAGCAGCTGTTGCAGGATCCTAATATCGACCTCGTAGTTATTACCACTCCCAATGTTTTGCATTTTGACCTTGCACGAGAGGCGATTGAGGCTGGCAAGCACGTCGTTGTCGAAAAGCCCTTCACGATCACATTTGAAGAGGGCATGTTGCTCGCGAAGCTGGCCAAGCAGCACTCACGTGTTCTTTCTGTCTTCCAGAACCGTCGCTGGGACGCAGATTTTTTAACTGTCCAAAAGTTGGTCCACTCTCAAAAATCCACCTTGGGCAGGATTGTCAGCTTTGAGTCGCGCTTTGATCGGTTCCGAAATTTTAGTAAGAATGGCTGGAGAGAGACTGGTCGTGTTGAGGAAGGAAGTGGTGTGCTCTATGACTTGTGCTCGCATCTGCTGGATCAGACATTGGTTCTCTTTGGAACACCCGAGTATGTGACAGCACATGTGTCGAACCAACGCCAGCTCGAGACTTCCCAGGTAGACGATCAATTCCTAGTGCATCTTGATTACAAAGATGGATTGCGATGTACCCTTGGCGCAGCAATGTTGGCTAGAATTCCCACGCCTCGCTTCCGTCTGACTGGAATGAATGGTTCATATGTGAAATATGGATTGGATGTCCAGGAAAATCAACTAAAAGAGGGATTAACACCCAAGGATAATGCTTACGGTATTGAGAAAGAGAGCTGTTGGGGCGATATCGATACACTACTGGTGGTTGAAGGAACCCAACTCCATGTGAAGGGTAAGATTGATAGTGAGCAGGGTTCGTATGGTGCTTATTATGCCAATATTAGTCGGGCAATCCAGGGTCTCGAGCCACTTAGTGTGACAGCCGAGCAGGCAGCTTGGGTTATCCACGGCATCCAGCTTGCGATCAAGAGTTCTCAAACCGGACAACGTATGAAGTGGGGCGAGCTTTAGAATATCAAATTAGTCAATATCAGAATACAGTCCCATGCCAACCAGCCAGCCAAAAAAAAAAGTGAAGCTTATAGCCAATCAACAGTCGACAATGCACAATTAAAGAAGCTATTAAAAAATAAAAATAAAAAAAACGAGAACAGAGCCAGGGCCCATCCTCCTTTCTTAACATTTTGATCCTTTCAACCATCCTTAATCACATCTCCCTCTCTCTCCCTCTGATTAGCAACGCATCTAACAAACTTCCTACATCTATATAAATAACTACTAACAGGATGGGATCAGTCTGGCTCGCAGTCATTTATATTGGAGGCTGGATCCTCTCCATGAGGATCTTTGGTTTCTTCTGGAAGAACAGGAAGTTAGGTGAGTTGAAATGAGGCTGGCAATAATGGACTAGACATCTTTCAACATTTGCACCTTTTTTTTATTTTTATTTTTTTCCTTGAGGCAGTAGAATCGACATAAATTTTACTTCTTACTCAAAGGATTATCTAGAGATAGAACATTGTTTTTCATTGTTTAATGATTAGCACCAATTGACTAGAGTTTCCTCCATCTCTTAAAACATAGCCATCAACGATGCTGAGCCTTGGTTTGGTGAGCATGTAGCGCGTAACCAGTACATTGCACTCCTTCAACAGGAAGAACCTGAAGCGACAGAAACCCAATTGGTTGCAGCATTGTTACGCCGTGCTATGGAGGATGTTAACCGTGTCTTATCGATGCGTGAGGACAAGCAAGTTCTCGCCAACTTGGTCAAGCAAGGAACCTTGGGTGATGATATTTGGACCCAGTTTGCTCTTTCAGAGAAGGAACTCGAAGCTGAGATTATGGCTTTGATCGAGGAGGCCAATACGTTCAAGGAGGGTTGGGGTCAAACTATTCTTCAGACTGCTAGTGAGATGGTAATGCTAAGTAGCTAATTGTAGCAGGATCAAGGATTTATGTTGACACTTCAGTCATTAGGAAGGGAAAAATGACAATCTTGGATGAAAATGAAACTAATTTTTTTTTGTTTGGTTGGTCGACTTCTATCGACATAACAACAGGTTATGCATGAAAAGACTAAGCAACTTCAGAAGGAGCTCGCCATCAGGAGAGAGGAGGAGACTCGTAAGCAAGCCCTTCGTGAACAACGTAAGGAACAGAACAAGGCCGTGAAGGCCAAAAAGGACACCACTGTTGCTGTAAAGTCTGCAGCGGAGGATTCGGAAGGACCCCCACCTCCCTATACTGAGCAAGAAAAGACTGCGGCTTAAAGGCCAATGATATGAAGTGTGTAAATGGTTGTTTCTTCTTTTTATCTTGGAATAAAAATGCTTTATTTCAATCTTTTCCTACAATCCATTCCAAACGCCTTCGATCGTCGATTAAGAATTACGTAGATCTTTCACATCATCTTGGGCGTTATGCTTCGGGTCGCCGTGCGAGGCTCAATTTCAAAATTGGAATCAACGGTTGCACGGCTGCATTCGGTACCTGTATTAAATCACGCAGCAAATCAGATAACGCGAATTGATAAATGAAATGCTTAGCTCTTTGAAAATTATCGATGCAGCGTTCTTTTCTTTCACTCTATTAATCCACAAGTCATTTCAATGGCGATTCCCAAAGACAGTAGCTAGCACGGATTTCACATTGGCTATTCTTCATTATACATTTAGATCCTATCTAATACATTGCTCATGGCATCCTCATTACGAATTTACAACGGAAGAACATGGACTCGTCTCCTTTCATTTCAAAAAAGACAGCAGTTTCCATGCTCATTCCATTTTTTTATACATACAACTTCATATGTCAGAGACAAAGATTCAGTCTCTGGCTCATATTCTCAAAATGATATTTTAGAGACTCGGCGGAACGCAATAAGGGAGCGTAAGCCCAACTATAGTGGGTGGTGGACAGAGATCATGAACCGCCGTACACCTCCGCAATCTCTTCCCGATCCAACTCTGATACTCTCGACAGATCATGTCTTTAAAGGCCAGCCATTAACAGCACCCTCGCCAGCGCAGCCGACCGAGAGTGAAGTAAAAAAGAGATACAGCAATACGTTGCCTACAGCTTCAAAGAAAATAGAAAATACTCTTCCTACTGCTGTCCCTACCGGATCTGCTACATTTGCAACGGGATCAGTCTCCAGCTTGTCCAAGCCAACGAGCGAGTCAACAATGTACCATGGATTCAAAATACCGGTCAAGCCAACACCACCTGGTGCTGAGGATTGTTGTATGAGGTAAGGTGTCTGTCAATTCTGTTTGTCGGCAACAAAAGTTGTGTGGCTGCGGAGAACTTGATCTAAAAAAGAAGTCCGAAAAGAGTTTTGCCATTACTTTTACCCCATCTTAACAGGTTAAACTGTTCTAATGTTCTACTGTTTTACTGTCCTATGATTTTCATTACCAGTGGTTGTGCGCATTGCATCTATGACATTTATGAAGAAGAGCGACAAGAATACAAACGTGAGCTTGCGAAAGTCCTTGAGGACATCTCAAAAGCAGGTCTTCCGCCGCCACCCAGCGCTTCAGCCCACGGTTCAAATGATGGTGATGGAAATTCAAAGAATGCTGAAGATGACATTGATCCAGGCATGAAGGCATTCTTGGAACTGGAACGCAAATTGAAGGGATCATGAAGCTTGGGGCATTCTACAAGCAAAGAGGCAAAGAAGCAGAGAAGTTGACGAACGCTTCTTTGATTCCGATGGCATGGAAATAGACTTTAATATATTCGCGAATGTCGTAAAATGAAACGACAGGAGAATTGTACTATAGTGAACTTTTTTACAATATAATTTTGTTTTATCCAATATGTTGATCAATTCCCAAGATATGTCATGTTGTTCTGTGATAAAAGCATCTTACTCATTAGCGATGACGACCAGACAGGCTTCTTCATTGAAGCAAAGTGTGCGTGCGTGGGATGCTTTTAACCAGGATCGCAGCCAATAACGCGTCTCGAGTTTAGACATGCAGCCTTGGATACATGTGATCGCCTCCACACCACAGACAAGTGGAGGAAAATAGGCTTAGTCCATTCTTCATTTTGCATTTCGCATTTCTTTCCATCCCCAAAAACATTCTTTTCACACAATTACATTCATTAGGCCTCTCTTCCTCTCCCTTCTCTTCTTTCTCGTTGTTGCATTGTCTTTTCCATAGTAACTGCCTTGTTCTTGAGCTTAATCATCTGTTAACCAGTCCCACCATGATATCCAATTCAGATACAAGTCCAAATGCTACTGCTCTTGTCCATAACTCTGCATCTAAGAGTGAGGCTCAAAGCCCTGCTCCTTTTGAAGAGAGCACAGTTACCACTATCGCCACTACCATGTCTCCTGATCAAGTGAAGCGATTTTTCAATACAGATCAAAGTGTAGACGACTCCAGTGACCAGCCTTTGTCACACACGGGTCTAGAAGAATTAGTACCATCAATTTCCAAGGAGAGTGTGTTTTCTGCTCTGGATGCAGACGAGCTAAATGGAAACAACAAAAGAGTCATTTCTTTGACTGCTCAATGGTAAATTTCTGAAATTTCTAAAGTCTTTTTCTTTATGAAGATGAAAGCATATACGATTAAACATACTCTTGAATTTTATCTGTTAAATTTTTTGTCTAATATATTAGGAATGGCAAGAAGCTTCCTTTTGAGGTAGACCTCGATTACACTATTGGCGAACTCAAGAATAAGTTGGTATGTTAATATGTAATTTATATACATAGGGGAAAAGAAGAGAAATAAAATCTTGACTCCTGAAATAATAGTGTGCATTTCCCCCTGGTCTCACCTCGCCTTTTTAATTTTTTTTTTCTAGATGGAGCTAACCAATGTGGAACCAAAGAGACAGAAACTTATGCTAGTTAGAGGAAAGTTTCCTGTAAGTTTCAAGTGGATTAAGATTAAAAACGGAGCTTTTTATTTATTTTTTTATTTACTTTGGCCACCTTATAATGATCAATTCTTATCCTATTAATTGTAGGAAGACCATGTGGTGCTATCTACTTTAGCACTGAAAAATAACCAAACATTCCTGATGATGGGTAGGTATTTCATATAAATACAAACATGCAGTGATTGGTCTCGTGCTGGTATTTCCCTTGTTCTTGCTCAGTCTGGCAATCTTTTTTTTTTATCGTGTCACAGGAACACCTGAGGCAAAAGTGATCAAAGCCCCCGAGGTAATGCCGGATGTACTCAATGACTTGGATGAAGATTATACCCCAGACGACGAGGCATTTGCTAGTATGGCTCAAAACCAGAAAAGTCTCAAGAGCACTATTTCCAAGGTAGATAAAAATATTTTAATTTTCATTTATGGAGTGCAAGATGTTTCTGTCAACAATATCTGACTTTTTTTATATACAATGCTATGTTTCATGTAGTGCAAAATCAATATCATGAATGAGCTGCGCCCAGGAAAGAAATTGCTTGTATTGGATCTTGATTATACACTGATTGATTGTAAAGCACTCAACAACTCACTTGTGGAGGTTATGCGACCAGGCTTACACGACTTTTTGGCAGTCTGTTATGAGCACTATGATATTGTGATCTGGTCTCAGACATCGTGGAGAGCGTTAGAGGCAAAAGTGACAACCATTGGACTGTTGACACATCCCGACTACAAGATCTCATTTGTGATGGACATCTCTACTATGTTTTCAGTACTCAGTCAACGGGACGGAAAACCATTTAGGCATCAGGTCAAGGCTCTTGATATTATCTGGACAAAGTTCCCGCAGTATTCTGCACGCAATACCATCCACATTGATGATCTGTAAAGTTGAACTGTGCATGAGACCATTTAAAGATCTGGTTTGATTTAACAATGGAACATGACGGTATAAAGTAATTTTGACAAGGTGTTTTCCTATCTTCTATTGTAAAAATGAATATGCTTCAATAGATCGCGTAATTTCGCTATGAATCCCCGTTCGGGCTTAAAGATCAGCGCATTCAAGAATGGGGCGGTATCGCGCCATACAGACAGAGAGCTGTTTCATTTAGCACGATATCTAGTGGACATTAGTAAAGCATCAGATTTCAAGGAGCTCGATCATAAGGGCTGGAAAAGTCATCGCAAGAACTCGAGTCTATAAACATGCTAGCTATTTTTTTTTTCTTCTTTACCGTGGTTTATCGTTGATCTACTTCTCCACCATGTAAATAAATAAAGGTGGTAGACACTATTTCCAAGACTTTGCATCGTTCATTTCATTTGATTAATGTAATGTACATATTCTGAACAGATCTGGCAAAGTATGTTTGAAACCAACCAAACATTATATGCATACTCTGATGGATCAGTTCACTATCAATTTGTTCGTTCACATATTCCTGACTCCATGCTCCTGATTCACAGATGCGTTATCTGTGTTCAAGGTGAAAAAAGTGGAGCCTCCACGCAGACAACACCTTGCAACCACAGAAGTTAATAGTAAGGACATGCAGCAAGCTCCGCTTTTTTTTTTTTTTCACGACTCGTTCTTGGTTTGCACTCGCAATAACACATAACCGGGTTTGTAAAACTCAAAAGCGCGCTCGTCCTGCCATCCACAACAAATACTCCCTGCAAGAATGGTTACTATCACTATCAATTAAGTTACCTATAATGTACCTACCAGTCATCTGACGATTGCCTTAGATAGGCCTGCCAAAACAAAAACGTATCACTGACGAAATCAAGCCCAGTTATGTTCCACACATTGCATAGCATGACTGTTTTAAAAATGGTCCGTTGTGTGCATATTCCGACGTCCCCTCATTCATTCTTCTCAACAAAAGAGTTCTACCAACCTGTTATCATTGCTAAGTGTTTAGAACGACAGACATTCGTCTCATTAATCAGGTCAGGAATGTTGTCACGTCAGTTTTTTTTTCCATTGTCTTTGTCATTAGCAGAGTTCAAGTCCGAGAACAATTAAAACGAGAGGGGAGAGGACTGCTGTGCCCCTTCATCCAAACTATCTTTTAGACCTTCAGATTAATGTCTACACGATCCAGTTCTCGGCTACGCGAGGCTCAAATTAAGGCTGCACAGCAGCTAGGGACTACCGCAACCAACAGCAACAACACTTCTGGCACAAAAGGAGGATCAACGCAGCCCTCTTCTTCCACGGAAGCTACGAGTCGTCTGCGCGGTACCAGATCTGCCCCACTGCGTAGCACACGAAGGATTATCAAGAATGAGGACGGAGAGCCTGATGAGGAGACATTAGAGCGGCTAAAGCAGGAAGCTGAAGAGCATCGTAAAGCTCTTGCAGCTGAAAAACGAAACAATGCTAATGATGCTAATAGTGTTAACAACAGCAGAAAACGAGCGAATGGAGTTATGGCTTCCGAACAAATCAAAGAAGAAGAAGAAGTTCAAGGATTGAGGAGTTTAGGAGCTGGTGCAAAGAAAAAGAGTAGATATGCTACTAAAGAGCCTGTAGGATGGGAGATCACTTTGGATCGATTACGGGAATTTCGTCTACAAAACCCTGCCCCTGTGGATACTATGGGATGTGAACGTCTGGCCGAAGTTGGAGAAACGATTCCTCCAGAGGTATAAAAAAAAAAAGAAATATACGACAAAAAAGCGGTTTGTCTTAGATAGACGAACTCAAAGGCAATATTTTCTTAACTTTAATGGAATTAGGTGAGCCGCTTCCAAACACTCGTTTCATTATTGCTGTCTTCACAAACCAAGGACACAGTTACGTCTGTTGCAGTGCGGCGATTGCAAAAAGAACTCAAGGGTGGATTGACGATCCAAGCAGTACTAGATGCCCCTTCAGAAAAACTCAACAGTATCATCAGTGCAGTGGGATTCCATAACAAGAAGACAATCTTCATGAAACAGGTAGCTAAGATTTGTAGAGATCAATATAATGGCGACATTCCAGATACTGCAGAAGGATTAACAGCACTGCCGGGAGTCGGACCAAAAATGGTAAAGAAGGCTTGATTTTTGATTTTTGATTTTCAAAAAAAAAAAAAAAAAAAAAAAAAGATTCATACTTCATTAAACTCACGTCATCTTGGGTTCGTTTTATTCACATTGAATAGGCCTACTTGACATTGCAAGTTGCCTGGAATAAGTAAAGAAATTGAGCGCTACGAGCTATGTATTAGGAAAAATGAGCTAGTCATCTCAAAAGGATATTTCAGCTTATTTTATTTTATTTTACTTTCCTTTATTTGTACTAATAGAAACCTAGGAATTGGTGTAGACACACATGTACATCGTATTGCTAACCGTCTTGGATGGGTCAAGACTGAGAAGGATGGACCAGAAGCAACACGTGAGGCATTGCAGTCATGGTTACCTAAAGAACATTGGCGTGAGATTAATTATATTCTAGTCGGGTTCGGACAAGTCCTTTGTTTGCCACGTGGGCCACTTTGTCCTATCTGCCCTGTCCAAGATCGGTGTCCTTCTGCTATGATGTCAAAGAAAAGAATCAAAACAGAAGTAAAAATGCAAATGGAAGAGCCCTTTGGTGAAGTAGAGATCCATGCTGTCCATACACAGCTTGAGAGAGCGAATCTTCAGGATCAGAACGTGGAAGAGGGCAAGGTTGGTGATGGTGATGTACAAGTAAAGGAAGAAGAGGATGCAACTCAAGTAGCGACCAAGAGTCATTATTTCGCAAATAATGGGGATAAGCAGGTGGAGATCAAGCAGGAAGAAGGAATAACAGACATTATGAACGATGATACGCTTGCCAAGAGCACAGCTTCTTTGATTGAGAACCTGCACGTAGACGGTAGCAACTTGGAGAAGGAATCTGTGGACATCGAAGACCTTGTAAACTAGACGATTAAGTTTATTTTTTATTTTTTTATTTCACATTAAAATAATTTACATAAAGCATTTGGGGCAAGGGTTATTTGATTGACTTTTTTTTTTTTTTTTTTTTTTTTTTTTTTTTTCTTCAGAGCTTCAGCTTTCTTTTCCAAGGTTGGTGTCAGAATGGAGCAGTTCCTCAAGTGGGGAAAGCCACGATTGTTTCTGACGGAAGAAGCGACAGCCTTCGCCCGCTTCCATAATCTCAATCCAACACTCTTTGAGTCTTAAAGAAGGACACCAAATAGTCGTATTTTGGCGGGACATCCCCCTCACCAACCCATATTTTTCCATCTCTGTCTCCAGTATCTGATTGTGGCCCAACTGTACGACTAGCATTTTCAAGCAAATCAATTTCCGAGAAACATACAGTGCCAAGCCTAGATCGATGTTTTTCCAATCCGTTTCAGGAACATAAAGTTTTTTAGTCAACTTGAGCCGTTCAACTTGGCTGCAGTATGTCTCCAGTAATTTAGCGGTCCTAAACTTGTTTAATTCCTGTTTTATGTATATTTGTAGCTCACAAGTCTGTAGCTGAGTGCCGCATCTACCTTTGGCTACATCATCCATATTAGGGCGTAATGCCTCTGGTGCCACACCGTCTACGACAAGAGTCTTTAAGGACGGACAGCACCGTATCCACTCAAAGCGGAAATGAGAAGCAGGTCTTCCGGACATCTGGATAATACCCAAATAATCCAGTGTCCATGTCCAAGGGATGGGTGAAAGAGACATCGACCCAATGGGCGGGGTCTCATAAAGCGTATTGTCACGGAGTGCAAGTGATCTGAGCAGAGGAGAATGTTGTAATGATTCGAACCGGAAATGATGGGCTGTACCACTACCGAGCTCCAACAGCTCCAACCGAGGCATTCGGAAGACGTCTAAACCATTTGGTCCGCAGACAATGTCCCCACTGATATGAATACTCTCCAAGTTGGGACAGCCCTCAAAGGCATTTGGACCAATGCTAATAGCATTCGTGAGCCGGATCATTCGTAATTTTCTAAGATTGGGTAATTGAAACTGATGATCGATGCAGAATGGAATGTCCGGAGTAGCCTCGCTTTCAAGACGAGCCACTGTATCTGGGCAGAGAGTATGTCGTAGTTGTGAATGGTCGTTCACATGGAAGAAAACATCCACCAAGCTGTGCGAGAATGAATACAAAAGCGATTGTAGGATCCTTCCCGCCACCCACTCTGAAACAAGCAACCGAACCACCTTGAGTTGCACTAATGTCGGTGGTGTGGGCACAAATGAAGATAATGGCGAATGTATGGTCAAAGTTGTTGTTGGTATTACTGAAGTAGTGGGGAGGATATCTGACCTCTTTTGGTTCATCTCATGGCTGTTTAGGACCCTATCTTTACTGTCGCTTAAACTGAGCTCAGAGACAGTAGCTCCTGACAGCATTGTTGTATATTGGATCCACTGTTTTTTTTCAGCTTCTGCCCATGAGAACACATTTCGGTCAAATGCAGCAAAATCTAGTTCTTGAAGTGCCCTACAGCGACTCAAGAACTTGTTTGGGTCCCCCTCTAAGAACCCAAGGATGTGCTTGAACTTGGAAAGTCGTTCCAAGACATGGCAGCTAATATTATCGCTGATGAGCGAGAAATCCTGGCAGGGAGTTGTGTCCAGAGCAACGGGCTGACCCATCGCATGGATCAATTGTAGCAATTGAAGTCGAGTATGTTGAGCGAGCTGGGCCTCCGTTTGAGGATACTGTTGATCATGGCCATGGCCATCGTCGTGATTATGGTTGTGACTTTGGCTATTGTGAAGATGGAGGGGATATGTTTTTCTTTTCGGTACCGACACAATGACTTGTGGTAAATTGCATTCTCCCAATCCCGGCCCACCTGCGCCGGGTATTGTCCCGAACCCTTGTCGTGCTCGGAGGAGCTGAATCAGATGATCTAGCTCGGAATTATTATATGCGCCTGCAAGCTGTAGCCGCGTTAGTGCCCTCATTTTGCTTGCGAACGGCAAAATGGGGGAGATAAACCCAGGTAGGAGGACCATGGATTGAATACGGTGAGCAGATTGTTTTAGGATGGTCATTTGGATATGAAGATAGAATTTAGCTGTGAGATGCTTGCACTTGTGCTGGTTCATGGTCCGTGCCGCATAGACCATCCAGATCTGACCGTCAAAAGCAGCAAGCGAATCGAGATATCGACACATGGTATATCGCTGTTTTTGTGGGACTATTGATCTATGGGGCTTTGATGATAGTGTTGGGATTGGAGGAGGGGCCTTTGTGATGCGCTTGATCTTGGAAACATCATTTAACTTTGTCGTTGATGTTGCTATGGCTGATGGTGGTAGTGGCATAGCTGATACCGGTGTTCCTGCTGTCGATGATTGCTCTGATGATAACAGAGCAGCTCCCGGTTGGGCGCCCGTCCAGTGATTTCCATTAGCAGTCAGGTGGCCACGTTGCCTTTGGGCTTGTTCCAGAAAGGATTCGGTCGAAAAGCTCACTGGACTGCTGCTGATACCATGGTTATCAAAATGGTGGACAGCTTTGGGTGGTAAAGCTGCAGAGTCAAGAAGGACCTTATGCAACTTGGGTCGTGACGAGTACAGACAAGTTGAGAATGGATCTGCATAGAGAACGGGGACAGTGATTTTGAAGAATAGATGGCTGACGCGAAGGAGCTTTGCTAACGTGGCAGTATCAGATTTCAGCTGAAAAACAATATATTCCAAGCACTCTGGTGGAAGGTCAAATATGGTTGTCATGCTTTTTTTTTTTTTTTTCTTTTTTCTTTTTTCTTTTTTTTTACTGCTGCCTTTTTAGGAGGACTTTGAAAGTGAGCAGGAAGAAACGAATGGGTAAAGGAATGGAGGAATGAAGGAATGGAGGAATAAGGTAGAAAAGTCTGGTGTGTGTGTTGTAAAAAATGATAACAGAATGAAAGGAGGTGGCAGTGCTAAATCAATTAATGTTGTTTTGGCGGGAAGAACATTGTCTGGCAAAAACTTTTTTTTTTTTTCTTCCCAGCATGAATTGTCCATGAAGATGTTACCGATCAAGAAGGATCCTGCAACTTCAAGTGAAGACGTGGTAATGGAATGACGGCATCGGGCTCGTTGATTGGCCAATATGGCGTTACTCTCCATGATGAGATGGATAACGCGGCCTTGATGTAGGATACATTAGAGAGAAAGATATTGAAAGACTCTAATAGTAAAGGAGAGGGATCATGGTAAACGTATGTGCAATTATACAAATGTGCGAGAGACAGATAAATACATTGTACAAATATATATATGTTCGTGGTATGCGATGTTGCTCATCATCATATGTATCAGCTAACCTTGATGGCTGTGCGAATTCCCTTCAGGTTGCAGCCCGATTACTGACAGATATATATCTCTACAAGCTCCTATTTTATATCTTCGATGATACTTGAGTACATGAGCATTCTCATTAATGTTTTATTCCGCGTGTATAAAGGAAAAGGTTAATAAAAAATAAAAAAAAGGTAAAGAGAAACTCCGATCGAAATGTAATTTTAATAACGCGTGTAAGATTTTATGTCTCAACTTTATTCCTTTAATTGTCTCAGGAAGAACCAAGAATCAGGAACCAACTTCATCTGTAGCTGTCTGACCGTTGTTATTCCTGATACCCTTTTTTTTTGTCTCTTTCTCTTTCAGACTTTACTACTCAAAAACAAGCAAACAAGCAAACAAACAAAGAAAGCTAGTCATCAATAAATGGCAACCGGAGCTCTATCTAATTATGTATGTCTGTTCATAGAAGAAAAAGAAAGAGTTAATTGTACAACCTTCATTCTTTTTCATTGTCTTCAGTCTGACATTCCTATTCGAATAATGAATCAATTATCCTTACTCTGTGAACAGTACATGTACAGCAACGAAACTGAGAGCAATCGCAAACATTAATGATGTTTGTATAGAAGAAAATGATATTCAGCACTGAGCAAGATTTGCATGCCGTTCATGTACACCATCTCCATATAAAATGTAGGATGGCCATATCATGTCTTTTTTTTGTTTTGTTTTATTTTGTTTATCCATTTGTTTGTCCGAAACTGAGCCTAGTAGAGAAGATCAACCTGGCGCTGCTCGTTCCTGGCCCCACCTTGGTTTGGTGATAGTAGTGGTAGTAGGCTTTCAGTTCAGATAGAATTGGAAATGAAAAAAAGAATGAGAGCATGTTTTATAAAGGAATGAGAGCCTCTTTCTGTCTCCCTCACTTTTCACACTTCGTTGTAAACGCTCTTTCTCTCTTTTCTCTCTTCGGATACCCCTCTCTCGATCTCTCCGCTCATTCTTCACCCCTGTTACTCTCCACCGATACCATCACCATCAACCATTCCAATCGATCCCACATTCCATTCCATTTACTGGACATTTCTTCATCATCATCTTTTTTTTCTTTTTATTTTTTTTTATTTGTTACATTCCATTGTAATCATCTCACTTTGTTTGTTTTTTTATTTCCACGAATAACTTATCTTACATTATCATATCAAAAAAAAAAAAAAAAAAAAAAAAAAGAAAAGAGGTAAATGACACACTTATTTCATCCTTCTAATCCTATCGTCTTGTTCATCATGCATTGTTTTGCATGAATACCATCAACTTGGGAAGAAGTGTGTTCCATTCAAATGTGAGAGGAAACGAATTCGTACGACAGTTGAAATATATTTTAATAAAGAAAAACCACAGAGGGGCTGATTCTATTTATGGACTGAACTTACATTCACGGAAGCAACAACAGCAAGAAGCATCTTTTTGTCATTACACAGAAAGAAAAATAACGAGAGGAATGACATTCAGCATCCTGCGAACAAAAGTCCAAGTCTCAAAGAGCCATAGTCAGAGTGGAAGTGGAGGCAAAACACAATTTTTTATATCCTCCTTTCAGGGGATTGATTGTGTACCTTAAGCTGAGCCCCATGCTTTCACTCAGCCCACAGCAACAGCAACAAACAACAACAGCAGCAGTAACAACAGCAACAAAGGATTGCAGACATAGCATTCCATCCATTCAATTCCCTATCATATGTTTCTTCAATTTTTTTTTTTTTTTTTTTTTTTTTTTTTTCTCTTTCGTGTTCCCTCGCCCTTGGCCATCCTGCAGCCAACAGAGACGCCCCTGTGAAGCACCAGCATCCACCTTATTCATTATTCACTTACACTTCTCTCCTCTTCTTCTTCCCTTCTAACTTCATCGCGTTATCAACTCTTCACTCTCTCTCCTACAGTAATCTCCAGTCCCTCCTGTAATGGCACAATCACAAAATATTCCTCAGCTAGGATATCCCTGTCTGGCCACTGGAGAAAGTACAGTGTCGCTCGTAGGGCTTCAATATGCCTCATCCGACAAGAATGACACTGCATATGCACTTCAGTCCTTTACTTTCCCCAAACCCAGCAACAGGATCGTTACCAATGCTGCCCATATCAACTTCACGCTCACACAGCACTTAAAGCCATATACTGTCAGACCTCTTGCAACCAGTCGGATGATCTGCTCCTTCGATAAAGCCTCTGGTACATTCCTTTACATCTTCAACGAAAACGTCTATATCGAGAACTCACAGAATCCTGCTCTTGCAACAGAAGAGCCAATCCCATCATGGGACCCCGCACGAAACCAGGTTCCACAGGTGGTCTGGCCCAAGAGCGAAGGACAGGGCCAGTTCCAATGGCTGGGCGTGAACAATGGCAACTGGACTATGTTTGATATCGATGCTACTAATGGAGTATCTACACCCACTCCTGCGTAAGTTTGCTTTTTTTTTTTTATTTATTTTTATTTTATTTTTATTTATTTTTATAAAGCAGACCTTTTCCTTCGTTCTTCTTCATTACCTCCTAATTGTAATACGCTTCCTTGTCTTTATTACTTATCGTTCGTTCTATTTTAGTCCCGTCCCTGCAGACATTCCCTCGAACGGTATTTTCTCCATCATCCGTGAGTCTGCAGGATCGTTCCTAGTTGTTTATAACAAGGCCTCCAATACTACCGCAGCCAGATTCACTCTCGGCGCGCCCACTTCCACACCTGTGACCATGGCCTCGGACGATATTGGCTTTATTGGCTTTTCTGCAGTCTCTCACGCACAGGATGCTACTGTTGACTACTTTTTTGGAACTGTAAGTCTTTTTTTTTTTTTTTTTTTTTGCTTATTTGTTTGTTTTGTTTTATTTTGTTTATGATTCTCCTATCCTCAAATGGGGCCGAAGCGGAAATGTCAGCATCCAAGGTTTTATATCACTGACAAGATTTTCTTCTGGCAATCATGATTTTGGAAACAATACACACATCAAACTAAAAAAAAAAAAAAACCACAGCAAGGTTCTTGGTCATTCACAGCAGCAGCAAAGTTGAACTCATCGTCAATTGAAATGATCTCGACTCGTGAGCTCCCAAAGGATGCGAATGGACCTGTGCCTCAGCTCTTTGGATATGGCGCTGCGACCGTGTTTGACACATCCAGGGCATTAGTGTATGGTGGACAATCGGATGCAGCCAACAATAGTTGGACCTTTGGATTAACGGCTGTGATCACGGATGCAGGATATCGATTCAACAATTACACCGTCTTTGGAGGACCAAAGGCATCATCGTCATCACCAAGCAACTGGGGAAACTTTGCAATTTATACACCACCAGCGGCTCCAGTACCCGAGGAAAAAAGCGGTCTCTCGACGCCCGCCATCATTGGAATCGCAGTGGGGGCTGTAGCATTGGTCATGCTCGTGGGCTTTTTGGCTATCTTTCACCGTCGAAACAAGAAAATTGAGGCGCGCGCTCGTGAGCAGGAAGGGCTCGGGTTGGCTGTACGCGATTTACATGCAAAGGGTGGTGAGGGCATGGGAATGTATCAGCCCCCTTTTGCCTCCACTCACTCACTATTGAACTCGGAAGCCAATACAACGCCTCGCGGACAAAATAGTATATCGACAGAACGTCCAGCTGAGAACATGACACTTCGTGTGCCGATTGTTCGATATGCTGGTCAGGATGTGGCTCAGTCGGTGCCTCATGCACCCTTGGGCGCCGTGGTGCTCTCACAGTACCGTCTTGGACAGACAGCAGTGAATACAAAGATGGTGGTCATCCAACTGGGCGAGAATGTAGACACAGCTGAGAGTGTGACACTCAAATGGGTTCGAGACGAAATTGTTTGGCAGAGAGAGGCTGCTATGTTGAACCATATCGTCAATCCTGCAAAGATTATTTCGCTACACCAAACCATGATCATCCCTGCCGCCCTTGAGTGGCGTCATATTTTGGTCTTGGATGCCCATGATTCGACATTGGACTTTATGTTGTCGACCCATCAGCACCGACTGTTGAGTAGAGCTGATCAAAGGGCAGTGGCTAAGGCTCTGTTGGGAGGACTGGTCTGGTGTCATGAGAAGGATGTGATCCATCTGTCGATCTGCACAGGATCTCTAGTGATGAACGAAGAAGGGCAATGGGTGATTTGGTCGTTCGGCGGAGCCAGGTTCTTGAATGAAGCCGTCGGACCTCGTCAGGGCTCCTTGATTGGCCAGGAGAATGGCACCGTCGAAAGAAATTTAGCACCAGAGCTATTGAGCGCTCGACGGGAAAATAGACTGGATTCGAGTTTGGCAGCTCCATCAATGGATGCTTGGGCAGCGGGCTGTGTTTTGTTTGAGGTGTTGACAGGTCAACCCTTGTTCCGAACAGAGGAAGCAGCAGATCAAGCAGCCACTGGCCGTTTCACGGCCTGGAAGGATCGTCTTGTTGATATTCCAGATCTTAATGAACGAAGGGTAGTGGAACAACTGTTAGTTCTGGACCCCAATTCTCGTTCAAGCCTCAATCAAGCAGAGCATCAGTTTGTGTAGACTGCAGTAAAAAAAAAAAAAAAAAAAAAAAAACTCCCCTCCAGCATACCTCCAGCTACTCTTTCCTTTTTCGTCATCACCATCAACAAAAAACAAAACAATAACGCATAGATTACGCTGCTTGATCAAAGTAGCACATATTCTAATTAAATATTTATAAAATGAAAACTATGACATTTATTTAACGCTCAGCATGCTTATTGGGTAACCACTTTATCTTTCACACTGAAAGGAGGCGCAAAAAATCCACTTGATCGAATTGATAGACACAATCCTCCCATTTTCTGTTGGGCAAATATGCATAGAATCGACGATGGAAATCAAAACGTGCCAAGGCTCTCTCCCCAGCATGGTTTAATTTAAAAGACTCATCCCTGAAACGGGTCAACCGTGGGAACAAAGTCTTGAGCGCAATCACTGTCTCCATTTGAAGCCGAGTGTTTGGATCAAGCGTGTTGAATGAGAGTCGCTCCACGTTGGGACAATATCGATGTAAGAGTACCAAAAGAGCGCAATCCAGATCTCCCGTAATCTTTGCGAAAATATCCGGCTCTTTGTCCCCGTCGTTAATGTGCTTTCTGCTTTGATCGCCATCATCATTCTTATTACTATCATCATCAGGTGTGATCAATGGCATAAGGCCCAATTGATCCCGAAGCTCTGCGGTGTTTCTCTGAATTGCTTTGTCCTGAGGTTGCTTAGCAGACGTATCCAAGGCGCTTGGATTGTCGCTACCAAAGTGATTCTTGCTCCTATCAACCAAAGTAAATCCAAAATCCTTCAAGCTCTTGCAAGCTACTTGATCGTAGGATGTATGAGGCTGGGCCATTTGGGTAATTAGCCTTAATAATAGCTGCCCACGATTGGGAAGTGCACTATCTTCACTATCGAGTGGATAGCATAGCTGACTGATATGACTGTAATTCAATCCGAATATCTTCAAGGTCTCCAAACCCGAGAAATGGGCCAGCCACTCAAACTGAAATGACATTGCTGAGGACTTCTCGAGGATCAAAGTCCTGAGATTCTTAAAGACACAGCTTTCAGTGGGGTTTGTCCAAAAGTTAGCCCAGGAATGGGGCTCTGTCCACGACAAGTTCCCGTGGAGCAGTGATAGAGAGCTGAGCTGTGTTGTGCTGAGGCATTTGAAATCAAAGGAAGCACGAATACTATATCCATCAATTACCAGCTCTCGAATTGTTTCAGGCACTCTCCAGCCATAGTCTGCGATAGTTAGCCCTTCTCCAAATAAACTTAAACGTTGGAGCCGTGGACAAGCACCAAAGGGGTCTCTGCCTTGAAGCCGCATACGTCTCGTGAGGAACAACTGCAACTCCTCCAAATGGGGCATTGCAAAAGAACTAGGATGAATGACGAAATTGGCCTTGATTGCAGAGTGACTGAAGTATAGTCGGAAATTAACAGGAGCATGAACAACAATGAGCCTTCGTAAAGTGTGGCTGAAGCCTTGGACCATCTGTCGGAGGACGTGAGGAATCTCTAGACTATTACGGACGTACAGTCGGGCTACTCGAATAGCCTGCTGGGTTGGCGGGGTAGCTGGCTGTGATGATGGTGATGAGGAGGATGATGATGATGCTGTTAACGTCAAAGTGGATATTCTCATCTGATCCATCTCTCGATATATCGAAGTTTCTTCTCCTTTGGACCCGTCTTCTTGCTTAACATCGCCCGTGTAAAGACGGATAACTGGACGAGGGGTAATAAAGTCGACTTCATGCATACTATTCACGACCATCTCAATTTCTGCCAGCTTGGGACACCGTCTCAAAAATAATTGCGGAGAATATCCTCCACATGTTCTTCGCAAGTCTGTATATCGAACGAGATGCTGCAAATACTCTGAAGGTATGCTTGTGCTATGAGATTGCCATTCAGGAAGCTCACTTGTGTCCAAGGAGACGAGGTGTCTGGTCGTCAATAACATTAAAATCTGGTCCCCCGTGCGCTCAGCCTGTTCTCCTTGAATATAACGAAGAGGTGGTAGCTGTAAATGACGAATCCCACGGCGGCTCGAATCAAGCTGATGGCTGTTCTCCCTTTCGATCCCGTTACCATCCATCACTGCTGTATCGCCCGCATTCTCGTGCTCAACAAGAGCCTGTATTAGATTCAAGTGGTTGAATGACAATTGGCTGATCAGGGGTTGATCGACAGAATAGCTCTTGGTTGTGTGATTGAAGCGAAGTGTAGTCCATCGGGACAGCTGCGCTATGACCTGTGGCGGCAAATCAAGAACTTCATGAAAAACAATCGCACGTGGGTTTGGGTTCTCCGCAAACCAGTCAAATATTGTATGGTACGAGAAACGGAAGGGTTGAAGCAAAGCTGGCGAGACATGAGGATCAGACGTCCTCCTTATTGGAGGTACGCCAGAAGCCTCGACGTCGGCGCTATCGCGATTATCTTGATGGATGGTCTGTTTAAAAGCCTCAAAGCTGGTGCGTAACTCAAACCAGTAGTCAAGATAACGCTGCCAAGGTGCCCAGTCGAAAACCTCAAGGAAACGCATATAATTGACAGTGGTACGGATCTCGACACCTTTTGAATCGATCAGGCGGCATAGCCCAAGGACGTCATCGGCTTCTTCTGCAGCGATCACAACCTCTTCACCTGGTTCACTTGGGCAGCAGATGGACCGTAGCAAGAGACGTACAAGGAGTCGTTCATGCTCAGAGCGTAGCTGCGGCGCCACTAAAGAGTTGTTGATGACATTATTGCTTTCACCCTGAAATTCTGCATAAATGCCCGCGCTTCTTTCCAGGCTACGGAAGGGGTCCCGATAAAGGTGAGAGGCAGCGAACTGAAACCAGCTTTTACTTACAACCAAGGAGGAGTGAATGGTGGAGATATCAAGATAAGAAAAGATAGTATGGACAAGCGGAGATGGGAGCTTGAAGAGGAATGATGAATCGGGTTTGTCGAGCGCCTTTGTATCCCTGGCCCTCCTGTGCTTGGTTGCGTTGGATAGGATAGGTTCAAGGGTTGGGGTGGATGGGGCTGCGTCCTCTGAGCCATCCAAGCTGAGTACATCATCTCCGCTGTCGTCGTCGTAAACTGAAAGTGTCACTTGTTCGAATCCTGTTATAGGCGAATATACAAAATTGTCAGAATCACTGGTATTGAAACGCACCTCAATTTCGTCGTCTTCAACTTCACTGTTCTCATCGTCCTCATCGTCTTTGTCTTCGTAATCATCGCTATAGCCAGTGTAGTAGTCAGAATTGTTACTGTCATAGACACATTTATTGTAGATGATTAAGTCTTCTCTGGATGGTACAGAGTCAGCAGGGTCGTTGTCGTAGACGAGCTCAAACGAGGAACAAGATGAAGTAAATAAAGGGTTGAATGAAGGCTGGGGTACGCCAACAGAAGCATCAACACTCGCAGGGCTGTCTTTCCCTGACATTGTATTTGTTGTGTTGTAGGGTGTAATTTGTTCTGAGATGAATATCTATGAGTAGATTGGGGAGGTGGATGGGTGTGAAAATTTTTAAAAAAGATAAAGAAAAAGAGAAAAGGAGCAATTGAAGACAGTTTGCCCATACGTGGCATGGCGAAGCAAGAGAACGTATTGCCATGTTGCACAGCAGTTCATCTATCTGCGCCTCAATTTTACTGCATTGGTCTTTGCGAGTCTTTTGTGACAGAGAGTTCTTTTTTTTTTTTTTTTTTTTTTTGCCTCGCTTTGTCCTTTCCGATAAAAAAAGGAGCTAGCGAGTCCTTGATCGGCATAATAAACACTCCTTTCTTCAATACCTGTAATCTTGGTATGTGTAAGTGAGTAATCAATGTTTATTCATGCGCATGGATAGAAAGAAGTTTGTTGCACATGCTGCTAACACACGGATCAGGATCAGGCAATAAGCTAAGTTCAAAGATTGATCCAGTAAGCCACAAACACTTCGTCCACCCCACATGTCCAAGAAAGCTTTTCTTCTTTGGGTGATCACATTCCTCTCCTTCACCGCTGTGTTGGATCCATCCCATTCATCCCATCGAACTACAACTCGAATTCATTCATTGTTGTCTTCCTTATCTTCCTCTTCTTTTTTTTTTTTTTTTTTTTTTTTCTTCATTTTTGTCTTCGCGCCATATCCCATTCTCTCTCTCTCCTCTCTTTTTTTTTTTTATTTTTTTTTTTTAACACGGGCTTCTTGGATCACATACTACTTTCATTCCATTTGTTGATTCATTTCTATTTCTTTGACTTGAGTGCAACTATCGGAAGGAAGGAAGATTAGGGGAAAAGGGAAAGAAAGGAAAAAAAAATACAAAGGTACAACATCGCACCTTTTATTCTCTGAATCATTTGGTTTCACCATGAGAATCCTCAAGTTCATTTCATCGCAAAGTTGTCTTCATTTTGTGAACGATCTGATCCATTCTTGATCTAAATCTGCTTTCGTCTTTCATTGCAATCTATATCTTGCAGCGGTAGTGCATGCCTGTAACCAAAAAATAAATAAATTGTTACAACAAAAGGGCTATCTAGTGATCTAAAAAAACCTTTACTCACCATGCCTCCGCGATACCAGCCTCCTCACCATCGCGTGAATTATAACAACAGCAACGTCAACAACCCCAACAACCCACTCTATTTACAACCACTTCCTAGCAGCGACATCTCATCTGCCTCTGCGCCCTACCCTCCTCCCCAGCGCAATCACCCATCATCTTTGGATCAGTCCGGTGCCTCTTCAGACAACTGGAGCTCCGGCCGTGGCTACAACAGCCATGGTAGTGGAAATCGTAGCTTCAATAACAACTATCGCTCTAGTGGACGTGGCGCTCGAGGCGGTGGTCGAGGCGGAAGCGTTTCTGGTGGCCATGGTGGAGCCAGTAGATTCAATGTATCATCTCCTATCAAACAAGACCGGGTCTATCTTTACGATCAACGCCACCTGGACACGACTTATAATACAGATCACTCGAATAGCACCGCAGAAAAAGGTGAACGCTGGTGGGAGAATCCCAAAAATTTCCTCCAGTTTGTTTGTAGAGCAATCGATCCTCCACCACAGTTTGAGATCGTGTCGACTCCAGGATTGCCCTTGAACTGGGTCAGAATGGAGTTTAAAGTCCAAACTCCCGATCCTGATCTTCTAATTGTTGGGAGGGGTGATGGCAAGAATAAAAAGGATGCAGAAAAAATATGCGCGCTTGATATCTGCTACCAACTGGAAAAGCACTCGTTGATCGAATATTATCGTCAATATGGTCGCACTAAAAAGACCTTGACAAAGTCTCCGAAGGATTGGGTTGTAAACTTTTACACCAACAAAAAGGTTGGACTGCCAAAGTATGTCAACAAAGTCGATCCAGAGACAAAAGCTGTCATTTCTACTCTCCAGCATGAAAATATTGTTGGCACTGGTAAAGGATCCACAGAAGAAGAAGCTGAACTCGCCGCTGCAACTCAATTTCAACAAATGGCAATTGCGCGTGGCGTCACTGCTGTTCTTCCGCAACCGGGATCAATCGAGGAGTCCGGGTTTACAGTTGAGGTAGCCAAGAAGTTTGTTGATTATTATATCAGGACACTCTCACTAGGTCCTCCCTATATCGATTATCAGAGCTCAGGGAAGACACATCAGGCTTTATGGCAAGCGGAGCTTTTTGTTCAAGATCGGGTCATAGGTGTTGGCAAAAGGCGCAGCAAGAAGGAGGCTGAGCATCGTGCCTATGTTGATGCTGCTGTCAACATGAAAAAGGAATCAATGGCACTCTGGCAGCAGTTTGAAGCAACCAAAGATAGTAAAGGCAAACATGCAGAAATCGTTCGAGCTGCACCAAACATTCACATTGGCATGGATGAAAATGTGCGTCAAGACATCGAATACATGTTGACCGACCTGAGTCGTCAACCCTTTTTCACAGTTCGACGTCCACAGCTTGGTTCCAATATATCGGATGACCTCACTGCTGAAAAATCAAAGAGGGACCAATCAGCTGCAGTTAATAACGGCAAAAGACAAAATCGACACTTAGTCGGGAAATTGGATGTGCAACAGATGGCTGGAAAGTCTGCTCGGCTCTTCGACCAACTTCAAAACTACCTAAAGAATCCAGCATTGACCAAGCTCCGAGATAGTCGAGCAGCTTTACCCATTGCTCAATATACAGAGGAAATTATCGCGAAAATCCGTGAAAATGATGTTATTGTCCTTGTGGGACAAACAGGGTGTGGCAAGACAACACAGCTACCACAAATCATTCTCGATGAATACATCAAAAACCGTGAGGGGGGTGTCTGTAACATTATTTGCACACAACCACGTAGGATCGCTGCCATCTCTGTTGCCCAACGTGTTGCAGTGGAGCGTGGCGAGCGTATAGGTCAGTCCGTGGGTTATCAGGTACGGTTCGACAATCAACCTCCAGCCCCAGGTGGCTCCATTTTATATTGCACAACGGGTATCTTTTTGCGGATGATGCACAACGAAAATGGCGGCCCTGTCTCAGCAGCAAACGCAGGAGGGTCCGCCACAGGAATGGCGCCGCATGATCCTTTGAGGGACGTTAGTCATATTGTAGTTGACGAAGTACACGAGCGCGATATTGACACGGACTTTTTGTTAGTGCTGTTGAGACAAATGCAACGGGAACGTCGGGCAAAGGGTCTCCCTGTAATCAAGCTTATTCTTATGAGCGCTACGATCGACACTGGCCTGTTTGCGTCCTACTTTGGAGAGGGTTTCAAGGGAGGTCAATGCCCCACAATCTCTGTGCCGGGCAGGACCTTCCCTGTGAAGCAATACTTTTTAAATGATCTCTTGGATGCCATGCATAAGCAGTATCCTCCATCGGCCATAGCATCATTATCGAGGCATGATCAAACTAACAAATATATACAGCGGGAAATGAGTATCATGCCAGTGGGTCCACTTCAACCACACCAGACAAATAAGCCTATGACTAATGCATCACAACAGTATGACAGTGATGACGAAGTAGACGATGTGGACGATGGTGAGCTCGATTATGCAGAGAGTATCTTGGAGCAAGCCAGGAGAGTATCAAGGATGCCACGTGATGAGATTTTAGATGCAGAGATTCCAGCGCACTTAATTGCTATGACCATCTCCCATATTGTCAAAACTAGTCCACCGACTGGGGCTATTCTCTGCTTCCTTTCAGGATGGGAAGATATGCAGGAAGTCTACAGACAGCTACAGAACACGTTTCCTTTGGGAGTTGATTATAATGATACCAATAAGTTCAGGATCCACATGCTCCATTCGACCTTGCCTTCGATCTCTCAGCAGGAAGTCTTTGAGCCTCTTCCGGACTCTGGTATGAGGAAGATTATTCTTGCCACCAATATTGCCGAGACCAGTATCACTATCCAAGATGTGGTGCATGTTGTAGATAGCGCCAAAGTCAAGGAAACAAATTATGATCCAATCAAGAGAATGACAACTTTGCTTCCAACTTGGATCAGTGCCTCGAGTATGAAGCAGCGGGCTGGACGCGCAGGCCGTGTTCAGGAGGGACAATACTATTGTATGATGTCTCATCAGCGACGCGAGCTTCTGGATGCTTTCTCAGTCCCTGAAATGCTTCGTTCAGATCTGCAAGAAATTTGTTTACATATCAAATCTGTGGACAGCTCAACTAAAATTGTCAGTGTGCTAGCGGAAGCGATCCAACCTCCAGATCAACTCAGTGTGTCGGATGCACTGACACAGCTAACGTCACTAGGGGCATTGGATCGCAACGAGAACTTGACACCATTAGGAAGAGTTTTGGCAACGTTGCCAGTAGAACCAAGCTTTGGACGATGCCTGATTCTAAGCTGTGTCTTCCGATGTTTGGACCCTGTGTTGACGTTGTGCGCCTCTCTTGGCAACAAGGATGTCTTTGTGTCACCTTTAACGAAGAAAGATCAGGTCCGCGCAACACATTCTTTTCTCCCTCATCCTCTTTTTCATTCGAGAAATCAAGTTGAATCTCTCTATTTTTTACTAAGACTAATATGAGCTTTCCTTTTTCTTGTACCTTCTCACACTCCGTGATAGGCGGATCGTGCCAAGATGAAATGGGCCAAGGATCTGAATAGCGACCATTTGGCAATGATGAACGCATATAATGCATGGAATGAGGTGCTTTCTCAGGCTGCCACTATGATGGAGAGGACAGGCGAACGTGGAGACCCTACGCGAGCGTCGTTCAACTTTACGGATCAAAACTTTTTGAGCCGACAAGCACTCGAGAATGTGAGGCGGGCTAAGACTCAGCTTTTGGGATTACTAGAAAAGGCCGGTGTAGTCCCCATGATGACTTACCAGATGCGCCAGCAACAGGCATCATCATTTGAGATGGGTCCTGCAGAATATAACAAGAATTCAAATTGTACTCCACTGTTGCGAGCCATGATTTGCGCAGGAGTGTTTCCCAATATCTCATACAAGACTAGCAAGAAAATCCATCGGACACGCCACGATAATACTTGCATTGTCCATCCAGGATCAGTTAATTCGATGAGGGGTGAGAAGATGTTATACCCAGAGCAAATTCCTGAGCCAGGCTCTCTGTATGCATTCTCAACCAAGGTTAGGACAGGAGAGACCCAAATTTTTTTGAGAAATACAACTCGATTGGACCCAATTTCGATCTTACTGTTTGCAGGCGAGAATGATGTAGAAGCTGTTACTCACAATCAGCTGATGGTGGATGGATGGTGGAGGTTTAGTGGATCGGAGCGAACCATCCGGACATTGCGCTCATTGCGCGAACTGATGAATGATGGGTTTGAAAAAATGTTTTTGATTTTGGACCATAAGAGTCGGAATAGTCACTTGCAGCAGGGACGAAACCATTACAATAGACAGCAGCAGCTTAAAAATAACGGCGGCACTGGAGATGATGACTATTACAATGATAGCCATCGTTCGACACCTTCACCCCAACTCGGATATTATGGTGTGGGTCTCGATCTTGGCCCAGGCGGGGGAATGGATGATGGCATGGATATGGACGCGCTTTTGAGTCAAGCAATCGAGTCAGGCAAGGACTGGCTGGACCAGCCTGCAATGGTTCGTCTAGTTGAAGGAGTGGTCGAGCTTCTCCAGAATTCGGATGAGGAGATGATGGCTGGTAATCACAACAGTTATCAAGGTTATTATGGAGGCAGTGGAAATCAGGCCTATAATCCATCTTACTACAACGGCAGCGGTAGTGGCTACAATAGTGGCTATGGTAGTGGAAACAATAGTGGGCGGAACTCAGCAATGGATCATCATCCAAGCCATCCTCCACAGCACATGCCATTTCCTACTAATTCTAGGGCATACGGGAGTGGAGGACCCTATTATCCACCTGGCAGTAATAGTAATAGCCGACCCGGAAGCCGAGCAGGATATTCTTCAGGATCATATGGGTACAATAGCAATTATGGTCCGCATCATGGTCATGGTGGCCATCCTATGCATCCAGGCCATCCTATGCACCCACCGCCTTTTATTCAACAGAGTCAGGACCCACGCGAAATGTGGACTACTAATGCTGGGCAGGGTACCGGTGGTAGTCAGCAGAGTTGGTTCTAGATTAATTTTTCATTAAATTTTTTTTTATCGTCTAAATTTTGTAATATATTTAAATTAAAGCGATATGATTAGTGCTTTCGCTATTGCGCATCCAGATCCAGGCTTGTATGGTGCATTGATGCTCGCGTCTTTGTTGTAGCTCTCCTTGGTATGGTTGCTGTTGTGCTTGATTACCCAAGTAACTAGCCGCAATAGATGGGGGGAGTGGTGCCTGGATGACCCACGTATCTTTCCCATATCTGTGTTTTGGGCTCGCCCCAAACTCAAACACTGCCATCCGTCCATTACATAGTGTACACATGAGTATCGAGCCAGAGCGATTTATTCTGAACATGTGGATCGTACTGTCACTGCCTGCTGTTGCTTCAGGATTTTTCCAGATCGTTTCTCCAGCAGAATAGGCCATCATTCTTCTCAGCCTGGGTCTCGTTTGGTCAATAGTCTTCACTACACGACGAAGTGATGGGTTGATGTCAAGCAAGCGTGTTGTAGCTTGAGGATGGCTGTGGCCATGACTGTGCAGTCCCTGACTACGATCACGTCGGCCCTGGTTCAACGAATAAATATCCAGTGGGCATACTTGGATCCGGTATAAGAACTGGCCGGTCTCTTTGCTCCAAACACAGAGCATCCCTTCTAGTTTAGAGTTTGTCACAATGACTACGTCGGTAATGATGATTTTGCAAGCATATTGCTGGTACAAGTCTGTTTCGAAACGGAGATGGTCTTTGGAGCATAAGGGTTCGTCTAGATCCATAATTAATGTTCCAGTATTGAGGTCATGGATCTGATAACCTTCCGTGATTGATCCTGAACCTATGATCCAACCCCGTCGATGCAAATTGTTGCATTCTTGCTCATGTTTGAAAAGCGAAGCATTGTTGTTTTCAACAGAGACATTGATACCGCCAGCACCATAGATAGCGACTGAGTAGATACCAAGGCCGATGTCTCGTGAAAGGTACAGATCGGGGATCACGCGCAACAATTCACCAGATAGAGCATCCCAGACTCGCAATGTATGATCTGACCCCCCACTTACGACGGTTGTGTTTTTGATATCTACCGCTACGTTTCCATCGCGTTTTATGAAGGAAAGAAATATATATTAGAGTCGCGTGAATTGGTGCATACTTATTGGGCCACGGGTATTCAAACATACAAACAAACGATAAAAATGTGGTTCTTCTTTACCATTCACCCATCCAATATGTCCCAACAATAGCCATCGACTCTGAATAGGTTGCCCATACATTCTGATTTTCTGCGAGAACGAAATCGCAGCGATCATATCATTACTACCGTTACTGTTACTGTTGTCAAAGCTATTTTTCTGTTGGCTTCTGGGATATCTCCATCTCGGATTCACATCCCATACGCGCACCGTTCCATCAATGGAGCAAGATGCTAGTAAGGTTCCTATATCGTTCACAGCCAACCCTGAGATCAAATCTCGATGACTATGCGCTTCATCATCAATGTCTACAAACTCAGAGTCCTTCATCGGCCAATCCAACACCTGCATTAGAGGGCGGTTCCGATCTCGGTGAGTTCGGACACAGATACGTGCTTGTAGAATCAGACAGACATCAGTATAAGAGCACAAACTACAGCTAAGAATATCATCCACTAGTACCGCTTCTTCCCTTTGGATGCTTTGCTGGTCTCCTTCTTTTCCTTCTCTTTGTTGCTGTTGTCGTAAAGTAATCGACCGGGCAATGGTGGTCGAGGCGGGTAATGCAACCTCCAATGGGATTGAGGAGGTATTTTTAAGAGGACTATTTATGTCCCGGCATTTGTGGGCCATTGAGCGAAAGCTGGAGCCGGAGCTGGAGCCGGAGCTGGAGCGGAGGCTACTATCATCATATTGGTCTTGCAAATGATGGTGGTGTTGGTGCTGATGTTGGACAGCAAAATCTCTTTGGCCAATTGATAAAGATTGACATCCTCTGTTTGTAGCATCTTCGACTTTTAATGCTGTCCGCCCTTCAGCTTGACATTGGCTTTCAATATTCTCCAACATAAAGCTGTTCTGTAGGAGCGACTCATGCGCCGAGGCTTGCTGAGGCGATTGATAAGGCTGCACAACTAGTGTGTTGGCTTTTTGATGGATCCATCCGCTGCAGATGCTAAACATCTCTTTCCAATAAGAATTGAACGATGTTGTTATTGAAGGCTTTCCGCATTCCTGCAGGCGCTGCTTTAGCTGTAGTCCATTGAGCGGCCCAAATCCATGCAGCTCATGCTTTTCTGAGTGTTTATATGATGATAGCATTGGTGTAGGTGACAATACACAAGGAAACGCAGAAAGTGTCGCTGTACGCCAAAAGAGATCCTCATATTTTATCACAATGTAATACCAGCGCTTGCAGATAGAGTAGAGGTCCTTTAGGGTGCTCGGGTGCAAGTGAGCAATCTCGAGGAAAATGTTAAGGAGAATCTCATTCGGAAGCTGGCGGCTAGGAAGAGTCTTCTGTAAGGAGGACGCGTTGAAGGCTTGTATTGACGATGCGATGTCCTCTGGGACAATACTATTTACCATAATTATGGACATTGAGGGGAGTTTGGGGTGTAATGGGGATAGGTCCTATATTGGTGAGTTGAAGAAATGGGATTGCAAGACCAAGGAAAAAAAAAAAAAAAAAAAAAAAAAAAAGTTCATGGAACCGATAAAAGGGCGAAACCAAGTGAGTACCTCACCAGTTATGTCAAATGTTCCACACTCTAGGCAAAGTATTTATTTTACGCTTCAATACAAGCCTTGCTACCAACCGTAGGATTTAAGAATAAGTTATTTTTAAACATAAATACGTACTACTCATCTAATATTCATGGTAACATGAAGAAAGAGGTGCGAGAGAGCCTTATTCTTCGCAGCCGACCGGAAGAACGAAACTTTGGGTACGAATACTTCCAAAAGGCGAATTAGCTCCAATAACCCTAGCCTTGGTGCCCAGACCGCGTTTGGAGAATCCCCTCCAGATATCACAGCGGTACTTGCCGCGAGTCAGAATCTTCTCAGCCTGGATTATGGCATCGCGAGCCTGTATGAAGGAAGGCATGCATGGCTGAAGTTTCATACCATCGACTACCAGCTGAAGGGCCAAAGTGTTGGCATAATGAGTCTTGTCCTTTGTGTACCAATTATCTGTGAACGGAAGGCGAAGGCGCAGGTTCTGGTATACTTCAAACAACATCTGAGCCCAGACTTCGCCCTTGGCGTGGACACCCCAGTAGGCGGGACCGTCCATAAACTTGAAGGTCTCAGGATTAGTTTTCATCGAGGTCGAATAAGGAAAGCGACGGATTCCTTTACCACCATTGGCATAAGCGCCCATCTCGAACTCTGACTCATAGGTGTGCTTTTCATTCTGACGGAATAGAGTAGCAAAGAAATCGCCCCATCCCTCACCCATACCACCAGCTTCGCCCCATCCCAAACATCCAGAGTTGGCAGGACCGCCGGTCAAACGAGTTGAGATACCATGAGCATACTCATGGATAATGATCCCGCTCTCAAGGTCGCCGTCGCGTGGCACTTCTGTCACATCCCAGACGTACATGCGCATCTGACCGTGCTGACCATCAGGAGGTGTTGCAAAGTTGGCGTTGTTGTATCCAGATCCGTCCTGAGCATTGGCGATGACAGCATCGTTGCCTATGCCTCCACGTCCGAAATTATTCTCCTGGAAGTTACCAGACTCTTCATCAAAGCCATAATGGTGGAAAACATCGTGCATTTGGTTGTTCCAATAAAACAGATTGGTGACTGCAGCGTCAACATAAGTAGCAGGGTCCTTCTTGAGATCAATCTTGAAATCAAATGTGAGGTGTCCATCCTTGCTAAGCACGCCCTCAGGTTTAGGGTTGTTCTCCCAATCCCTTCCATTCCTTCTATTCTCTCCGGCGAACACATTATTACCAATAGTGGTGGTGAAGTTCTTATTCTGTGCCTGACGATTCCACCCAAGAGGTGAGCCCTTGGGATGCTCTGGGTTGACAACGAGTTTACGCTTACCATCCTCAGGGTCATTCACACCCATGGGATAAACATTGAATGTTGCGTCCGAAACCCAGTCGACAACCTGCATGACCTTGCCAGTCTCGGCGTGGACCTGGACATGAAACCAGTTATCGGTATCCTTCATCTCAACCTGAAGGTCGTAAACAAGCTCCAAAGTGCCCTCCTCGGTCTGAATGTAAGCTTGGTTGACTGGCACCTTGCCATCAGCAGTGAGGGGACAGTTGGTCATCATAACTTCAACTTTGTCGGAGTTGAGTGAGACAGTCGTGACAATGTCCATATCCTCAGGACGAGGAATCTCGATATTGAGAAATCTGGCAAACGACATTAAGGCCTCTTGAGGCGACTTCACATCTTTGCCTTCTGGAGCTCGGATGGGATTCTATTATGGCCGCATTAAATAAGTTAATTGGCGGTTAGAGCCATCAAAAAAAACTAATGCTGTGATAAATGTTGTTGGTAATAACCATCTTATTTGCCATCCTGTATCCTAAAGTCATTGCCATATCCATAATTCATCCTGTGACAGACCATGTGGGTCCAAGAGAGACAATCATAGCCAGTGTCCAACATCAGGATTTACACTGCACATGTGGATATTCTTCAAGCAACCAAGTGGCTGTAATATGTATGCAAGCCTACAACGTTCGCTTTGACCAACTGTAAGTGCAAATGTACAGCGCACATGCCCAAGGCTTGGCATTTCTTGAGTAACTGTTTGTTGGAATGCTTTGTACGCCTCAACTGTTCATGGCAGCTGACATTAAATTTCCCCTTACCTGGCGATGAGGGCTTCCACGGCGCCTTCGACCACCAAAGGCCAACTGACGACCCTGCTCCAAAAGAGACTCGCCTTCCTGTTGGAGCCATTCGCGAATGGTCATCGACTCGCTATTACCATCATTACGACGGACGCTAAAGCTGTCAATGTTGTTGTGATTGCCTTTGTAGAATGAATCACCAAACGAGATGACGTTGCCATCCTTGTCCACATTCACATTGATGTCACCATTTACTACCTCTAGACCGTTGATCACCTGGCGGAGGTACACATGAGTGACACCGTTGTGTTTGGATGTATAAGCGTTCTTAACAACGTAGTCGGACGAAGTCAACTGTTGCTGCACAAAATCAGTGGCCACTTTCTTAGGGTCGGCGGGCGAGCCTGAGAAGAAGGATACAACATCATCGCCATCCATAGTGATAGAGGAAGAAAGAGGTGTAGCGCCACGAGTCATGGCAGCCATAGAAGATGCTGAACCAGCAATGTGGTACTGCTGGTGGCCTAGCTCAGGGCCGAATGGCTGGATGCGAGTACGATGTGCAGCTGCTGTGCCAGCAACAGCGAGCATGGCTGCCAAGAGAGAGTACGACTGTGTCTTTGATATTTTCATTCTTGAAATCAAACAAAAAAGATTGGATGAAAATGGAGAGAGTCAAAGGAGAGAGTGAATCCTTTAAAAAAAAAATAATAATAGCGAAATGAGTGAATGTGTAGTGAAGAGTCCAGAAGTGAGTGAAAACTGAGAGGAAAAGAAAAGACAAAAAGTGACATTTAAAGGTCATTATTGAGACTGCGTAACATTATAGAATTAGTTTTCATAAACTTTATTTTGCATTGAACATGCTATTAAAACTGTGATCATTGAATTTGAAATACCACTGGTGAGCCCGAGAGCCTTTTCATTTCTTGCTTAGCCCATTCAGTTCACACAGCCGATGGAGACGTAATATCGCTTAGAGAACTAGCCACTGTTATAACATCCCAAAAGAAGCAAAAAGTATCTGACTCTGTCTCCTCCATGTCATAATCATGTGTAGAAAAAGAGACAAATGCATTTTTACAAACAAAAATAAAGCGCAGCGATTCTTTTGGACAGAACACAGGTGCGTTTTGATTCTGTCCAAATCTGGGCACGATCAATTAGAGTTGAAGAAAATTAATTCATTGCATAGCCTACATTCGACGCGTTCTTTTACATGCAAGAGATAATCCAATTACTCACGCAATATAAATTTATTATGATTTGGCGAAACAAACAAAATTGTCAGATCATTACACTCTAATGTTCTCGTCCATCTCTAGTTGCTGGCGCATAGGAGGGCCCTGAAGAAAGGTCGAGTCTGCCATTCCGATATCGTGCATCAAGCCCACCATATCACCTGTCCAGATTCGCATCATCATTGCTTGAATCTTTCGTTTTGTAAACATGTCTGCGGCTTCATCACCTGTCAACGACTCAACAGCCTGCTGCAAAAGAGGCTTGGGCTTGGGGAATACTTTGACCACAACGTTTTCAATTTTCATGTCCGATGGTACATGGCCAGCTTCCTTGTGCGCTTCAAGACCATAGTCAGCTGCTAATCGGACAGCATACGATAGTCCTCCAAGTTTATCTACCAATCCAGCTAAATTGCAATATCAAGCGAGGAAGGTACAAAGTTATATTATATCAGCTAAAAGGCATTGTTCTCGAATACAATTTATATATTTTTTTTCCCCTTTTTTATTTGCACGTTTCTTACCTTTCAAAGCTTCTTTCCCATTCATGACACGCCCACCAGCGATGTCTTCAACTTGCTCCAATGTCATCTTTCGTCCATCGGCAACACGTTTGAGGAAATCTGCATATGTGACATCAATTTGTCGTTTGAAGCGTGTCAACGCAGCACCTTCCAGATCATTGAGCAGTGACGTATCAGATGATCCAGTAAAGAACTGCTCAACACTGACACCAATCATCTTGAAGAACTCGGGAGTGAAATATGGTCGCATGGAAGCGACGCCAATGCTTCCGGTGATAGTGGTCGCTATCATTTCACCAGATCAGACGAAAGGATGGAACCATTTAGGTTAGTTGTACTCAAAACCGTTATGGTCTGATCATGTCTAGTTCAGAACAGACCACATAAAAACAAAGCCTTACGTTGAGCAACAATAGCCTTGGCATGAGTTGATACAAAATATCCTCCACTGGCAGAGGTGTTCCCAAAACTAACAATAACAGGTTTCTTCTTTTCATCTTGGCACCAGCGAATAGCATCTCCAATAGTGTCGCTAGCAACCACGTCTCCTCCGCCAGAATCAATTCTCAAGACGACTGCGTCAACTGTAGGATCATCTGCTGCCTCTCTAATGCCTTTGACAATGGTGTTGGCTCCAAAGTCGCCACCACCACTACAAGCCATAAAAAAAAAAACACCATTACTCGTTGCTTCGAAGATGAATGAAAAAAAAAAAAAAAAAAAAAAAAAGCACTGTACCGTTTAATGCCGCCAATCAGGTAAACGATCCCCACAACAAGGCTGGGTTCCTTTGTCTTGGCAAGCTTGTTTGTGTGCTCCTTGCCCTTAACGCGGATATAGTGAGCCAGTCCAAATGCACCATTTTGCTCGACGATCTTGCCACAGTCTCTTTTGTATAGAAGCCCGTCCACCAGTCCTTCATCCTTTGCTTCATAAGCCATGAATGGACCAACTTGAATTAAATGATTCAGTTTCTCAACTGGATCGCTTCCAAGAGCTTTCTGGCGAGATTTCGCAATATCAGCCAAAACCTGTGAGTTCAAACCCTTTAGAAGATCGAAGAGATTTTGCTTCTGTGCTGGTGGAAGCTCTGTCTCCGTGAAAGGGCTGATCACGCTTTTATACTCCTTGCGAGCTTCAGAGCGCACTAGGTAATTGATTATTGCATTAATAAAACGAAAAAAGGATTAGGCTTTTTTATTTTTTTGGCCATCAAGAAAACATTTTTCAAGCACAAGGCTTATTCCACTTTACCTTGGACACCGAAGCGATTCAAAAGAGTTTTGAAAAAGGGGACAGTCGATGACAAGCCAACCAAAGGAATGCCTCCAGTAGGCTGCATATACACTTTATCGAACACTGATGCCAAGTAATACTGCGTTTGAGTGTCTATATGATCCAAAAAAAAAAAAGCCAAGTTCATATAATGCATTAAATGAGACAATGTAATTAAAGCAGACACATCTATTCATTCTACAAAAAATATAGACCTACCAAATGAGTCTGTAAATGCAATAAGGGACACCTTATCTTCACCACCAAGAGCCTTAGCCTTGGCTTCCTTAAACTCTTGGATGGCACTTCGTAGTTCTTGGATCTGAGCCAATCCTAGCCCTTTAGCTTGCTGTGTTTTATTGTTAGAGGTTGAAAAGTTGGCCATGATACCTACGATCCTTGGATCGTCCTTGGCATGTTTAATAGCAGTAACAACATCAAGTAGTGTTGAGACTGGAGTGGGTGTATCGCCCCCTGCAGCCCTAAGAAGCTTTTGAAGGTGGCCTTTATCGGTGTCTGTTTCTACAATTGACCTATAAAGGATGGTGTACAATGTTATCAGAACGTTACATCGCCAATTTGCATTTAATTCAATTTCTTCCTTGCACAAAGGCGCTTACCCGTCTGTAACTCTCCAGTGAAGCACTGTGTTTGGTGGAATAGTATCCCTGATCTTCTGTTGTCTCCAATTGCTATTTGCATTTAAACGGTGACATAACCAATGAAAAAAGGAAAAAAGAAAAAAAGAAAAAAAAAGCGTTATGGCTACAATTTAATTGATCTTTAACAAAATTAAAATGGCCTTACGATCAGCTGAAATTGCAGATCAAGCAAGATCAAGTAAGCTTCATACTAATAAAAGTTAGCTCCACTATAGGCAAGGAAGAGACCAAAAGTGATCTTGCCACGGTGAGCCCATGTTCTTGAAAACACAGAGGGAATCCTCCTTTGTGATCTGCCTTGTTGTTGCTGTTGCTGCTTCTGAGCGGAATTCCAGTTGTTTCCAGACCCATGTTCTTGACCAGCATTTTGTGAACCTTCAAGGGCGCTGGATCCTACGATGTTTGCTGCAGATGTCGATGTCGACGGTGGTGGTGGTGGCGGTGATGGAGTCGACATCGTCTTTGAGTCAAAAAAGCTTCGATAAAGAAATGAATTTGACTTTTAATAAATGATGGTAAAGGAAGAATGGTAAGAATGGTAAGAATTGTAAGGATGGGACGCGTTACACAAACCATTCACGTCTTCAACATCACGTGAATAGAATATCAAGCACAGCAATTGACATTTAGTGGCTTAGCTGTTAACGACAGGTAGAAAACTGCCTAAGGTGAAGGGGTAACAGATCTGAAGTTAATGGCATGATTGATAACGAGTGCTATGTATGCCCTTCTATATAAAGCTTTAATGCAAGTGGAAATGCCTCCAAGCAGGAATATTAATCCAGGCTTCACCTTGGAATGTCATACAGGGAGGGAGATATAAGGCAAGCTCACCAAACTGAGACTCTTCTACATTGCTGAAAGAGGATTGACAACTTTTCCAACGAACATTATTCCCAACGATAATATTGGTAGCTCCAGAAAAAAATCAAGACCGCGAAGACATCAGGCCTCGATCATACCAACGGTGTCCAGCCCGCCTTTGAACTCATCCGTGGTAGCGCAATAAAAAAAGACCATTCAAGCCGCTTGTTGGCGATCTTGAAGAGCTGAATTACATTTGATGGCTCCAGCAGATAGTATAATTAACAATATGAATGCACATAGCTACATAGTGTTCCTTTGAAGGCTATATGCATTTACTCTGGTAATATAAAATCAAACTCACTCCCGGATCTTTTCTATGCTAATACGGCCACTATAGTGCGCAATGTAATTGTAGCTAGAGATACTTTTTAATGTAAGATTTGTCGATTAGCAACAACTTTGGATAACTAAAATACCATCTGGGTCGTACTGCTCGTCATAATATCTGAGGACCCTACATATAACGCAGCTCTCTGATCATGAGATAGATTTTCGCTTTCCTTGACACTCTCAAATCTACACTACACATGTCATCCTACCCTTAACATTAGTATCTTCATTTTCTTCAGCAATACTAGACATTCCAGAAATTATACACATATTGGTACTTTCCTTTCTCAAGGAGACATCGCTAATTGCCTTGGCACCTCCAAGGCTTTCCACGATACCCTTGTCAAATCCGTATGGAAAACGATCATCATTAGACCTGATTCAAGGTGTTCTACTAAAGAAGCACTAGAGACTCACAAGAAATACATTGAAAAGCTTGAGTAATGATTTCTTCCCAAATGAGTTCACGTCATTTCAAGGCTAGGATCGCCTCCGATCCATCGAGTGGTCAATATGGGCAGCCAAGGATCAGCGCCATGTTCTGAATTTGATTGTCTGACAGCTCCACAATTATTAAGCTCAAGCTTAAATGTTCGAGTTTACAAAAGACATGGGAAACACTACTGGAATACACCCACCTTGAGGACTTGACCATTTCTAGAACCTTTATAAGCGATGACCAAGTCACTTTATTCTTTCAAGTCCCATTGAGGCTGGTGACCAGCCAAAACAACTGTATTTTTTAAAAATAAAGGTTTGTTTGGGATGGTTATGGTGTTGTGGTTGTGTATTGGACGGATAATGTGTTGATAAATGGATCGATAGCGACGCATGCTTTACATTTTTTATCAGCCGTAAGGAGCCATGTTCAATGAGCCCTTTTCCCTTTGGATTTCTGTCCTTTTTGCCCATGGCTGGATATGATTTGCCCACAGGAAATAAATTTCTTAGGGATAATGACATGGCTGTCTCTCATTTGTCAATGGGAGGCATTGCATCGTATTATCGCGATCAAAAAAAAGAGCAGCTGGTTGTGGAACAGTTCTTTGATTGAATACATTCCATGGACATGTCTTCTGTGTAAATCATTTAAATCAAAACTCTGTGAGTGAAATAGAGTTTGAGTATAGTTGCACAGGCAGAAAGAGAAAAAAAAGTCGCGATGGCGAAGTGAGACTCGATTACTTTCCAATAGGAACACGAAAGACTGTATAAATACGTTACTAGTGTACTTACTCATCCTTTTCTTTCATCTTCCATCTCCTTCTTTTCTCATCAACTCTTGTTCACTTCCCCATTCTTACTCATTCTCATTCCCCTCTTGCACCTTTTCTATCCCTTTCTCACATAGACATTCATACACATACGCATACAGATAACATCATATTAATATCAGAATCATGAAGTCCACCCTCTTACTTGTATCTCTTGCTATTGCTGCTGTGGTCTCTGCTGCTGGTCAGACTTATCTTGAAGAAACCTTCTCGGATGATAAGTGGGAAGACGTAAGTTCATATAAAGTGCTGAAGAGCATGTGTCAAAACCAATTGTTATATCTAACGTGATTTTTTTTTTTTTTTTTTTTTTTTTTTGTATGTGCTATCTGTAGCGCTGGATGATTTCCTCACACAGGGACGACCTTGGTAAGGTCGAGCTTTCCTCAGGTACTTTCTACGCTGATAAGGAATACAACCAAGGACTACAGACCAAACAGGATCACCGCTTTTATTCTCTTTCTACCCCTTTCAAGTCGACTGTTGACAACTCAAAGGAGGATCTCTTCGTCCAATACACTGTGAAGCAAGAAGAACCTCAGGAGTGCGGTGGATCATACCTCAAGCTTCTACCTGAGAACTATGATGCCAAGTCCTTCAATGGCGACTCTGAGTATGCAATCATGTTTGGTCCTGATGTTTGTGGCTCTGAGAACCGTATTCATGTCATCTTTAACTACAAGGGCAAGAACTATCTGATCAAGAAGAATTTCCCCGTCCCTCGCGACTCTAAGACTCACTTTTACCGCTTAGTTGTTCATCCTGACCAAAAGTACTCTCTCAATGTCGATGGTGATCTTATCTCTGACCATGTTCCATTGGAGGAGCAGTGGGATGTCTATCCCAGCCGCACCATCCCTGATCCTGATGATAAGAAGCCCGAAGACTGGGTTGATGATGCTAGAATCCAGGAACCTAACCATGTCAAGCCTGACAACTACGACGATATCCCCCGCTACATCCCTGATCCCGATGCTGTCAAGCCCGCGGATTGGGATGATGAATCCGATGGAGAATGGGAGCCCGCTGAGATCCCTAACCCTGACTTTGAGGAGTGGGAGCCTAAGTACATTGACAACCCTGATTACAAGGGCGAGTGGACACCTAAGCAGATTCCTAACCCCGAATTTAAGGAGGATCCCGAGCTCGCTCACTACAAGATTGCCGGTGTTGGCTTGGATCTCTGGCAAGTTAAGTCTGGTAGCATCTTTGATGACATTGTTGTCACCACTGATGCCGAGCTCGCCGACAAGTACTTGAGCCAGTGGAAGGAGAACAAGCCCAAGGAAACCGATGCTCTTGTGGCTAAGGAGAAGAAAGAACAGGAGGAGAAAGAGGCACAGAAGAAACGTGAGGAGGAAGCAGCAGCCGTTAAGGAGGAAGAGACTAAGAAAGTTGAGACTGATGAGCTTGATGAGGATGATGAGAAGACCGAGGCCAAGGAGACCAAAGAGACAAAGACAGAGCCTGAGCCTGAGGCAGTCAGCGAGCCTGAACCCGAGCCTGTGGCAGTGAAGGAGGAAGAGGCCGTCAAGGAGACAAAGGAAACCAAGAAGGAGACCGTTAAGGATGAATTGTAAAATAATATGTTTAAATATGAAAAGACTTTACCACAAAAACAATGTAAAAATAAAAAAAGACATACTTCAACAATCGATCAAGAGTTCTGCTCTGTTTGGAAATACAAAAGTACATGTACATGTAGACTATGCGTGTGAACTTGTTGCGTTGTGTGACAAACTAAAAGAAAAAAAAAATGCTACCCAATGAGTGGCGTAGAAGAATATGATGTTGCCCTGTTGGCTCCTGCGTCTCAGGAACGTGCTTTGGTTAATGGGTCACATTCTTTACAAATATATGTTGGAAAGCATTGCTCCAATATGGATTCAGCACGTGTACATGCTGATGGATGCCGTACAACGCTGGCTTCTTCTTTTTCAACCCAAATTCGCAGGAATCTTTTTCATTAGATCTTTCATTCGTTTTAAGGCTACAAAGACGGATAAAATGTGTGAATGTTGAATGTGTAATTTTAATAAAAAGTACATTTAATATTATTTGATGAATATGATGGATATTGTAACCTTTTTTTTTTTTTTTTTTTTTCCCCCCGAATGTTTCGCCATCATCTCTTTTGCATCCATCTCATCTAGTTTTCTTCCTTCTCTCTTCTACTCGGTTCTCACCTTCTTTCATCCTTTCTCATTCTCTGAAGACGGGTCAACTTAATCTCATCCTGCCAAAACATAATAACGACAATTTGTATCCCTTCCCTGAAGGGTGCTTCTTCCTGTCTTCATAAGAGATCCGGTCTCCCACCCTGGACGCACGCTTTGCCGCCATCATGTACAGCAACCACCAGCATGCTCATTCTCACATGGGTCATACTCATGGACCTTCTCATGGACACATACATGGTCTCTCTAATAGTGATCGTAAACCGGGCATGATCAACCTGGATAAGATCACAAACCACTCTCCATCAGGGTACATGCACCTTCCAACTGTAGTCTATATCTGATATCTGGGAACTAAAATGGACAAAATGCACTTGAACAACTCACACGCTAAGGCTAATATCTCTAATCTGTATTCTTGATATGAAAATTGATCATGATATCAGAATTCCTTTCAATCACATCGCTTTTCTCGGAATCGCCAAGTTAATCCAGGCAGCATGTGCGCATTTTCTGAAGGACTGGATCAGAGTGGAGCATAAGCCTTTAATAGTCATCTTGTGGTGGATCTTGGCAGCTGGAGCCTTCATTCTAATGCTGATCGAACGACCTTGGTCAAAACCAAGCACGAGTAGCTGGAAGGTGTGTTTTCGACATTATGTTAATGCGTGGTTTGAGCTTTATTTAAACCTAGAATAAGAGTATGTTATTAACATCCTCTTTTTTATTTTTTATTTTTCTTGCTTATCAAAGTGGAATAAAATCTTTGCTTACAGCGGGGCATTAGTAAGTCAAATGTACACGTGGCTCTGGGGCCTCTCGACATTATCGACCCTCAGGTACGATGAGATTAGAATGTCAGGAGTCTTTGATGCTTCGAGCAACGTCATCAGTATTTAACGCATTTGACACATCTTTTGGTTTCATCTCAACTTTACAGGGTTCTCATGTTGACACAATATTCGAACATCTGGATGGTAGCGGTAACGGCAGCGTTGGTCAGAAAGCAATCGACATTGCAGGTAATACTCCTTGAAAGAACCTCCGAACCCGATACCCATGTTCATACTATCAGACCAGTTTTTATTGACATTATACGATCTGCACTTATCCAACTGAACGAGTATAGAGACAATATTCCTTCGTAGTACTAGGAAGCATCTTGGCATGCTTATTCTTGGACATTTTTTACACTTCTGCAGGAGTCAACCTTCTCTCTATCCTTTCGGGGTACTTTGGGCTCTTTATTTCGACCCAAGCATCAATTTATCAGCGTGGTGTAGCAAGACGTCTTTCAGCAGAGATGGGTGGCAACAGGACTCTACATGCAGTTACTGTAACTCTTGCAGCTGTTATCGTCAGTCCACTCGCCCTAATCCAGAGCATGATCTCGACTCACTCTGGAGCTGTTTACACTCACACATCCTCCTGGTTTATCTATCTGGTATTGGGTATTGGCTTATTCGTGATCGACTTTTATGTAAACCAATCAATTAGTCAGCGAGTCATCCCACTTTGGCACGTATTGGCAGGTTGGCCTATTGTTCTGATCAGTTCATGCTTTACAGGATTGCTGGTCACAAAGTCAATTGGCGCCAACTTGCTTGACTTATTGATTGCAATCGTGATGTTGTACGGGATTCACGAAATACTTCATGCAGAAGCAGTATCTTCTGATGCTCGCTTTGACTCTGAAGAAGGTGGACGATTCCATAACGACTTACCGATTCATGGAGATCGATTATCATCTCACTATTCCTCTGTAAGCATGGGGGATATCGGCATGTACATCAAAGCTATTCTAGCGGATCAAGACTCGAAGCAAATCTTTTATTTTTTGCTATTAAATCTGAGTTTCATGTTTGTTCAAATGCTTTATGGCGTCTGGACAAACAGCTTAGGGCTTATTTCCGATTGTAAGTTATGCGTGTATTTTTTTTTTTTTTTTTTTTTTTTTTTTTTTTCTCTTTATGTCGATATCGAAGTATTCAAGCGAGATATTTAACCGGATGACAGCGGATATTGAAATCTAAATCCCTCGTTTTATTTTTTAAAACCAAAAAGCGATTCATATGTTTTTCGACTGTCTTGCGCTGGGAGTAGGATTGTTTGCGTCGGTTATGAGCAAATGGAATGCCAACAGGACCTTTTCGTATGGATACAGCAGAATTGAGACTCTGTCTGGATTCTCCAATGGCATTTTTTTGAGCTTAATCTCCATCTTTATCATCATTGAAGCCATTGAGCGCCTTGTCCACCCTCCAGAAATGAATACACATCGACTACTCCTTATCAGCTTCATGGGCTTTGTAGTGAATATGATCGGAATCTTTGCGTTCAATCATGGCCATGGACATGGGCATGGCCACGGTCATAGTCACGGACACGGCCACGGTCATGATCATGGGCATGGACACAATGCTAATATGCAAGGTGTTTTCTTACACATCATGGCGGATACTTTGGGGTCAGTGGGTGTAATTATATCAACACTGCTAATTGACTGGTTTGGATGGACAGGGTTTGATCCAATCGCATCCATGTTTATTGCGGTTTTGATTTTCATGAGTGTTATCCCATTGATCAAGGACTCTGCCGCTGTGCTCATGTTAGAGGTTCCAGATGCGAACCTTGGTAGCATCGAGCATGCCCTTGAGGAGGTAAGCAGCACTTCATAAAACTCCCCAAGTCATCAAAATGGTACGGCATCGAAGTTAATAATGAATGGGTTACTTATTTTTCTTTATACACTTTATGATGTTTTAAACTTCCTAATACAGATCTCCAGGGTCCCAGGTGTCATATCGTACTCTTGTGCACGATTCTGGCCCAACTCCCCAGAATCCATGATTGGCAGTATCCATATTCAAATTTCTAGTGGCGTAGGAAATCCACAGCAGCAAGATGCAATGTCTACATTGACGACAATTGATACCAAAGCCCTTCAACAATCTGTAGAACAGATCCTGTTATCAACGATCCCAGGATTAAGCGAAGTGGCTATTCAAGTAGAAAAGGAGGGCATGTATGGTTTCCAATCATGTTTCTGTAACGGATCTCGGTCAAGAAACGCAGCCTCGGTCATTAAACAGAATGGCGGTGGTGGCGAAGCTGGTTATTCAGGCATGAGATGGTCAAGTTAGTAGATGTATAGAGTACAGACTTTTCATTTCATTAATCCGTATCATATAAATACTCTTATTCTTCTATTAAGTGATCTGTCTATGATAACGTTCTTGCTTTATGATCATGGGGTAGATTCGGACAAAAGGCTGGAGCGAATGACGGCGCCACCGAGGCATTCATCTTGATCATATAATACGATCTGTTGTCCTGGGGCAATTGCTCGTTGAAGGTCCTTGAAATGTACTCGAAACTCTGTTACAGAGTTCACATCGTTTGCTCCATTGTCCCTACCGATAATTGGCTCAATTGTACAGGGTTCTTGAGTATCGAAAAAAAAAAAAAAAAGCTTTAGCAAATCGAAAATCGATTTTGTGAAATATAGTAGAGCCACAAAAAAAAAAACATACGAGGGACTTGGCGATGTCGGATTTGAGCTGTGAATGGAAACTGTTCCTTGTGCAACTCTGTTGACGATAAGATATCGAGCAACTTCTGAGGCGGAGTCCCAGCGATCCAGTGCCAATCTTCAGCGACCAACCCAGGCGAGAATAGTTTAGGATTCTGTGTACCATCCACGACCACTAAAGTATTGGTCTCCAGATCCGTTTTTAAAACAACCCATTTTTGATGACCATGAACCACAGTTGAAGCTTGACCAATCGTATATCTGTAAAGTCCTTTATGTTGTCCAATCAAAGGTCCATTCAAATCATCAACTCGAACTGGACCAGGAGTCATCTCTAAATACTCTGTTAAAAACTCTCCAAAACGACGCCGCTGCCCTACAAAACAGATCCCCATGCTTTCCTTCTTTTCTGCAGCAGTTTTGAGATGTGACCACTGAGCGGAAGCGCCATACTCTAGCGCCATTTTCTTCACAGTGGGTTTATCAAATTGTGCTAATGGGAAGATAACATGTTGGAGGACTTTTTCTGAAAGTGTTGAAAGATAATATGTTTGATCCTTATTATTATCTAAAGCACGTAGGAGGCGAGCCTGCCCTGTGAGAGGATTCCGTTCTACGCGAGCATAATGTCCCGTAGCAAGGTAATCCCATCCTGGATAATGTTCCTGCTCCTGCTCCTGCTCCTGCCCTTGCCCCTGCTCCTGCTCCTGCCCCTGCTCCTGCCCCTGCCCCTGCCCCTGCTCCTGCTCCTGCTCCTGCTCCTGCTCCTGCTCCTGCTCCTGCTCCTGCTCCTGCTCCTGCTCCTGCTCCTTCGCTTGCTTCTGTCCTCGTTGTTTTTGCTGTTGTTGCTCCTTCTCCTGTTTTCGACTCCGATTTTTGCCCAGACCTCCATGACGATGGCACCACTCAATCAATTCTCCGAATTTGATCTCTCGATTACAAGAAATATCAGGATTGGGTGTCCGTCCACGCTCATATTCGTGCAGCATCACTTCAAAGACCTGATTCCAATATTGTCTTGAGAAATCAAGTCGAAGTGCAGGGATCCCGATTTGAGCACAAACTGCTTGTACATCTGCCCAGTCCCGTTCCGAGGTACAAGTCTTTGGTCGGATTCGACTAGTGCGTGGAGTTTTATTAACGCTATTATTATTATTATTGCTGTTGTTGTTATTTTTGGTGTTGTTGCTGGTATGGTTATTACCACCATCGGATATGGTTTCAGTAACAGGTAGAGGGATTTCATCCTGAGTTTCCTCTTGATGGTTCCAATTATGCATATATAGACCCGTCACATCGTATCCTTGATGATGCAAGATATGTGCACACATAGAGGAGTCCACACCGCCAGACATCAATAACAAGACTCGTTCTTTTCTTTTGTTTTCTTTGAGGTAGAGATTTGATGCATCATCTGCAAATGAACTTGTTCCTTCTGCTGCATTGGTTGTTTCTATAGTTGCAGCAGTGGAATAATGATGATGATGGCAAGGAATCAAGGTGCTTTGTTGAATATGCCTTGACTTTGTGCATGGTATTGCTCCATAATATGATAAGCGGTTGAAAAGAGGAGAGGGAGAAGGAGAGATCGAGCAGGATGAAGATACAAAAGTCCTAGATATCCTTACTAGGAGATTCATAGGACGAGAACATTTTGATTGATGGTGGTGATGATGATAAGAGTAGTGCTGTCCTGGACACCGTAGCCTGGCAAGTTGTCTAAAGGCTGTTAAGAAGTGAGCACTATTCTGCCTGGTTCCTGAATACAAGTGTGTCATTTTTCAACAAAGTTGGTCTTTAGCAATTTCAAGAAAGAGAAGTGGAAGGACCCTTCCGACTTTTTTTTTTTTTTTACATTTATGAAACAACGACAGTCACGATAGTGATAAAACAACAAGCGTTGAAAGCAAACTTCCATTCGTTCATTCTTTTATTCAACCGACATTGACTTTACGAATTTACAGAATCACCGAACACACACACACATAAAAGAAACACAATGGATTCAGATTCTGACCTCGAACTATCACCCGAGACTCTCAAGGCTCTTCAACAAGTCATGCAGGAGCAACAGGAGCAACAGGAACGATTCGAGACACTTCGTCAGCAGGCAGAGGAACGTTTTGATGAAGCTCAGGATAGTCATGAAAATAACAACACTCAAAACAAGCCTGCTATCACCATGGATTTTTTCAGAGAAGATTGGCAATTAAGTCAGTTTTGGTATGATGACGCTACTTCAGAGAAATTGGCTCGAGAGATCCTGAACAACACAGATCAACAGAGTATTGTCTGTTGTATCAGCTCGCCCACTGCCTATGTAAAATTGATGGTAAAGAAGATGAAGAAGAAGAAGAAGAAGGGGGAAAAAAAAAAAAAAAAAAAAAAAAAAAGTATGTTTATACACAATAATAACTTTTTTTTTTTTTTTCCTCTTTTTTTCCTGATGTTTTTTTCCTAGTCCATGAGCCCTCCAAACCCCAACAATCTCTTTTTGTTCGAATACGACACCCGTTTCGATGTCTATGGTCGTCAATTTATTCATTACGATTACTCTAAGCCTCTCGAATTTCGATTGGCGGACGAACTCAAGGGATCGGTCGATATGATTGTGGTCGATCCTCCATTTTTGAGCGAAGAGTGTCTCACAAAGACTTTGCAGACCGTGCGTATGTTACTCAAGAAGGGTGGCAAAGTAGTCTTATGCACAGGCGCTGTCATGCTTGAGATCGCGAAAGCCGACGGACTCCAGCTGACGACTTTCCATCCTGGACATCAAAATGGATTATCGAATGATTTCCGATGCTTTGTAAACTACAAATCAGAGCAATTTCCATATTCCCAAGATTCTTAAAAAAAATAAAAATAAAATAAAATAAAAGAATAATAATAATAATAAATAATAATAATAATAAATAATAATAATAATAAATATTAAAAAGCAAAACAAAAGAGTAAAGAATTGATCCTGTCCTTAAACATGGTCAAGCTTTTATTATTAACTATTGTACACAGTAGGGGGATCGTAAAGGATGAAAAAATGAGACCCAATACATTGTGAGATGAAGAAAGAGAGAGAAAAAAAACGGAATACGTTTGAAAAGAGGCAGTAAGGACGAGAGGCTAAAAGCGAATGAGCGAAAATGAGACAAGGAGGGAAAGGGGAAAGGAGGAAAAAAGAGCGTCAATATACGCCATGTAAATGCCTGCGGGTGCATGTTGGTTGGTTTAGAGGGCTTTTTAGTTGCACGTGTGTACAAAAGAGACATCCATAGGAGCGAAAGTCAATCAATCAGCAGCATCCCTCTTTTGCACGGGGCTGGTTCAACTGCACTCTGTCTGTTGTATCCTGTGCTTGTTGGTGCGCATGCTCTGCTTCCTTATTCATGATCTCCTCCAGCAAGAAGCGAGCTGCATCATCAATGTTACTGTTGTCTTTGGCTGAAGTTCCGAACCTAGAACCACAAAAAAATATTCTTTTTGCTTTAGTTTATGTAAAAGATCTCTCGCGTATCAAAACAAAGCATAGATCTTTTTTTTTTTTTTTTTATCTCCAGTAGGCCTACACACCATTTCAGGAATCCATGTTCTTCACAAAACTTGTCCATTTCTTGTGGATCGAGTCCTGCGTTTGGATCTTCATGCAGATCAGTCTTCAAAAAAAAATAATTGAAAGCTAGATTAACAAACGAAAAAAAAAAAAAAAAAAAAAAAAAAACAATATATTTGGATATACCTTATTGGCGAGGAGAATAGCAGGGATAGGTTCTCCTCCAGGCAGTGAGACTTTGGAGTCCAGATCTGCTTTCCATTTAGGTACTGCCTCAAATGTCTTTGGGCGGGTCACGTCATACACAACTAATGCTGCAACGGCTTCCTTGTAGTACACCTAATTTTAACACAAGGATAGGATATAGAGATGAAAATAAATAAAGGCAATATCAAGCATACAAAGTCTGCTAGTAAACCCGATCCGCATCCGGAAAGCCGTTGTTCCAAGGTTTTGTTTTAAAAAGATAACACCTATACACATGATTTGCGATAAAAAGGGTGATACAAAAACCTTCCAGTCATCACCTAATGGTTCTAACAGGAATATTTCCCGACAACCAAGTGATAATGGGACTGACTCAAAGCTCTTTTTTTTTTTTTTTTTTTTTTTTTCCTGTACGCTTCGAACATCTAACAATAATGCCATGTGCTACGGGTGTTGGACAAGACACAAGGAAAAAAGGAGGTCAAAACAAAAAGACATGCTGAGAAAATGCGATCTCCAGGGCGAATCTGCAGCAACAATATGGCTCATCCTGGTAGTACAAAGACAACATGAAATCCCGAACCACCCGTCTCACTTTGCATAATCTTTTTTTTCTTTGAGATGGCGCAATAAGAAAGAGAGAACAACTGTATGATTGCTCTTACTGTATCCAATTGTGTGTCTGAACGTGATCATCTGCATTTTTGACGAAATTTCTGTATCACAACCCTGGAAGAAAAAGATTGATGAGAGGCGAGAAAAAGTATTATTTTTTTTTACCCTTGTCAATCCGGAAAACTTTTCTTGGCCTGCAATGTCCCACAATTGCATCCTAACAACGGTATCGGGTGACCATTGGATGACCTTGAGCGCAAAATCCACGCCGATCTGTCATTTAAAGAATAGGTGAGACCAGAAAAGAAGGAAAAAAAAAAAAAAAAAAAAAAAAAAAGAAGAGCGAATAAAAAAAAGTGAGTAGATTGAACATCTCGTGTCCACAGTAGAGCTTTCCTTTTGTTGTTGTTGCTGTTGTGGTGGTCGTAATTGTTGTGGTCTTGTTTGAACAAGAAAAAAAAGGTGTCCCAGAGATAGTGTATTGTGTCAATAGGTCACAAAGAAAGAGAGATTTCACTCCTCCCTTTTGTCATGCAAAAGTCAAGTCGTTTCATGCCTTGTTCATGCCATTTCATCTTGTAATGTCATGTCATGCAGTCGCTTGTCATGTCTTTTTTTTTTTTTTTTTTTTTTTTTTTTACCGTAGATTTGTAGTTTATAGAAAAGATGTTGTGGACGTAGCGCTTGATGATTGAGGTCTTGCCGGTGCCGAGGTCGCCAATGACAAGGATTTTGTAAAGATATTCACGGATGTCGGTTGGGTAATGGTTATCGTCGTACATGATATAAAAAAAGGGGGAAGAAGGAGGTGGAGGATGTGGCGGGTGAAAAGCTTGTTTGATGTAAAGAATAAAGTCTGTCAATAGTTGAGCAAGAGTTTGTTCAGAAACTGTAGAAGAGATGAGGAGAATGAGTGAATGAAGAAAAGAAGAAAAAAAAAAAAAAAAAAGGAAGGAAGAGAGGAAAGAGAGGAATAGAGGAATAGAGGAGAAAGAGAGAAAGAGAGAAAGAGAAAGAAGAAAGAAGACAATGGAGATAAGAGAGAGAGAGAGTCCTTGGACACAAGGAAACACACGCGATACTCCTTCCTTATTTAGTCCATCACACCTTCCCCTTTTTCTCATCCCTGCCCATGCGACTGATAATTTGCGTCTGACTGTGCGGCAATGCTGTGGGCGGAGTTGAAATCCGAGATACGCGTATTTAAACAGCTTATCAACTCCTTTGATCCAAAATGCTGTAATGACGATTTGCTCCGATATCACTTGATCTCCTTCTATTTGACAAGTTGACAAGTTGACAAGATCAATTAATAAGACAAAGGTTTCTTCAACTTCCAGCTTGCCTTTTACGAACCACATCAACAACCTACCAAGGATCTATATATACTCCGTCTTCATGGCTTTCCTGCCGTCGGCATGAAAAGAAGTTTGCTATTTACCATCAGCAGCAGGACTATTGGCCATAGTCTCTCGCACTAGAGTGCCCCCAGTGCTCTCCAATCCTCAAAGAAAACAGAGACATCAAGGTCAAATGCGGATTACTGCAAATCCGAGGTCACTAGATCGACTCGTTCTCTTTCTCGGGTTTTAGACTACCTCTATGATGATATGATATTCCCTATCCTCGATGTCATTTCTAGCTTCCAGAAAATGTTTGACAGCTAATGGGTTTGTGAGTGGACTGAATTTAGTACTCTTCAAGTTCATTGTGGCTATTTGGAATAGTGTTGGATCATGCAACGTCCTAAATGCATTCCAAAAAAGTATGCGGCTCATGATTATTGTCCTAATTTCAGTGCGTGTCTACACTAATATAGTCCTCAATTCAGACAACCTGAGAAGCATCGATCTAGGTAACAAAATGCACGTAATAAAAAAAAAAAAAAAAAAAAAACACACACTTTCGAGAATACAATGAGACGAGCCATGTCAAATAGATATTACCAGACCCTTTCTGAATATCGTCAAGTGCAATCTTGAATAATCACTCTTGGACAGACCATATTAGGTCCATGAGGGCACAAAAAGTGGTAATAGCATAGTGAAAATTATAAGCAACGGAATGCACTCAGGTAATTCAAGTTAGGTTTATGGTCCAGATAAGCCAAATACCGGATACATGTCAAGAATATGCTGTCAAATCTATATATTGTTGTTTGCTTCTATGGATTTTGTTCCCCAACGCGGAACCCCTGACTCCAATTGAGTGAGCGAGATGATAAATTGTTTCCATTTTTTAGTCTAGACCCCTCCCCCATCGTTGAAGTGTTGACAGCTTGAGTTGCCTTTGCTTCGGAACAAATCACTGTTGTTTACTTCATTTGTACACGACCACCAGAAATTAAGCGGCGTGTGTACTCCGGGGGTTTTTTTTCTACGCGTGTTGGATACTGGTTGTGTTTTTGCTGTGTTTCGACTATTTCTGAAAGAACAAAGAATAACATTGAGATCAACACCCATCAGGTGAAGAGGCAAAGAGGTAAAGAGAAGAAATGAGGGTGAACAGTGATGTGGGGCAGTGAAATTGAAATACGCTTCCAAATGCGGGGTCCATACCATCCTTTTCTATTGAGCATTTTCCCATCAGCTCTGTCTCTTTGATTGTGCTTGCATTCTGATCCGCAGGCTCACTTGAGTATCGCCGTGCACTGGTTGGCTGAACCTTTTAGTACAAAAAGTCCACTTCCCCACTTTTTTTTTTTTTTTTTTTTCTTCGCTCTTCTTTCCTCAACTTGATCCTCCCTCACTGTGCCTCCTATATCCTTCCATCATGACCGCCACCAACACCACAACTCGTCTGCAAAAGCTGCGTGAGTTGATGCAAAAGCACAATGTTACTGCATTGTAAGCCTTACTCGCTTCCTGACCTCTTGTTATCTGATACATAATGTTTATCAGCAATCAATTATTTTTCTCACGCTCATTACTGTGCTTCTAAATCGTTTGAATGTGTAGCGTTGTTCCTTCAGAAGATGCTCATCAGGTGTGTGGCCATTGCAATCACCAATTGCAAGTAGCATGACCTTTTTTTTCTGAATCATCAAGACAAAAAAGCCATGCTCACCAACATTTTTCTTTCTTCTTGTCCTTTTTTACATTTATTCCATGCGTTAGAGTGAATACGTTGCCGAATGCGATGAACGTCGTGCCTATATTTCTGGATTCACTGGCTCTGCAGGATTGGCGGTTGTCTCAATGGATTCGGCTGCACTCTTCACAGATGGCCGTTACTTCTTGCAAGCTTCGCAGCAATTGGACACAAACTGGACTTTGATGAAGTCTGGCCTCCCCGAGGTTCCTACCTGGCAGGAGTACCTTGTCAAGGTAAATCAACACAACCAATTCTATACGGGACCATCGGTTTCTTTTAAATATTTTTAGTTACTTTTGCCAGTATTCGAGACTAAAGTGATACGCCATTCTGCCTGTCGTTTGATTGCGAAAACCCTTGCCGCGGTTTATTTTTCCCTCGTTTCCAGAACCTCCCTGCTGGTTCCCGAATTGGTATCGATCCTCTTGTTTTCACCGCCAGTAAGTTATAAGATGTAATAAATTTATTATGTGACTTGCTGTGGTCTAGGATCCGCCTTGACGTCAAAAGACCAAATGGCATCATTCAGGACAGGGGTACTATCATAGCTTGGACATTTGGGCTTGCGACTCGGTGGTGGAAAAGTGGGTTCAGTCTAAAAAAAAACAGAGCATCAGTAGAAATTGACAGTCCGACTTTTTTCTTATTCCACTTTTCTTCTCACTTGATAGCCGATGCTAAGAAGCTCGAGACTGATCTCGCCAAGGTTGGATCGACCTTGGTCCCCACTGAGAACTTGGTTGATTTGGTCTGGGAAAATCGCCCAGCTCGTCCTGCCAGCAAATTGCTCGTTCTCACCACAAAGACTACAGGTCGCACTCATTCTGAGAAAATCGAGCAGCTGCGCAAAGACCTTGAGAAGAAAGGTGTAGCTGGATTTGTTGTCTCCGGTCTAGATGAGGTTGCTTGGTTGTTCAACCTACGTGGATCAGATGTACACTGTAACCCCGTTTTCTTCTCCTATGCTGTCGTCACTCCTGACTATGTCAGCCTATATCTTCAGAAGAAGTCGGTCTCGCAAGAGGTCAGGGATCACCTTGGAGCTGAGGTCACCATCAAACCCTACGAAAGCCTCTTTGATGACCTCCGTGCTTTGGCACCAACCCTTCAGACCAACAAGCAAAAGTTCCTTCTAGGTACCCGTACCAACCTTGCTATGGCTGTTGCTTTAGGTAAAGATAATACTGTCGAGGCCCGTTCTCCTGTCACGGATGCCAAGGCCATTAAGAACGAGGCAGAGTTGGAGGGTATGCGCCAGTGCCACTTGCGCGACTCAGCTGCTCTTATCAATTACTTTGCTTGGCTTGAGGAACAACTTACTAATGGCGTCGAGCTTGATGAGGCCGATGGTGCTGCACGCTTGGAGCAGTTCAGAGCGTATGTATCTTCCTGAGGCAATAACAGCAATATTCTTTGATCTGGTTCCTTCATATCAATTATGTTTGACCTTTTTCAATTATTTGATCTGATTCTGTAACTTTTTTTTTTTTTTTTTTTTTTTTTATCTAAAAAAATCCATTTCATAGTGAGCAAGCTGGATTTGTTGGTCTTTCCTTCGACACCATTTCTTCGACAGGCCCTAACGGAGCCATTATTCACTACAAACCTGAGAAGCCTAAAGCTGCTCGCATCAATCCTGATCTAGTCTACCTTTGCGATTCTGGCGGACAATACATCGATGGAACAACTGATGTCACTCGCACACTCCACTTCAAAACGCCCAATGACTTTGAGAAGCGTGCCTTCACTCGTGTCCTTCAAGGACACATCGCCATCGACACTGCGGTCTTCCCTGAAGGCACATCTGGGTATCTTTTGGACGTTTTGGCTCGTCGTGCTCTATGGGCTGATGGCCTCGATTTCCGCCACGGAACTGGACATGGCGTTGGTGCTTTCTTGAACGTACATGAGGGACCTCACGGATGTGGCACTCGTATTGCTTACAACGATATTCCCTTGGTCCCAGGCATGACATTGACAAACGAGCCCGGCTATTACGAGGATGGGAAATTCGGTATCCGTATTGAGAACGTCATGCTGGTGCGCAAAGTCGAGACTCTCAACAACTTTGGAGGACGTGGTTACTATGGTTTTGAACATGTGACTTTAGTCCCTATTCAACTCAAGATGATCGACCGCTCACTACTGACACACCTGGAGATTGAATGGATCAACGCCTATCACGCTGAGTGCCTAGCCAAGGTTTCACCTTTCTTGGTCAAGGACAGCCCAGGCTTCAAGTGGTTACAGCGCGAGGCTGCCTCTCTTTAAAAAAAAAAAAAAAAAAAAAAAAAAAAAAAAAAGACATCTCTCGCCATGGGGGTGTAAATACCATAGAGCAAGAAATCACTCTTTGTTGTAAATAATGCGTTGACAAAGCGAATGATAATAAAAAAAGAAGCTGATTATTGTTGAAGCTATTGCGCCGATCCCCTGATCAATCATCTTTTTTTACAATCGCTAGCATGGCCGTCTGCTTCTGAACATAAAATAAAAGTTTTTTTTTTTTTTTTTTTTTTTTTTTTTTTTTTCGCTTTAATGATTTTTACAGCTTTTTAAATCTTCTTTAGTACTATCCTATACCCTATACCTTCCTGTAGCAATGAAAGAAAGCGAGCCAACAGCGTTAGAACATCATTCATATCTCATTGAACACCAGGTCCTTGACTTTCTTGACAAAGATGCGCCTTATCATGAAGTTAAGCAACCAGCGCTTCATCCTGTTATCACAAAGCATATTGTCAGTGACCAGAGCAGGCAAAAAGCCGTTGCTTCTCTTCAACAAACGCCGTCGTCTCTACCACTCCGCTATCTGTCCTCACCACAAACACCACCTAATAACCATTCTTTATTCAATACCTTGCAACAGGGCATTAACTACGACAGAGCCAGGAACGAGACCGAGACCGAGGTCAAGCCCTTTAGTATGGAGCATGAACCCTCACCACCTTCACATCCACCTGTGGTTGAGCAATGGCGAGGAGATATAATCGACAAGACAGAACCCTCACCGTCGATCCCTTCTATCGACAAGATACCACTCTTTCAATTGAATCAACAAAATATAGGGAAAGGAATCACTTTTTCATCCTCTAACGATCCTCGACCTGTGACAGTGAAGGCGATAGTGCAGAACGAATCTTTGACTGATGTTCGTAAAGAGCTCATTGGGCAGCGATCAATGCATCAAAGCCAAAATCGAAGCCAAAACCAAAGCGAAGCAAGCGGCAGCAACAGTATCGTCGCTACGAATGATGCCTCAAAGAACAACACAGAATACAGTCTAGATCCTCATCCACGCACAACCCTGATCCCTCTACCAACTACAGCAGCAACTCGAGGAAGCAGAGCGGAGAATAGCATGCTTCCTTCCATAGATTTACAAGTGGCGAATGGCGTTGTCGTCAGTAGTGGCATTTGCAATGATTTCAAGTACCCGAATAGACCTTCATTAACAAGTATTGACTACAAGAGGCCATCTCTCCCTGTGCGATTAAAGAACTTATCCTCGAGTGGCTCGACCTCACTAGGCAGGAGTCCTTATCATCTTTATTCGTATAACAATAGCAGCCATTATCTACTTGGTACCTCTAGAACAAAATCTCAAAAGAACAAAAGCACCTTGGCCTCTATTCCATGCTCTCCTGGTCATCAGGTCCATCCACAAGTTGATCCGGGGCCTATTCTAGGGGTTCGTCGTCCAATCCGTACAAAACAATATCTTTTATATGATGTGCCCTTTTATGGTATTGAAAATGTCGACATCTCTTCTAGTCGCCACGATTTACTGATGAGACAACATTCTTTGGATGGGCATAACTCTGGCGATGCTTCCCATGCTATTGCCAGTATTAGTACTGCTGATGCTAATAATAGTCCTAGCATTGGAACTGATACCAATGTAGGTGCTGGGGCTGCTAGCCCAAGCTTGGCAGAGCACAGAGAACATATTTGGTTTATTGCACATGAGCATGAGTATGGGACAGAGGCGAGAGCCGATGGCGGGGATATCAGTAATGCGGCTGTAGGTAGCCAGGCATTGCTGAAAGGCCGGCACAAGAGATTTCAAAGAAGTGTTCCGATTCAAGAAGTGTACACCAGTAAGAGCAGTAATAGTAGCTCTGCCCCACAACCCAAAGACGTAAGCTTTGCCTCACAGGGAGGAATGCTTTCACCACAAGAAACTGGTTCGTCGACAATCTCAAAGATAACAACGACATCTACAAGGCCTAGTGGAGCAAGTAGCGAGGGTCCTACTGCTGAAGGAACAGGTGATGGCGCTGAGGATCTTCTTGATCAACCTCGACGACAGCAACTTCAGGATGGTTCACTGAACCAGATACCACACGTGAGTCAGGGAGTCTATGGTCCAGATACATTCGCTGAGTATCTTTTGGAAAGTAGTAAACCGCCAAATTCACCACAGAGGCATCGAAGGCGGTATTCAAGGGCGATGAACCAACACTGGAAAAACTGTCTATGTTTCTTGGTGTTCGTAGCTGTGATAGTGGTGGTACCTTTAATGGTGATTCGTAAAGGGCCTTCCTCCTCCTCTTCTTCTTCAGACCCCAGCCAGCATAACTGACCATGAGGGCTAAGCATCAAAGCAACATGGTCCCTTGGCGATGATAATAATAGAGCACTATGCCAAACTATGGTGATATCCCTACTACTACTACTACTACTACTACTACAACTAGTAGAGACCTTGGAATGTAGTATGAGGTGGCCTCAGCTCTCAATGCGATCATACCAAAAAAATGAATTTTTAAAGTCTGAAAGCGATGGTCCTAACCTGACACCCTTTTTGTCTCTTATCCGTGCCTCCTGAGTCTACTTTATCTCAAAGAAATAAAACATTAAAAAAAAAAAAAAGGTTCATATTTAGGTATTTAGGTTAAAGCGCGTCTTGTCCCTCCTGAACGACGCGTCTTTGGCTCGATCACTATGACTGCGCCGTTCATGAAATGTTACACACACATGTCAACCATACCAACTCGAAATAAATGAGTGAATGTAAAAAATTCCATTTGTAAAAAAATCCTCTTATTCGCCATGAACAACACAGATTCCAAAAAGAAAACAAAAATCACCGAAATCACACGCTCAACCATTGATACCATCACAACGCATGCAGTCCTTTCCAAAGCAATTTCGAATGACACAAAGCCCACACCTGGATACTTGTTTCCAGAGATTGCACGTACGGAAATATCAAACCACTTTTCTGGACATTAAGAAAAAAAAAAAAAAAAAAAAAAAAACACAAATACAAAAATTACTTGTATTAAAATTTTAAAACAAATCGGTTAAAATAATAGGTCTAACGCAATCTCCTGGGACCAGCTCTGTCACCCTTTCACAGCTTCTCAAAATCATTACTCCTGTGAATGGTGATAAATCCTCATTGTCCAACCTTGGTGGTGGTGTTGGCGGTGGAGCAGTGACCTCCAGTTCATCGTTGACCTATTCATCATCACCCCATGTATTATTGAAGGCACTCAAAATCCTCCGACAGCTTGCTCAGAGTGGTTCAGCCGAGTTTCGAACTAATCTGGCAAGACGAGGAAAGGGGCTTTTAGCAGAGATAGTTGGATATCGAGGGCAATGGGATGAAATTCATGGGGATCGATTTAACGAAGATATAAGAAATGTTGCAGAGGTACTTTTTTTTTTAAAAAAAAAAAAAAAAAAAAAAACTGAAGTGGATAATGATAATGGAAAGACTGTAATTTCAATTCTGAAATAGTTTAATACGTAACATCTTTATATATATATAAAACGGAGTAGGATCTAATCGAGTATATGCATGCGAATCCAGTCCAGGAAGAAGAGTTGGTTGGGGGATTTTCGGATAGTTTTACAGACAAAGAAGCGATGGTAATGAGGAATAGTACTCAAGGCTTACCAGGATTTGGAAACCCAGGTAAAAGAACTAAAAAAAAAAAAAAAAAAAAAAAAAGAGCCTCAGTTTTAAAATTAATCCGCAATTCAAATAAAAAAAAGAGCATGATGACTCTGATAGTGAAAAGGATGCACTTCGACCAAGCATCCCAAAGAAAAAAAGCAAAAAGAAGGACGAAAAGCCTATGCCTCCACTTCCGGGCTTCGGGAACCCAGAATTTGAGAATGATGATGTCAATTCAGGTATATCGATGAACTTCCTAAAAGCATGCAATTTAATGCTCTCTAGCAACAGGCTCGAAGGATCTCCGTCAACCAACGACAAAGTTTATTTATTTGATTTTTTTTTTTTTTTTTTTTTTTTTAAATCCGACAATGATAATAGAACCTACATTGATGAAACGGTTGGTGGAAAAACTACAGGACATGACAGCGCCTCCACCACCGATGGCTATGCGTGCTGCTTTCCGAGAACAAGAGCAGCGGCGACAAAAGCTCTTTGTTGGCGAGTATAGTATGCGTGATGAAACTCATGGTGGAATCCATAATAATCCAAACTATACCAGTAGTAAGGCCAAAGAAGGAGCTGTCGCGTTGATAGGCACAAACCCTTTCAAACGAACAGTACGAGTACAAGGCATGGCGGCAGGTGGTTGGAATGAGATATCATCATCGAAGGATGGATCTGGAATACGGGCTTCTCTACTTGATATGACGGCTTCCCATGTGTTCCCTGTTGCGCGTTCTGGGACAGGGTCTGTCCAGTTTAGGAACGAGACTGCAGGATTGGTATATGAACGGGCACAACATGTACAGACAGAACTTGTGCGGTCGAAATTGCAACAGTCGCTATTATCGGATTTGTTGACGGAAGACAAGTCAAATAAATCATCCACACAGGATCTGATAGACACTACGTTTTCAGTACCGAATTCGACCCCAGCACAACAGACTGAGATTGATATATCGTTTGTATTCTGGGGGATTGCCAAGGATATCTGCGACGTTGTTGTCGCTGCACTCGAACAAGAAAAATCATCGTCTTTGGTGGATCAGAGTGAAGACTTGAATGCATTGAACGCCACTAATCAAGGGACACCTGTAATGACAGGACTCTTGCGAGACATGATTGACTGGATTGAACATGAAAACTGGGAGCGACGATTAGTAGGAGTCTTTTTTAATTTATTTTAATTTATTTTACTTTTTCTTTAACCCTTTGACGCTATATGAAGCGACTAATAATTTTTGACTAACTGAGTATACTCTCGATGCTTGAATGATAAAAACACTTTCCACCGCAGCGATATTTGTTTGTATTGGATGCTTTTCTGGCACATCCAAAGATTGAACCAGAATTGATGGGTTGCTCATCACTTCCAGTCCTGTCAAAGACGCTGATGGGGCCCATGTGCCTTGAAGCGGCCCAACCTTCTGTTCAAGAACTTTCGTCCCATGTAAGTCAAAGTTTTCTCTCATTGCTCAATCTTGGCATATATTTTTTTTGGATACTTAAAATGGTTTCCTGGTATTGAATAATAATAAAAAAATAGTTAGCAAAGTATATCAAGAATGAGTACAGAGGGTCATCTCGTTCAAGCGTATCAAGTGGCAAAATTCGGGCAATGTCTTTGATCAACATGACTCTTTTGGACATTTCAGACAAACCTTAAAATACAAGGCGAGCTATGCTTGTGTGCGATCAAATGGTGGCAAAACTTAATAAAAGCAATATTCCATTTCCCACATTCCATTGAAGCAATTCATTCATTCCTTTTTCTTCATTCTCAATCATTTCCTTTGCATTTTTATCGTGCGAAAGTTATTTTGTAATTAAAAAAAAAAAATTACGCATGAGGGCCATCATTCCTTCTATCTCCATCAAAGGTAAAGGATCCTTTCTTCCTCTCGCCCAGTTTTCTTTTCTTTTTTTTTTTTTTTTCTCCTACTTGTTACAATTCTCACATCACACTGTAATAACAAACATAAAAAAACCATAACGATAACAGGTTTCCAAGCAGTATTGGTATGTCTGTCCAAGATCGGTGACGATATCGTGGTAGAAGCTCGACCGGATCGATTCATCCTCTCGACTCTCAACATCACACGTTCTGCTTTCGCAACCTTTACATTTACCCGGGTATTTTTTGAGAGCTATCATCTAGATACAACTGCAGAAGCAATTAAACATGATAGCTCAGGCCCTTATTTGAGATGTACTGTTTTGGCCAAGGTAAAAAAAAAAAAAAAAAAAATAGAGAAAAAAACAGTATTGTCATAGCCTAAGTTCTTTATGTGAGTGTATTCTTGTAGGTTTTAATAGGTTTTTTTCTTCCTTTCTTTCTTTCTTTCTTTCTTTCTTTTTTTTTTTTTTTTTTTTTTTTTTCCTTCAAAAGGCTTTGGTATCAGCTTGCAAGATCCGTGGCAACGTGGAGTCCAAGATTGAAAAGCTCTGCTTATTTATGAACTCGGCTGAAGGCGTTGGAGAAAATTGTCGTTTAACAGTTGAAATAATTTTCAAATATGGTAAAAAAAAAAAAAAAAAAAAAGAAGCCATAATCGCATTAAGGAATAGTTTCCATAAACATGTATATATATATTGATATTCATATCTATATCACAAACACACCATAGGGTTCATTAAAATCCACAAGTTACTCTACGAATCGTGTCCGGAGCCCTTACAAGTCTTAGACTCTATTGAATCCTGCTCTAATTCATGGAGTCTCCCGCCTGCTGCACTGATTGGATTTGCAGAGAATTTTTCATCCAAGGCTGAGGAAATCTCGATGAAGTGTCATCAAGAAGGAGTCACTTTCAAGACTTTTCTAGATGCAAATGAAGGAGGACTGAGTAAGATCCGTTTCCGTCAAAAATTATATGTCCATCCATCCCTTTTTCACTTTTAGGCTTTTTGAAATACTGATTGCAATCAACCAATCAATCAATGGATCAATCAATATATATGTATGTTCTTTTAGAGGCGTCAGGTAGATTTGGAACGACTGTTGTACCAATCAACAGGAGCGCGTTGGAGTTTTACAAGCTACAGGAAGAAGTCGAGATCACATTTTCGCTAAAGGAATTCAAAGTATGTAAGCAACATGGATGCATTCACGCGCAACCTTTTGACCTTTTGATGCAGGAAAGTATGGAAAAACAAATTGATCCGACTATACTTTTCTGTTGCTCTTTCTTTTATTTTACACTTGTGAAAAAAAAAAAGGCAATCATTGCCTTTGCAGTGACACTTCGTCTGCCATTAGATGGGTATTTTGATGCTAGGAGTCGGTAAGACACCAGTCGTTTGTCCTTTTTGTTATAGTCTCTATGGATGATTTGTTTAGGTACAAATACTCATGTCATTTGGACTTGCCTGTCTGTTGGGTTATATTAGGCCATTACTCCTTAGAGTACAAGTTGAAAGCATTGTGAGCGGAGTAAGTGTTTGATGAAATAAAAGATTCTGTTTATAAGTTTGATATCTTTTTATTCTTACTTTTTTTTTTTTTTTTTTTTTTGATAGACTTTCGCTTTGGCGACGGTCCTTAATGAAGGCGAGGCGCCAGAACCATCTCCAATACCTTCTAAACGAGAATATGAGGCGATGAAGGGGGAGGACAGGGGAACGGTGGCGCAAGGGAAAAGTACACATGATAAGGGTCACGGCGAACTTGATCTCACACAACCTGAGAACGCCTTATTTTTAGATGATGACTCAGAATGGCTCGGAGAGCTGAATAGTTTAGAAATGGAGGAGACAGCGACTAGCGCAAAGGCAACGACGACAAATACCAAAAATAATGCTTTAGCATCAGTTAACCATCCAAAGCAGGAGAGACAGTCGTCACAAGCCCTCCAACAACAACAAAAGCAGCAGCAGCTATATCTAAGGGTAGCTGAGGATGTACGGATTTATGAGGATGAGGATGAGCCATTTGAGATTGAGGAAGAGTTCTTGTCATCAAGTCGACAGGTGAGTTTTTTATTATTGCTATTATCATTATCATTATTCTTTTTTAAAGGTTATTGTGTTATTGAAAAACCATTTAAAACAAATCTATTTTCTAACATTATCTTGCAAACTATTTTTAGTCTAAGCGTGCACGCTTCAATTTTGATGAGGACGACTAAGGATTTATAATAATTAGGTGATTTATTATATAAATATATATATATTTGAATTAAGAAAAATTAAAACTTTAATTATAATAGTCGTGTGTGCCCACGCGTCATTGCTCAGGCTCTTTGTTTTTTCAAGCAAGCTCCATTTCTTGGGCTTTGCCCTCATCAACAGAGTTTTTGCGACTGCCAGCAGGAGAAATAGGCAGCTCTCCTGTCTTTTGGGTATTTACGATTTCTTGAGCGATCAAGGAATGATAGGTTATAATGGAGGAGTCACCTCGTTGAATGGCGGCTCGCAATTGTAGGCTGACTCTCTGAGCAATGCGCCGTACAACCTCGTTATGTTGTGTAGCAGCAACAGGAGCGGAGGTATCAAAGGGACTGACACTATGACCTGTTGCAAAGGAAGGCATACATGGCTGAGGAGGATTTTGCTGCTGGTGCTGGTGCTGCTGGTGCTGCTGCTGCTGTTGTTGTTGTTGTTGTTGTTGTTGTTGCATCTCCATCTCCATCTCCATCCCCAAGTCAACGAACCCTCTCAAAAACCTATCCTTGTCCGAATCACTATCTGCATTGGATTTTGACAACCGCTTCACTCGATCTGTCATTGCCTCTTGTGTTTGCTGTTCTCTCAACTGCCGAATCTCTTGATTCGCTTCCAACATGGCGGAACTAAGGTCTTGAGCGGGGGTTGGGCGATCTCGACCATTGTTATCGCCGTTGGCTCCAGAGCCGTTCCCACTGGGCCCACCGTGATGACCATCTCGGGTAGATTGGAAAACATCTCCGGTGCGGGATGTGATCTCAGGCGCGAAATTAAAGGTGGCAGTTGTAGGTGAAGGTGTGGGTGAAACTAAGGGGGAGGGCAATGATGCTGATGCTGACATTGATGCTGACATTGATGCTTGGATGGGAGCTGAGGAAGTCTTTGATGATAGGGGAATAAAGTCCAAATTCTGGGTGAGAACCTCACCTTTATAAGGATTGATTTCGTCATGACCATTGCCGTTGTAGGTCGGGTGCATCATGTCCACATGGACATTAGTGACTTTAGTATCAAGGGGCAGTCCAGCTTTCGCGAAGGCAGTAACAGTAGTAGTCATGGTTGTTGGCGTTGTTGGTGTAGTCTTGAAGCTCTGAATCGGCGATTGAGTTGGGGGAGAAGAAAAGGAGAGAGGGAAAAAAAAAAAAAGGCGCTTAAATAAAATGTAGACTAATGACAAATGTCTTCTGTTCTGTTCTATTTTTTTTTTTTTTTTTTTCTTCTAGCTCATTAAGACACACGGACATGACGAACACTTTTTTTATAAACATAATTCAGTAGAGATATAAAATAGACAATACCTGCTTCTCCACAGCGTTTACAACCGGCTCTGGTGACATGGAGAGCTGCTCATTCATCACATAGTCAGCTGGCACAAGCTCCGATGGCAAGAGAGTTTTCGCAGGACAGGCTGATTGCTCGGCTATTCTTGTTTCATTCGTCATACGGAGCGAACTATGTTTATGGAAGATAAAAAATAAAATAAAATAAAATAAAAAAATAGATGGATAAGTGGTACGTTCATGAAAAACAAGGTGATTGGATATTATACATTATGGTCATTATTATTATTATAATTATACTATTTCATGTTTGATTACGTACTTTAGCTCAAGGTGCATGGGATCGGAGTTGTTCAAGACTCCATAGACAGTGTCAGTGACCTGTTGAAGAGTCATCACGGGGCTTGCATTGGCTTCATCAGCGAGCGCAATAAGAGTGGATGGAGTGGTAGTCATGTTTGAATTAATTTGGGGATAAGATAGATCTGATAGTAAAAAGAAGTAACGTGATTTTTTTTTTTTTTTTTTTTTTTTTTTCTATTTTTTTGAGAGAGAGATTGATTTGAGCGGTACGGTATGTGTACTTTATTTTTTTATTGAGGAAGAAGAAAGAAGCAGGAGTGGAAGAAGAAAGAAGAAAGGAGAGTAAAGAAGAAGGCAAAGTAAAGTTGAGATGATAAAGAAGATGAGGAAAAAAAAAAAAAGAGAGGGAAGAAATGGATGGAATTTAAAGGTTTTTTTTTTACAGATCGAGTAAAAACCAGGATAAGGGACAGAGAAAAATACAGGACCCGGCAAAAAATACAAACAAACAGACAATCAAATGAACAAATGAACGAACAAACAAACATAAACAAAATCTGCTAACATAAACAAAATCAACTGTGTTTTAATTGAGACAATTGTTCAAAGAAACAAAAAATAAAAAATAAAAAAAAAAAAAAACTATGCCCATCTGTAAGGAATAAGCAAAAGAATGTAAATGTGGACTCCTTTCAAGAAAAAAGGGTTCGTTTTGCTCTCGTTTATGCATTTATGCACAGATTACAAGAAAAAAGGTCAGTTTGCTTGGTACAAAAAAAAAAAAAAAACTAAGAGCAGAAGAGCAAAGGAAGAAAGTACGTAAATGTTATTTGTGTTTGTGTTTCTTTGTATTTTCTAAGCAAACGCCCTTTTTTATGGTGTTATTCCTACTATGAGATACTATCCTGGGGATGTAAATGCTGAGCATGAGCACATGCTCACATAGGAATATATAGACACTTTGACGTGTAGAATGATTGAATACTATTTTTATTTTTACAATATGAATGTAAAAAAGTAAACTTTAACATGCTGCATTAGTAATGTGTGTAAAGTTGTAAAAAAGATGTTTATTTGGAGTAGGATAAGCTATTCTCATTATTATTTACTAGACTATTCATTGGTTCAAGTCCAAAGGAGTCATCAGACAGGATCATCATCTTCCTCACTCTCTGGTCCTTGATCGCCCTTTTGGCCAAAATGCAATGTTCCTCATACACTAAATATGCTAAACAATAAATGTAGAATTACAGTTTTTTCAGTTTTTTTTTTTATTTTTTTTTTTTACTATTTCCCATATTTGTATATTGAATATAGTGTATACTTGTACATGTGAATGGTGTATAACGCATGTGAATAGATGAATGTGTTATGTGTGTATGTGTATAGATAGATGTATGTGTATGTAGGAGAAGGATGATCGATGTGTAAAGAGGGGAAGAGATAATAATTTACTGCACTCTCACCGTCTAGGGGGTTTGATTTTATTAGACCCATCGAATTTTTTTTTTTGTCCCATGAGCTTGGTATCGTTTCTAATTGCACCACTTTAGCGTTACTGTCTCCAATTGTCCCAATGATTGTTCAGGGATGTAGGACAAGGGGAAACAAAAGATTTGGATTGGTCGAAGGAGACACAGACGCGTGGAAAGAAATGCCTGAAATGTCCGAAATAAGGGTGCACACATCATCAACCCCCTAACAACTCGCACGCATATCACGCGTGAAAATATAGAACTGGAAAAAAAATAAAATAATCTCTCTCTCTTACACACACAGCACACAGCACACAGCACAGCACAGTGGCGCTTTTCTTTCTTTTTTTTTTTTTAATCTTTTTCACGAATTCTCATTGTGGCCTGACATCATGACAGCAGCAAGACTGGCTAGATCCGTCCCTGTCATTCAAACAATGTGCTCACCACTTTGCCGTTCTTACACTACAAATGTAATAAACTATGCATCTTTCCCTTTTTAACCACACATACCACATACAGACGTCACATTCACAAATAATCATCCAACTCCATGTCATTTTCACACCAACTCCATGGCATCGAAACTGCTCTTTATTTATTTATTTATTTTATTTTAATTTTTCTTTTCTGATAAGCTGATAAGGTGGCTTTTGCCAATATATGTCCGAGCCGAGTTGCTTTTCTGCTCTATGAATCTATCATGTTCAATTACATATTACATATGCTCAAAGGGCTAATTTTTTCCTTATAGAGCCTAACACACATTTTTTACTTTTTATATTTATATTTATATTTATATTTATATTTATATTTATATTTATATTTATATTTATATTTATATTTATTTTTTTTTTTTTTTTTTTTTTTTTTTTTAATCAAATTGTTACCCCAAATATCTCACGCCATGACCTAACTTTTTTTTTTTTTTTTTTTTTTCGTCCTTGTGGTCTAGACAAAGCCCCTTGCCAACACATTGACACTCATCCCTGGAGGAACTCGAGGCATTGGACTTGCAACTGCAAAATTATTTGCACGTCAAGGTTCACGAATTGTGATCTTGGCTCGCGACCATCATCGGATCCAACATGTCCTTCAAAAGGAATTAGATCCCTACGTCTCATCTTTTCCCCCGGCATCCTCCTCCTCTTCAAATAGCAATAGTAATCATCAAAGTCATAACCAAACTCAAGATCAAGGCCATCTTGGATTCCAATGCGATGTTTCTAACCAAGAGGCAGTTGATCAAGTAATCAAGGTAAAAAAAAATATGTATATACAAGATAAAGTTAAAATAAATGTTTACAATGTATAGAGTTTCTATAAATGAAAACAACAATATATATATATATATACTACATATGTTGTACATGCGGTCCATGCGTGTTTAGGAGGGAAAAAAAAAAAAAAAAAAAAAAAAAAAAAAGGAGGGAAGACAGGAAAGAGATGGAAGAAGAGCGAAGGGGAAGGGAGAAATGGCGCCTTGCCCAAAAAAGGAAATACCCGCTAATCATTAATTTGATCCGCTCATTTATTTTAACTTTTTACTTTATTTTATTTTATTATTTTTACTGTTTATTGCATAAAAAAAAAAAAAAAAACATCTTTCTACAACTCCATATGTATCGCATTCTGAAATGTATGCAATTCTTTCTTACGAAATAATGGTGATATACTTACCATACATATCAAAATATCAAATTATCAAAAAAAAAAAAAAAAAAAAAAAAGGATGTGACTAAGGTTGGATCCATTGATTACTTGATAACATCTGCAGGAATAGCCCGGGACTCTTTGCTCATCGCTCATAACCCACAGGATATGGAGAATGTGATCAATACCAACTTGATGGGTACCATGTGGATCAACAAGGCTGTTGCTAAGGGCATGATAAGACGGAAAAAAGGTAAAAAAAAAAAACTATAGCATCAATATCTTCTCCTTAAAAAAAAAAAAAAAAAAGACAGAGAGTAGAATAATATCATAAAAAGGGAGGTGGATAAGGAAAAAAAAAAAAAAAAAAAAAAAAAAAAAAAAGTCTAATGAGATTACCACATTGCTAATATTTATTTATTTGTTTATTTGGCATATTTGTATGCATGTGTTTAAAGGTGCTATCATCAACATCTCAAGTGTTGTGGGTATCCATGGAAATATTGGGCAGACTGTTTATAGTGCCTCCAAGGCGGCCATCATTGGTAAGGAAGTTTGACAAAAAAAAAAAAAAAAAAAAAAAGGCCTCATTTGTCTATCTATCCATCTATCTCCATCTCTCTATATTACATCTTTTTGCCTATATGTCTATTTTATTTTACTTTTCAGCATTAATTTACTCCTCTCCTTAACCTAATCTACATCATATATCTGTATCTGTATCTAAAAAAAAAAAAAATCCTGGTGTGTCCATGTTTGTGTATGATGGGATCATATGTGTAGGATTTTCTAAATCACTTTCCAAAGAACTGGGATCTCGAGGTGTCACCGTCAACGTGATTGCTCCTGGTTACATTGACACTGATATGACAGCAGGTAAGTGCTATTAAAATAAAACATGGCTTTAATCTTTTACATAGTGTGTAATAACTAATTAAAATAAAAAATAAAAATCGTCAAATTAGGTGTCTCTGAAGAAAGAAGAAAGGATATCATTGCAAGGACATCCCTTGGTCGTTTTGGACAGCCAGAAGATGTAGCCGAAGCTGCCTTGTTCCTTGCACAATCCAAATTCATCACTGGACAGGTAAAGAAAAAGAAAAAGAAAAAGAAAAAGAAAAAAAAAAAAAAAGCTAAACTGCCTGATCACTTGATTGACCAAAGTTGACCTTTTTTTTTTTTTTAGGTGCTTAAAGTGGATGGTGGTCTGATACTCTAAATCTTTGCATTTCGCAAAAACACGTCACAGTAATCTATTTTTCTTTTTTTTTCTTTTTGGTGGCAAAACATTGCCAGAATGCTTAATTTTTTATTTTTCTTTAATCAAGAAAAGAAATAAAAAAATAAAAAATAAAATGACAGTTGTACATTAAGGAAAAGTCGATTGGAGTGGACAGAAAACAAAAGATAAAGGTCGGAAGGAAAAGTATGGACGGATGAAGTAAAAAAGGCCTTTTTTTTTTTTTTGCTTTTTTCGTTTTTTTTTTTTTTTTTTTTTTTTTTTCTCTATGAAATGGCAGTGGTTGGATGACAAGAAATCGGGTGTAGTAGTATTTTGTATGGCGGAGGAGTCTTTTTTTTTTTTTTTTTTTTTTTTTTTTACAACAACATCTTGAGTGGATTCTCAATATAACCCTTGAAAGCCTTCAAGAACTGAGCTGCGACGGCACCATCGACAGTGCGGTGATCGGAGCTCAAGGTCACAGCCATAATAGAGGCAGTACGGACCTCACCATCCTCACCAGGAACGACCCGCTTCTCCGTGGCACCAATAGCCAAGATGCAGGACTGAGGAGGGTTAATGATGGCAGTGAAGTGCTTGACTCCATACATGCCCATATTGGAAATGGTGAATGTACCACCCTGGTACTCGTGAGGAGCAAGCTTGCCAGCGCGAGCGCGACTGGCAAGATCCTTGACCTGGTTAGAGATGGCAGCCAAGCCCTTGGATTCGGCATTGGCAACAATGGGGGTGATCAAACCAGAGGGAGTCGAGGTAGCAACACAGATGTCGGCAGTGTGATATTGTCTGATGGAATCATTCTGCCACGAGCTGTTGGCCTCGGGAACGGCCTTGAGAGCAAGGGCCGATGCCTTGACAATAAAGTCGTTGACCGACAACTTGTACTTGTCCTCCGAAGCCTTGTTAAGGACCTCGCGGAGCTTCAAGACCTTGTCCATCTCCATCTCAACTGTGACGTAGTAATGAGGAACATTCTGCTTGGACTCTGTCAAACGCTGAGCAATGATCTTGCGCATGTTGGTGATTGGGATATCAGTGTAACCAGCGCTAGTAGGGGCAGGAGCTGCCTTAGTAGCGGGGGCCGAGGCAGCCTTGGCTGTAATCGAATCGTGTCGATGAAGTTTGATTGATTCAAAAAAAAAAAAAAAAAAAAAAAGTCTGTCAGTTAAAACAATTGATCATTGCAAAAATCACATTTCTAACACCCTCCCTTATTGCAAAGCTGGTTTTCCTGTTCTTCAAATATTTTGAAAAAGAAGGGGAAAAAAAAAAAAAAAAAAAAAAAAAAAAGTCCACGTACGTGCAGGGGTGTAACCCTCAACATCAGCCTTCACAATACGGCCATTGGGTCCAGTTCCGGAGAGCTCGCCCAAATCAATCTTCTTCTCATTGGCGATCTTTCTAGCAATAGGACTAGCAAAGATGCGGTCTAATGGGAAAGGAGGACGAGAAGGGGAAGAGGAGAAGGGGAAAAGGAGAAGGGGGAAAAGAAATCGATAGTCAGGATGTTATGTTGCTGAATGTCGTATTTTCTAACCAGCTATCTGAGCTACATAATCATGAAAATAAAATAATAATAATAATAATAACAATAGTCTTCTTTTGAATATGAAACAAAGTCTCTTACCAGCATCAGAGCGAGAAGGAGGAGCGTTAGTGGTATCAGACTTCTTGGGTGCTTCTTCCTCCTTGGGGGCCTCTTCCTTCTTTGGGGCCTCTTCCTTCTTTGGAGCCTCTTCTTCCTTCTTGGTAGTGCCAGAAGCAGAAGCAGAAGCAGAGCCACCAGCATCAGCAGCAGTAAAGTCAGCAAACTTTTCTACATCTTCCTTGTTCTCAACCATGATAGCAATGGGTTGATTGATGTTGACCTCCTTGGATCCAGAATCAGCCAAAATCTTTGCAAGATAACCTTCCTCCTGACATTCAAAGTCCATCTGGGCTTTATCGGTTTCAATTTCTACAAGCACATCACCAGGGGCGATAGCATCTCCAACCTTCTTTTGCCATGTTCCGATGTTCCCCATGGTCATGGTAGGTGAGAGGGCCGGCATGTTGATAGTGATGTGTGTAGGGTATGCTAGATTATAATAAAAATAATAAAAAAGTTAATGTTTACGGACTATGTCATACATATTTGGGCACATGGGCTCGCACTATTTACTATTTTACTACTGCGCATAATTTTCATGTAAAGCAATGGACGTTCTTTTCTGTCTCTAACGGACCCACAAATTGCGTGGGTTAAGGTTGGAGCATCCCATCTCTTTGCTGGAATAATAACAAAAAAAAAAAACACAGATCGACAAGACTTACATTTGGAGCTATAGTAACGAGCCATGTTGGACTTGATCTGGACTGAGGAAGCAGCCAAGATATGGCGAGACGCACTATTAAGCATATGCAGAAGGAACAGATTACACACAAAAACATTGTTAGATCAAAGAAAGGAGAAGAAAAAAAAAAAAAAAGAAAGAAAAAAAGAAAAACCAACTATTATTTTGAATCGGCGGTATTCGGAGAAGGGAAGGTAGATGAGAAAGATGTATATGGATAGAAAGCAACTCCTCTCTCTTTAGTAACATTGGTTGTCAGCAGATCAACAGAACAGTAAGACACAGGTAAGCACCAACAACATTATTATCAAAGATGGAAAAAATAATAATAATAAAAGAAAATACAAAATACAAAAGTGCCCGCCTTTTTCAGTTTGTGGGTAAATGAAGCTGGTCCCAAGAGATTTTTTCAAAAATGCGCAAGCTGTGTTTGCTGGCTGAGAAAAAAAAAATCTGTTGGGGAGTGAGCACCTAGCAAGTCCGTCTACACCTTCCTACTCTTCCTCTTCCTCTCTCTCTTCCTCTCCGCGCCATTTTTTTTTTTTTTTTTTTTTTTTTTATGAAAGAAAAAAAAAAAAAAAAAAAAACTTCGATTGACTTTACTCCATTTCCAGTTTCACAATTCCCTGCTTTGCTGATATAAAAAGTATATCTGAATGAAATAGCGACGCGCGCCTTTCTGAAATTATTTTCTCAGTTCTTTTAGATCACACTTAGCAACCACATTGTGACGTATATGAACGCCACACACTCAAATCCATCTTTTCTGCAAAAGAAAAAAACCAAATCCGTTGAAGAGGTATAAAAAAAAAAAAAAAAAAAAAAAAAAAGAATGCCACAACATCATTCGAGCCAGAGTATCGAGAATCTTTTTTCCTGGAAGGTGATCTATCTCCATTAAAACATCATTTGCAATATATTTATAAAATAAAGAAAAAAAGAAAGAAAAAACACGTCCTCCTATGGTCTGCTGTTGCTGTAGTGATGGTGATCATTGTTATTATTATTGTTGCGGAAGAAAGAAGTGTAGACGTTTTATAGAATGTACCTTGGAGTGGCGGAAGAAGCGCGAACAGTGTTGTGAGAGACAATAGTCCTGGTCATAGGAATAAGGGTGGCAGCACGCTGGACAGTGCGACGTCCAGTGGCAAGAGCCAAACGAGAGACAGATGAGGAGATCATTCTACGGTTGCTGGTAAGGAAAGGGTAAAGGTAGAGAGAGAGAATGGATGAGGATGAGTTTGAGAATGAATAAAGAAGGACAAAAAAGATAAAAAAAAAAAAAAAAAAGATAAAAAAAAGTGTGGGAGAACAAAATAAATTTATTTGGTTTGATAATGATAATGTGTGTATCACTTATCGCGAATTGATTGTGGGAGATTAGAATCTGCTTTTTGATTGCAAGGTTTTTTGCAAGCCCGCTCTTTACAAAAACCATTATCACCCAATTCAGCAGAAAAAAACCCGCTCATTCATTCTATCTCTCTCTTTCTCTCTCTTTCGCTTTCGTTCATCTTCTCTCTCTTCTTGTCTCGGTCTTTTTTTTCTTGTATTCAAGTTTCTACCTCTTTTACTTCGCACTTTCATATTTATCGAGTTTACAATCATAAACATGTTATCATGTTTTTTTAATCCTTTATTATTGCGCTGTAGGAGGATAAAGAGTATGGACTAGTTGTTAAAACTGAACTACTTGTAACTGTCAGTCAATGCGAAGTAAGGCAAGTCGGAGTAAAGGAACTTCGCTGTGGTTCAGTAGCCATCTGTTAAAAGATTAAAACATGGCTCTCTACTTTTCCTATCCTATTCTTTCCTATTGTTTCCTCTCTCTCTCGCTCTCTCCCCAACCAGTTTCCCATGTAGGCACGGACAATTGAGGAAGGAGAGGGGGAGATCTAATAAATATCTATTAACGTTCATACGACAAAGAAAGTATAAAATCTTGGTCGTCTGTTCTGTGAATCCATTTTTTTTTTAAAGTTCGCGATTCTCCGGCATCCAAAAAAAAAAAAAAAATCTGTGTGTGCACAAGCCACGACGGCAATTTAGCCGCATGCGGCCAACTTTCTCCTAAATACAAACTTCAACCCTTTTGACCGACAAATTCCGAGCGGGCTAAAAAAAAAAAAAAAAAAAAAAAAAAAAAAGCGCGTCTTCCCCCCCACGCTCTCAACTATAGAAGTTTATTTTCTATACACATTTTCCCTTGTAGATACAGGGATCAGAAACAAACCTAGAGAGGATTGTATGCTCCACGTCATGTTTTAATACCGTGGTAGTTTTCTCTCATTCACAATTATAACACCAGCCCTTGGTCTTGTAAAAACGACTGAGTCTTCATCTAGTTTTCCTATAAAGAATAATAACAATAACAAAAGGGAGAACTTGGCAAAAGATTTCCATTATTTCCGTTGCAAAAAGAAGATCAGTTAGGAGTGCTATGTACGTACAGTAGTAAAATAAACAAAAAATAAAACACAAAATAAGGCAGAATATTTGGAAGATACGGTAGTAAATGAGAGGATGCTTATTTACAAAGCATCCTTGTAGACAATGTCCCGCATGTATAGCCCAGGTCTGAGATTAAGTTCAATTGCACCCACAACACCGATATATGGATCCGTCTTCAGCTTAGATTAGTTCTCGCTGATGAATTGAAGCTGATCCACCTCAAGCCTACTGTATTGATCGGTAGCGTACTAATAAGTCAAGCATGTATCCATCCTGATGAAAAATCGCTGGTCTGTTGAGCTCAAAGGACGAATCTGCAGCCTGTACGTGTAAAACTCCTCCAGCTTGGCGTATTCTCGACTTTTCCTAGCTCGGCCATCGCCCTCACCTACATCCACCTCTAGCTGGCCGTTTTCGCTACCGTCATAGCTGTCACCATGAGGCCCTGCAGAGGTTTGACCTGGCCTAGGCCATTTTTTATATTTTTTATATGTCCAGTCCTCGCCTTTTGGATGCAAGAGGTTATTATGGAGACTCTCGTGAGCTGGATGAACCTCACTGGTTTTTTCCAAACCACTGGCTCCGCTTTCAATTATGATGCCTTGCTGAGAAACCTTACTACTGGCGCCAGCCATCAATAGCACGATTCCAGTTGATGAGAGGGCCTGTACTGCATTCGCCTTTGCCCTCTCCCCTCATGCTGAGGCCCAGCACAGATGGCGACCTTCAGCCGCATGATATCCTCGTGCGCACATTCTCTGACGTCTTTGAGCGTATGGGCTATCGGGTAGTGTAGTTCAAGGAGCTGCTGTGGTTACTGCAACAGGCCTTCATCAAGGAATCCCCGAAATGGTTATTACGGAGTCTTGCTTGCTGAGCAGGGTCATGAATGTGAGCGTGAGCCTGCAGGAACAGAGAGGCAGCGCCTTCAGTTGGATTCATAGGATCAATCAGAGTACCAACCCTTCCAATGATACAAAGCGTGTACACTCCATATAGGTTGTTCGCAAGGTCTTTATCAAGGTTCACTTCCATGGACGTGAACGAAAGAGCGCAGTTATATGCTTATATGTGTTAACGGAATAACTTACCTTGCGGCTCTGCCCATCAAGAAGTTAAACCAAGGCTAAGTGGAGGAATATCCACTTGACCTCTCCCACAGCATAAAGGAAATTCTGGCCGGCTTTTACTACTGCGTTGCACACACATTCTTCAATAAACATGAAGGCACCGCAATAATGGCAACTGACCGGTACCTATATTGCATAATATTGGAACCCGAAACGAAATCTTGCTGAAACCTTTTTCTAGCGGGTGGTAGAAAGTTGTCTTCGGCAAAGGAATTATCTTCGGTAGAAGGAGCATCCTCAACAGAAGGATCACCTTTACGCTCGTGTATTCTGAAGGTCAATGGTAAATGGTAAATGGTAATTGTGTAAGATTAAGTACACGCAATGTATAATACAGTATAATAAGCCAATAAAAAACCGAACAAAAAGTAGCACACCCTTGTCTTTGCACGGGTCTTTCATTTTCATCTCCACCATCTTCAAAACAATACTTCGTGTGCACACAGGCCTAGCGCCATTTTGCACTGAGTTACTAACAACGCTATTAAAGCAAGCAGTAAACAGGAAAAAACTAAGGATTAATAGTCTATTGCTGAGAAGAAAAAATCAAACCGTTGAAAATCAAACTCCACCCTTTATTACTTGAGCATGGTCTACATCTACTCCTAGGCAACTGCAGATACTGCATTTATACACTGTAGGAGCTGGTTGACGGTGCTCGCCCTGCAGGTAAGTAATAATGATGGAGGGTTAAAAAAAGAATGACAAAATCTAATGAATATAAAATAGGAACCTTTGCCTTCGAATTGACCCAACATTCTGCACATCGTTGCTGGCAGCGTTATTCAAGTTATAGAAGGTATATAAGCTTAAGCTCAGCATGCACCAACCACTACCATGCCAAAAAAAAAATAAAATAAAATAAAAAAAAAAAAAAAAGTTTTCTACGATTGTTAAATACCGAAATCACTCATTCTTCATTATTTGGGTATGAACTGCGCACATGGCCTGGACAACTGCACCCACATACAGACGTGGAATGGAAGGGGGAGCGAGGCGATTGGGAAAAATCGTTCTGTCTTTATCAGTTGGGAAAATATTATTAATGTTTATATATTCCAAAAACATAAAAACAAAAAGATAAGAAGGCCTTACCACATTCCTTACATTCTGAGGGCATAGTCTCTTGCCATGTCTGTCGCTGCTGCACAGGCTACATGCCATGAGGCGTAGCATTGAGAGGGATCTTTAACTAATATAGATAATAAAATCCAAAAATAAAATAAAATAAAATAAAATAAAAATAAATGTAATAGTGGCAAAAGTAGAGAACAGTGGATAAACGTGAATTATATAGATGTAGTCCCTTCGGAAATACACCGATATTCTCCTCACCTAATGCAATAACAAAAATAAAGTTAAGCATTTTAGCATTGGCGGGTATGCAAGCGAAAATGCTAGAATTTAACTGTTACACTAGATTGTTCCTCGCAGAAGAACTACGTAATGTAAATTATCATTCCCATAGTTTTAGATAGGCTTTCTAGCATTACTTTTGTAGTGTAGGAGGTACTCTTTTATGATCATTACTTGGCTATTTAGCTACCTCTATTATAGACAATGCATCAGTATGGTACGTAGGTCCCTTGTCCTCTTTTTGTGAGGGAGATTGTGGGATTGAAAGAGAGCGAACAGTTGTTCATGTGGAGGTATGCGGGACGGCTGCTGGAGATCAACTCGGTGGAGTGAGTGCCGTTAGACCAAGGACTTGAGCTTGGCTATCCTTAGAATAGGACAAACACATCCTTGCTGCAAGAGCAACCTACGTCAAGCAAGCACTACATCGAAGTTCGGCTGCAGTCTTAAACCTTTCTACCTCATTTTTCCTTTCTTCCCCTTTTTCCATCTCCTATTCAAGCAATGCAAGCAGGGCAGAGCCGATTGGCCTATAAGCCCAGTCATATTCCTTCACCTGTTCTCCTCCTTGTAAGCTCTCTTCAAACCTCCGTCTCATCGGACTTGCCATGCTTTGATGACCCATTTGGCAGGTGGCGAAGGTCTGACAGATGAATGTATGGAACATATCTTTTTTTTTTCTTTTCAAATGAAGAGTGAAAGATATGTGAAGGTAAAGTGTGTGAAAGCAAGGAATGTAATAGAAGAAGGTGTAGAGTGGTAAAGTACGCTTAGAGTTCAGGCCCATAATATGTATATACTCTCGCATCGTATATTGTTGACATTGTGTGAATGGTATACCGTACTCAAAGTAGAGGTCAAATTTTTTTGAGCAAAAATTTTTTGGTGTCGACATTTGCAATGAAGAGAGCACTACCCTTTATTTTCTCTTTTCATTTACAAATAAGATACCTCTTTATTTCCACCCAGGGAGCCATATTGGGGCCAAAGCCACTCTCTGTAGCAGCCAGCAGATCTTGTAAGCCTCTTTGCACGAGGAAAAGATGCGAGTGCATTTAGTGGTCGTTTACTCCATAGAGTCCCCACTTCTGACCATCTCGACTTCTACCTGGTGTGGGCATCTCGTTGGGTCGAATCACAGATTATGGAGAAATTAAAAGATAACACTTGGGTCGATGTGTTGGCGAACCTTGTCAAAGGCGGAGAGGATATAGCTAAAGGCCCGGTATTTGAAGTCTATGCTCATTACTTATTTCGACGTGGTGATATTAGATTTCCCTTTAAGGATCTCCAGTCAGGCGAAACAGGATTTCTTGATTTTCCAGCAAATCCAGAAGAGGTGT